CAAATGTCTCGTGGTTTCCAATACGTCCTCGACAAGGAATGGCGTGCAGAGAACCCTAACACCACGCGTTGGTTTGAGACCGTCACCAAGCAGCCCATCTGGAAGGCCATTGTTGCCGAGCCAATCATGATTGAAGAGGCCGTGAAGTACACCCCGCCCAAGAAGGAAGCGAAGCCAGCCAAGGCTCCGGCTGCTGCACCTGAGAAGAAGGCCGAGAAGAAAGCCGAGGAGGAACCAGAGGAAGAGGAAGAGGCCAAACCAGAGGTCAAAGCTAAACATCCTCTCGAGGCACTACCCAAGCCGACTCTTATTCTCGATGACTGGAAGAGAAAGTATTCCAATGAGGATACTCGATCGGTGGCGCTACCTTGGTTCTGGGAGCACTACAAGCCAGATGAGTACTCGTTGTGGAAGATCGATTACAAGTACAACGACGAGTTGACACTGACTTTCATGTCTTCCAACCTCATCGGTAAGTTTTTCCCTGCGCCCAAGACTTAGTCATATAGCTAACTGTTTCAATAGGTGGATTCTTCAACCGCCTTGAGGCCTCCCGCAAATACCTCTTTGGTGCCGCTTCCGTGTACGGCCAGGCCAATGACTCAGTCATCCAGGGCGCCTTCATGGTTCGTGGTGACGAAGCTTTGCCCGCATTCGACGTCGCCCCAGACTGGGAGAGCTACGAGTTCACCAAGCTTGACCCCAGCAAGCCTGAAGACAAGGAATTCCTTGAGAACCAATGGGCTTGGGACAAGCCTATCGAGGTCAATGGCAAGACATACGAGTGGGCTGATGGCAAAGTCTTCAAGTAAAGCTTTGCGTCGACGATCTTGCAGCTGCATGACGTGCTCCTGGTTGAGCGGATGTGATCATGATACCAACAACGACAGACCGGATAACAGGTGAATGTTATGCATGATAGGATGACAAGTAAGGAAGACCAGGTTTCGGCTGAAAAGCTTTCATGCACGAATTGACAAGCGGATTAATGTTTCTTCATCTCGCAAAGCAGCAAGGCAGATAGACGCGCCCATTTCCCACATTCGCTCTTGCTTGCGCTCCATAGGTTCCATAGAGCAGAGGAAGGAACACGAGTTGAGTAGTAAATGTGCATTTCCGATTCTAATGTCCTTTTACAGATTATTTGCTGCCCTAGATCTCAACAGGTACATGGATGCCATTGCATATCGAGTAGTTCCCACCGCCCCCAATCTAGGTTGCATACCTGTAGCAAAAATACTTTAAGCAGTGTCTGGCAAAGCTCTGGCCAATGTTCCAGCGGCGGGTGCTTTTGCACAGCCTTTGAGATGGGCCTGAACAATAGTGGGCGGGCGGTACCGGCTGCAGTGAGGCGAGGTTGAGTTTGAGGTGTGTTAGACTCGGGGAATGGAGATGTGATTTCTGATTCTTCGAACGAGTGAGTGGGTGGGATTCATTCGTGATGAGTCGGGGACATCAGAATGGAAAGTCTATAGTATGTACCTATCTATGTATGCCCCCTGTCGTTGGAATAATGTCAATAAAGTGATGGACGGAGTTACCACTCATAGCAAGCTAGCCAGCCAGCACCCAAGAACCGCCATCACTCTTCTCTTGACTCCCACTCGGACTCCGTGACTCACGCTTATACACTCCGTTTCCTCTCTTTAACACCAAGGGACCTGCAACAAGAGAGGAAGCTTCTTCTCCAATGCTTTGCAACAAGGCAAAACAATGATGAAAAGGAGTCATGTTTGCGTCAGTGGCGGTAGTGTAAGGCCGTAGACACAAAAGTGTGAACAAAAGATTGGTGGTCAAGAGAGACACACACAATGTTGAAAACAGAAAACTGCTTTCTGGTGATAAGAATAGGTGTGGAGATAAGAATAATGGGGAGGTAAGGATAGAAGGGAGGAGGTAAGAATAGGTGTGAATAAGAATAGGTGGTGGTAAGGATATGTGAGGAGATGGTAAGAATAGGTGGTTGGTGGTAGGGATGTGTAGGCGTCCAGGAGAGGTTGTAGGTCTGGAGGATAAGAATAGGTGGTTGATTGTAAGGAGAGGTGGTCGGAGGTTTGGAGGAGGGGACCAAGAGGCAAAGGCAAGGCACTCAAGGCAATGCGACAGGGCAAGGCACACTCGAGGCAATGCGACAGGGCAAGGCACAAGGCAATGCAACGAAGCAAAGCAACAGGGCACATGCACAGGGCAAAGCGACAGGGGGCACATGCACAAGGCAAAGCGACAGGGGCTCAAGCGTAGGGAAAGGGGCAAGGCACAAGGCAATGCAACGAAGCAAAGCAGCAGGGCACAAGCACAGGGCAAAGGAGGAGGAAACGGCAGGACTCCAAGAGGAGGATAAAATGGTGTAGAGAGAAGGAGAGACAAAGTGCAGAGGCCCTGCAAGAGAAGGAATGAGAATATGGAAAGAAGGAAGAAGATATTGCAGATTATCCGTGGACAGAGCTCGTATTTGTACACAATTGCCCTGGCTTGAGATCAACCCAGTGGCGACTTCAGGAAAGGGATTGGCTATCAGCAGACGTGATCCCATGTTGCGTCCAAGGGAGAAAGTCTGGTGCACAGCCGAGCCGATGGAAAGTCGCAGCAACCAGGAAAAACCAAACCTTGGTATAGCATGGATCGTCCGGTTCTGGGGTGTTTTGATGGAACCCGTGTATCTCGCTCGCCATGTGGGTCGTATTTTTCAAAATTTCGGTTCAAAGGACGGGGACGCCCACTCAGCCTTCGATTTTTGGGTTTTACTGTTGCCGATGTTGATCAACAGTTCAAGACTCTGCAGCATTGTGGCAGATCCCAGAGTTTGGAAAACTTTGGTACAAGGCGTATCGGCTGTAATCATCGCCTTGGAAAGCCACCCCTTACACGCTGCCAAAGGATGATCGCAGAGCGCAGCAGCAGAGCGCAATGATCCGATCAGCGGTCGAGGAAATTGATCAACCTGATCCGCTACCCTGATGCTGCGGCTTTCGGGTTGATCTGCCATAGATCGAAATGTATCAGCCTTGTGCAGCGAAGCCAGCGGCGCGGTATCATGTGATTCTCTCTCATCCCAGTGAAGTGTCCCGTCATGGTTCTTTGAAACATCTTTGCGCAGGCTTCCGGCCAACAGTCCGGGGCACACTGATGGAGCATCATTTGCAAAGAGCTGCAGAGTCGCCGAGCTGTCGAAGATGGACTGGAGCAGCATTGAGGATCATGGGCACCGCCAGTAATGCCGAGGTCTGGCGCGCCAACGGGTCCGGTTTTTGAGGCACAGTCGAGGTTATTCAGATAGAAATCCACCAAAATGATATGTTGATATTCATATCCAGATGAACTTGGACTTCTTCAGTAATGACAGATCTATTTTGTTTTGCGGTGTCTATGTGCAGATCTCGGTCCAGGTTCTATTGTCGGCATCATCCTGGCCGCAACAGGTCGAAAAATTCGAAGTTGGTCAAACCAAGGTCTCGCTCGTAATCACCGTACTTCGCCCGGCCGAGCAGCTGCGGCAGCAACATCACCATCAATGTTTCGAACACCAGTTTCTCCTCGTCGACCCTCCCACAAGCGAACCCAGAAATCAGGAGGATCCATCGGTCGTTGGCCATCATGCAAACCAGGCCAAACATCCGCGAAGAAATAATAGACATGGCCAACGATCACACCAAGAATCTCGTCCTTGGGAATGCTGCCGTGCATAAACATGTGAAACGCCATCAAAACCCAAGGGAGATAAGGAGCGGTGAAGACGAGGACGCCGAGGAAACTCAGTCGGGTGTCGGGATTACGTCGTGACCAGATGTATACAAGAGTGCTTGATAGTGCTGAGCCCAGGAATGGTATGGAGGTGGTAAGCGAGCTCAGGGCCAGCAGTGAGGTGCATGCGTATAGTAGCAGCCAAGAGAAGACCGCAGGGGAGGGGCCGGAGCCTTGTTCTAACAATCGAGAATATCGCTGAAGGAAGAAGACGTGGAAGGCCAGGTCCAGTGACGGCGGACCAAAGTATATGAACGTGGTTAATAGTCGCCAATACTGGGAGAATCAGCAAGTGCTCGATTAGTTCACGGGGATATAAACACCCACCTGCGACTTGTAGTAAACTGCGCGCCACGAATAAAACAACTGGAAGGGTGTAATGACTTTGCACTGCAGCAAAACAGATGTAATTACTGTTGCGGTCGTCCACCACCGGGTGCATGGCGGCATCTCAAAGAACCACTGTTCGAGGGGAAACTGCCCAAGCTGACCAAGGCCATCTTCACCTCCACCCCCCAGTATCGCGGCCATTATCCAAGGTATGAGATCAAAAAAGGGAAGGATGGTACGAGAGAAGTCTGAGAGGAACTCCGGGCTCTGGACGATAGTGTAGACAGGCGATAGGACGGACTGAGTCAGGATCGGAGAGCGCAGATCGGAGTAGTCATGGTAGAAGTTGTCTGCAGGCGGGATCGGAGACAATATGGGAAAGGAAAGGTTCATGTAGCGGTGAAGAGGTCAAGTGGTTAGGTGGCCTCTTTCAGAGGGAATGAGACATGCTCATCAAGGACGTAGGAGGCGGAGGGTCGACCAGGCTTCACTGGGGGCGTGGGATGATGGTGTATGGAATGAGGTCGAACCACAGCAACTACGGCTAGCATGGCTCCGAACAAAGAGACGGCCACGAACTGGGCAGGTAAAGCGACCCTACGGCAAAGCGGCAAGAGGCTCTGTTACCCAAAGTGGGTCTAACGCGCGGAGAATGTACATAATTCAATGGCGAGCGACGCGACCTTCATGTGCCCGCGGCATCCATTTCATCTGGAACTTGACATATTTCTGTTGGGTTTCAACCCAGTCACCGTGAAGTATTGTGTCCGGCCTGCAGTCAGTAAACTCTGATTCAAATGCAGTCAGCTCTGCCATCCTCCAGAACCATCTGATACCTGCCCGTCCACCCACGCGATTCCCCACCTTCGAGGTCACTATTTCCCTTCCATCGGTTCAGGACCCAGTCTACAGTGCAATAAGTTATACATATGGCTCAGACAAAGAGTGTCCGGAGGCGCTCAGGGGGTTCTACCCCGAAAAGAGGACAAGCACAGCGAGTGAACCCGCCATCCAGGACGGTAGGAGGCAAACGGCTTCGCGCACAACGTAAGTTCCAAGACCGGCATGTTAACTGTACAGCCCCAAGATTCTGACGGCAATTGGCAGCTGGTGACCCCGTACCCGTAAGAAGGCCGCGAAGATATAAACCTGGAACACTCGCGCTCAGAGAAATCCGAAGATACCAGCAATCAACCGACCTGTTGATCCTGAAACTCCCTTTCGCTCGTCTGGTCCGAGAAATCGCCATGTCTGTCCTACCATACCACGCAGCGCAAGACCTGCGGTGGCAAAGTCAAGCGATCCAGGCCCTGCAGGAAGCGAGCGAAGCGTTCCTTGTGCACCTATTCGAAGACACAAATTTGTGCGCGATACATGCGAAGCGAGTTACGATCATGCAGAAGGATATTCAATTAGCGAGGAGGATCCGAGGCGCTTGGGGCGGCTTGGGTTGAGCGAATGCGTTCAGCTGGCATGACTTCATGATTTGCAAAGAGATTGGTATTGTTCGGCGTTCTATCATCAGGTCTCACAGTACGGGGAAATGGAATCAGCCACTCGGCGGGGGTTGTGTTGCAACATCATGGGTCTGCTTGAGCTTGTCGTCTGTATGACCTGGTGCTACAAAGCAGCACGCGAGATTGTTTTGGTGGGCGAGATTTCCGGTCAACTCGCATTTGTGCTATAAGCGTGCCGGAAGTGGACAATCACGAGAAATGAAACTCGCTGTATCCATCGATTCATCAATTCTACCCCGTCACACTCGATCCAAGCACGCCTTTTGTGCTCGTCACATCTCCACTGCCCACTGCCCCCTCGGCTCTCCTCTCGCAAGCTTGCCTGCAAGCGACGGCAAGCGCCTTGAAAGCGCTTTCTGCTCTGTGGTGGTTGTTGCTTCCATAGACACACTTGACATGCAAGGTGACACTGGCGGCCTGGGCAAAACTCTCGAGGCCATGGGTGAGCATCTCGGTACTGAGATCACCAATCTTCTCGCGGGTGAATCCAAAGTCAATCACACTGTACGGTCGGTTGGAGAGGTCGATGACGGCCCACGACAGCGCCTCGTCGAGGGGCGCGTCACCGCGACCGAAGCGGACGAGAGATGTCCGTTTTCCCAGCGCGGCGTTGAACGCAGAGCCGACCGCCAGGAAGACGTCCTCGGCGGTGTGGTGGTCGTCGATGATCAAATCACCGCTTGCTCGGATGGCCAGAGACCAACCTCCATGTTTTGCCAACGCGTGCAGCATGTGATCCAGAAATCCAATCCCCGTGGATATGGCTATTTGCTGCGTGGAGGTGATCTGTGTCGCATGATGTGACGTGGGCAAAGGGATTAGGACGTCGGGATGTGACTGTTTCTGAGCTGAAGATATCGATGATGGGAAATGCTGGGAGTCTTCGTAGGCGAGAAGTGGGCCTCCATCCAGAGACAGTGAAACCTGGATTTTGGTCTCGTTGGTGATGCGCGAGAGTGTGTGCGTTCGCCGCGGCAATGCTACCGGTATGATTCGTTCTATTGAACCCATTTTGACCTGTCTGTATAGGTACTGTTTAGAAGTGACAGTCAAGAAAGAAAAAGCTAGTAAATCCGTTTTATCTGACTCTTGCCAAAAGCGGAGCCACTGGACGCTGCTTTTGGCCTCCGCCTCATGCAGGCGACACGTGACTGTTAGGCTCGCTCTGGATGTCGCTGCAGTTAACAAAAACCGTCCACGAAGAGCACGAATTCATGAAGGTGCTCCAATGATAAACTGCAAAGAACAGTCTGCTCGATCGGTCCAAAAGACAACGAGGTCCAGCCTTGCAGCACGAGCTCCATTAAATACCTCTCAGCAAAGGCGGCAGTAACCTCACACCTAGTATAGACTAGCGCTATACAAAACAGGCTTAGACTCTTTTGTTGCAGACATTGAGATCTGCGGAGCAAACACGAGTGGAAAAGGTGACGCTGCCGCAGCCGGAGCTTGGAGCTAGGGAACCCGCAACCTCGACGTCGCTTGAGTCCGCAGCATTCCAGACATCTGGACCGTCCAAGTCTCTCTGCCGACCTTCCTATGTGAGAATTGAAAAGCTCAAGATGGTCATCAATCCCACATATCTGGCCCAACGGTCACGTTCCTGTACGTTTTGCCCAATCCCCGAATTCCAGTCCATTTTTAACCTGCGAGAATTCACTGACCGGACGACGACAGCCATCAACTGGTCCGACGCGCGACGGCGAGTCCTAAAGTCTTATCGAGAATGGCTGAGAGCGGTAGGCCAACACTTACCAACACTACACCCTTGCTGGCACTGAGAAGAGGGATGGGTTTGGGCTAACAAGAGAGGATTTTATAAAATGCAGGGACCTGAGATCCAGCAGCTCTACTCCCTAAACATGCCGGTCTCGAGAATCCGCACAAAAGTCAGAGAAGAATTCGAGAAGCACAGATATGTCAACAACGTACAGGCAGTCGACGTGCTGCTTCGACAGAGTCATGCAGAGTTTCAAGTGGGTTACTAAGATTTCCGCGTAATGGGCATGCAAATACTGACGAGACGGGTGTTCACAATCCGCAGGAAATGTTGAACTACTGGAAACAGTACACCCACGTCATGAAGTACTTTCGGGTGGACGAAGATGAGAACGCGAGACTGCCGAAGAATTTCATCCAGGGTTTCCTTGAGGTATGCATCAAGCGATGCTGTACAGCGAATGAGGCTATTCCTGCTGGCTAACTCTTTCTTCTTTCTAGGGCCGGAATTGATGCAAATGCCCATCTCGGCAGTAGCGTCGAAGCAAATTGTACATAGCTAGAAAGAAAAAGAGCAAAATAAAGCCGACACTCCGGGCGCCTTTCCAAATGCAAGATCCTGTCTCCCAGACAGCCTGACCTGACTTTTCGTGGTAAAATGGTCATGAGTTTGAAGCATTGAATTCGTTTCGCGCCGCCTTGAATTTCTTCGACACCACTTCACAAGCAGCGACCATGTCTAACAGGCCTTTTCTGAGTGCGTCGACTGCTGTTGTCTCGGTATCCTCTAATTTGGGTCAGAATTGGGTGTGTTCAAGGATGGCAATACCATGAGAAGGAATCACTCACCCCAAGTCTGGATCCGGATGTTCATTTTGGTCTCGGAAGGGTGTGGGATGGTATAACCACAGAATTCCACATCGGGGCTGTCAAGATCAGTCCATGTTATAGTCAAGAATTTCTCAGCGGTTTACGGAGACCATACTTCTTGTTAACAAAATACCGCAGGGCATTGCCCATCGTGTGATCTTCTTTCTCGAATTGGAATGATGCAGCGTGCGAGGATGCACCAGGAAGCTATAGCACCGAGGGTATCAGAATCATAGGTCAAAGACCTTGTTTTTTTCAAATAAGAACCCGCCTCCCTGAAAAAGAATTTCCGTTCGCCTCTAGACTTACCACGACCAACTTCTTGACACCGCGCAACAGCAAGTCCTCGACATACTCGGGATCGTTCACTGGGTCTTCTTCAACCTCAGTCTCGGTCACATCATCTTCTGGAACCTCTGCCATTTTTGATCTGAGTAGACGGTTTTCTCGAACAAATGCTTGTGAAAGACGGTTGTCGGCGGGATAAAGAGGCGACAATTGATATAAAATCTTCAAGGTCTCGGAACAGGTCTAGCTGCCAAGAAACATCCAGAGGCAATTGCCCAATCAGGAATAGACCAGACTAGCGAGGCTGCAGTGAATTCCAGTGGAATGTACCGAGTAAACGATGAGCTCCAACACCTCGGCGTCTTTTCTTCAAATTTACTGCCTTGTCGAGGATCTACTACTGTTGATGGTATGTTTGACGAACGAGAACAACATTGTTTCCCAACATTTGTCGCCATACGTAATGGCTTCGGCCGAAAAGTCCAGTGGCGACACAGTTGGAGATCTTTGAGATCGCATAGAAACAAAGCAAACGAAATATGAGCAAATGGTCCGACAGTGGTCTCATACCATGAAGACGCTGCCTTTGACTGTTGTCGGTCCACCTACAGACCCGCAAATACAGCCACAGTGGTGTCTCCCAGAAGGGAAGTCTCACTCAAAGTGCAAGGGTCGCTTGGGATGCGCAGGTGCTGCAGCGAACAAATCTATGAGCTTCTGTGCAACGCAGTGTCATGAATTCCCTCCTCACCACCAATTCAGAGAGTAAGCGGTAGGGCTAGATGGGTGTCAAGACTTGTTTCAATGCGAGCTTTCATCAAGGAAGCATGACGACCGCCGCGGCCGTGGACCATCAGACATAGGCGATCCGGCAAGACGTCCTTTTCAAGCCACATTGAATGGACCAACCCAGAGCTGGCACGAAACGCTCACAGTCATGGGCCGCTGTGCAAGGAAGCACCAGGGATTTAGATCAGACGTGAAAAGCCACCATGAGACTTGTCCTGTATATGGTGAAGAAGTGACCGCCCGGGAGATATGGCCCTTTCCAAGCAAGGTCTCATAAATGGTCGCAATGGCTTTTTTCCTGGCAAGGACACATGTTGATAAGGCGATCTTGATTGCCCTATCCTTTGGACTTTCACAGTACGCCAGCAGCTGCACTTGTGACCTGGTAAAAAGCTTGGTGCTGTTTCTTGCTCATGGTAGTGCTCTCCAGACATTGCTGTTGCGAGAACGCCGACGCATGAGAACGTACCGAGGCATGAAGAAGGGAAAGGTAAGGTGGAGGATCCCTTTTCCGATGATGCTTGCAGGTATTAGAAGCTGCAAATAGACATCCATAACGGGCGTCTTCGAAGCAATGGCGTCAGTAAACTAGCGATCAAGGTGGGACAACAAGGATGTCTTATCGAGGGCTTCTCCAGTGTCTGTGCCACGCGACACACGCGGGAAACGCAATAAATCCACTCTTGTGTTGACACAAGCTGCACAATATGATAGTCCTGTCAAGTTTCAACGATAACATGATCTCGAGCGACCGTTCCTAAACCCGAAGCGAGACAAGGAGGCTGCTTGGCCGCCAAAAACAGTCATTAGCCTTGTGCGGGCGTTTCAAGGCACCTCGTCATTCGCTGATCTGGGCGCCACGATTGGCTTCCCTCGTGGCGTTCAGGTAGGGGCAGTTGGAATTGGACAATACGACGGCTGAAACTAGCGAGATGTGAGACCACCGGTGGCCCGTGGGAGAAAAGATGCCCAATTATGAAATGGCTGGCCTTCGGAAGATGGGAAGTTTTTGACACAAGTCATGTAGGACAATGATCACGGGGACCTTTTTCTCGCAACAATAATGCTGAAGGTGTGCAGGACCAAGAGCGTGCTCTGACAAGTGCCACTCAAATCTTGGAGACCTCCATTAAGATCCATCGTGGTGGCTGTCGCTCTTTGTTCAGCCGTAGCACGATCGACCACTAGAGGCGTTTCACCATCATCTTCTGATTCACTAGGGAATCCTTTCTCCGCGCAGTGGCCTATTTCTGGTAAAATTAGTTATGGTATGGAGTGGCCCGTTCTGGATATTCAGGTGTCGGACCCCCATGGCACTGAGCAGTTGAATGTGCTACTGGGAATGAAACTTCTGCGGCTGCTGCTAGGCTCCGGTTGAGAAGCTATTGAGCCTGTCGATGCATCTGGAAAATGGAAAATGCAGCCTGAGTAACCTTCGCTTCGAACTCAGAAAGCTAGAATACTCATGAGGCCTCTAGTCCCCATCAAATGTAGCCTAGGGCCTGTTTGGCGGGCGGTAAGCTGCATGTCCTCCTCTGAATTGAGCGATGGTCCACATCCTTGCTGGGGACTTGGATCCGATTGCAACGTGTGACATGCATTCGTCAGAGGCTGATGTTGGACCTAATGCTGCTCGTGTGAATCCGAACTTCCGGATCCCTTCCTAGATCAGTTGGCGCTCGCTCGAGTCTCTCCTCTTTGCGACCAAGATGTGACAAAACCGGTCGGGATAGCATTCGCAACTCGAGGTCGAGATCGTTTGCGTCCACTACTCAAACGTGAGTTCTGCGGGGGACCGGTGCGAAAGCCAAACAGTGAAAGGCGACCAAACCCACAAACTTGAAGCCCATGGCAACAATAAATGTTGACGCAAAACTTCGGGATATGAAACACGATTTGCCGCACGGGGGGGCAAAACGAGAGGCCCCAGGAGCGCGAAGCAAGCCTTTAAGCTTAGTCTCTGAGTCGAATGAGATCGCTTAGCTGTCGTATCCGAGAGGTTCCCGCGTGTGTTAGCTGACTAGAGGACGAACTAGTGAAGTCCGAAACATGAACGGGTTTGGATGGAGCCATGGGTGGCAGCAGGATGGGGGAAGTGAATATCTCGATTTGATCGTTGGCCGAGTCAGAGCACGAGCAAAGTCATAGGGCCATCAGGCCGCAGAGGCCGATGATGGAAGGGGAGTGACCCAGAGTGAATCAGGCTACATCGTAGGCTCTGCTGGGCGCGCCCTAAACTCACAGGTTTGGTGCTGGTGGGTGCTGCGTGTCAGATGCATGTCCCCTGGAAAGGCCCTCGATGGCGCCCATGAAACTTCTGGTTATTCATCGCTAGCCCAGACTCGGCTTAACGGCCACAATCTGCGCAGACACATGGCAGGTGGAAGAGAAGCTCTGACAGTTGGTTCTTGGAACCCCAGTGCCACCGCAGCCCACCGCAGCCCACCCAGAGCCACCCAGAGCCACCCGGGGCCAGTGGGAGCCACTCCTGGACGTTGTCCCCTGGCTCAGGCGGGTGGACCTAACCTGAGTCGAGGCTAGGGGCTTGGATCTCATCTGTTCCACACCCCGATTCTGAATCCCTAGGGTGAACCCAACGAGACTCGCGAGACTCGACCAGTGTCTTGTCTCTCGTTTGCGGGTGTCCTTGGGGGCCCTTGGAGCCCTCCTTGGGTCCTCCTGGAGTTCTGCGCGTTCCATTTGCTCTCCCTTCCCCTCCCTGCGCCGCCCACCTTTTCCCATTTCCATCTCCCAATTGCACTTGTGCTCGTATCCTTTCCTTTTCCCCCTTCCCTCTTTCATCCGTCGCCTACATCTGCGAGGTCTGTTTTCAACACGACCTAGCCGCTCGTTGCTTGCTCATCCCGTTCCCTACCATTCCGCCTCACAAAACATCTCAAGTCGCCTCTCGATCTTTTTGTCGCCGTCACGGTCGTTCGCTACTCTCAGGGTTGTGCTCGGCTTGCCGTCAAATCGCCGCCATCTATCTCGCGCTGCTTGCTGGCGAGGCCATTCGTTTAGCGTCCAATTATAATTTTTTCGGCCCGTCTCCGACGCCTTCACAATCGACAATAGGCAAGGAAGCTTGAAGCTACGAGTCTTTATCACTGAGAAGAAGAGCTGGCTCACTGCTGTTCTGAAGAGGATATCTGTGCGACTTGAGTGCTCAGGCCCCTCTGCACCCAGTTTCAGACGGTCGGCCTCGTCATGTCGACTGCTGTAGCTCCAGCAGCAATTGCTGCGCTCCCACCCCTCGACCGAAATCCGAGCCCTAGAACATATCCGCCGTTGGCTCCTTCGAGTAATTCGCACCCAAAGGACAGGAATGCAGATATGGTGATGGTCTCCGAAATGAGTGGTGGCATGAATCCCAACGAGAGGACACCCTCGGACGGGAAAAGGTCCCCCAGATCGTAAGTTGCTTCGAAACCCACGTTCCATGCCACGAGAGAGCTGATTATCTTCCCACCAAGCAGTAGGAGCGCCGGAAATCCAAAGATTATTGTGAAGAAAGAGCCACCGACCTCTCCTTCGCTCCAGGCGAGCACTCGCCACCGCCCAAAGAAGTTGGATTTGAATACAAATACCTCAATCTCGACCGGCCTGAATTCGCGGCCTTCTGCAACACCACTGACTGCAAGGGATGGTCTGGTCTTGCATGATGTCGGGTTGGCCTGTTTGTCACCTGGTTTCCAAACCCAAGATCCTGCCATGCGAGAACAGCTCGAACGAAGCATATCTGTGCGAGACCAACAACGATCAATCATCCAGGCAAGACTCCTTAAGTCGGCTCGCGGCGATGCACCAGAGTCAGGAAAGAATGGCGAAGCGCCCGGCCCAACATCCAGCAAGAGCACCGTGGCGGGTTCGAAGAAGAGACCACCACCAGGTCTATCGATTGTTCCTCCTCCCGCTGAGCGATTTGCCAATGAAAGGGTCATACAGTCTGCACCATTGAACCAGACTTTCACCGGTCGGCACGACCCTGCTCCTGTCTCGAGGCAGGTTAACAATCAACCGCACAACCTGGCACAAAACTCACATATCCATCACGTCCCTGCCATACAGACCACCAACCGGTTGCCCCCTATTGCCGATGTCTTTGGGGCTAACGAGCTCCATCCTGGTCCTGGTCGACCACCTTTTCTCCATGCAAACTCAACTCCATCTCAAAGCCACGGTCCTCCTCTGCCATCGCCAGGATTCCCTCCGCAAACAGCTCACCCGACCTCCCAGCCTCAGTCGCACAATTTCGATCGACCTAGGGAGTACCGATCGGCAGAGGAAGCTGTGCACGAAATGACCGGGGGGCGAGAGGACCTCTTGCCGAAAATTGTTCACTATGGTGGTCATCAACCCCCAACTCCTCCTTCGCCTCGCGCTGGACACAAAGACAGTCTCACTCCACACAAGTATCAACCTAGCATGCAGTCCACAAGCAGGAGGAGAAGCCGCAACGAGTATGAGGACGGTAGCAGTCCACCGCTCGGCTCGGGTCCGGAGCGAATTCGTTATAACGGACCTTTCGGGGAGGGAAGGGACAGCCCGGCGACACAGCGAGCAAAGAAGGAGGAATTCTTGAGTCTGTGCTCGAGAGCCTGGGACCTGTTCCACTCCTGAGTCGCAGCCACAGGTCGTCGCTCTCATGTTCTTGTTGGTACACAAAACATATCCCAGCTCTTCTTGGGCGACGGCGCTTCACGGCGTAATGAGACAGTTATCTTTTGCTCTGTGGGATCTTGGGACTGCCGAGGATTGTGGGAAACATTTGCGGCGCTTTTCTGGGATTTTTGTTGATGAAATTTCAAAAGGAGGCAACTGCGTAATGATGAACAAGGACTGGCTGGACTGGGACTATTGCTTAATACCAATTATCGACTTCAGATCACAACGAAACGGGTGGGATGGTTGAACTGGGAAGTTGTGGTGGGCGCCAAAGGTCTCCCAGGTACCAAGGACAGGTTGATGATGATGCATTTTCACTCTTGCTTACGTTCGGGATGTGTAGGATGGGTTGGAAGGGAGGACGAATTGGTAGTGCACAGATTCGCTAGGCTTGGGAAATGGGAAATTTAGCCACCTTGAATGGTGCTCAAGTTGAATCGTATGTTCCTTCTGAGCGGTGATTCCCTGCGAGGCCCTTTTGAATTGACATACAGGAGAATCTCGCCGGCCGCAAGGAAACCTGGAAGTGTGGATGTCGGATGCCATGCCGAGCCTTGCGCGAGAAGGTGATACGGAAGACGTTGAGCTTGAAGGTTGATTCCTTTTCTCCAACTCGGATTTGGAGAAAAGCGTCTAACCCCGCCACTGACCACGAGGCTGAAGAGTCCTTTCTCCAACTACACATTCTTACGGTACCTCCCGAGGCCTCTTAACGACCGTTTAAAAAACAAAGACTCGGAGTTGTTCGCGCATGGAGCCAGCCCAGCTTCCTCGGTGCTCTCTTTTAACCCATACTTTCCGCTTCTATGATTTTCCTTTTTGAATGCTTGCAGGGGAAAATAGGGCAAGGGCAAGAGTAACAATAGGTCTCGTACAGCTAATCAGACGTACGAGCCGGGGCTGGAGGACGCTGTCATCTGCGCCGTCACCACCACCGCCATCGTCTATTGCCAGTTCGAGAGGGGTTCACCATACGCAAGGTTCTTTTGGACCTCGATCTATAAGCCACTTGTCTGGCAGTGAGATTGCAACTTGCCCGGTTAGTTTTGCCAGGACACTCCATATACGCAGCGGCGGCAGCACCCCCACCACCAAGCACACCCATTATTGCGCTCTCAGCACTGCAGCCCCGTCCAGAATGCGTGCTCAAGTCCTACAACGGTTCAATGAACCGTACACCTTCACGACCGAGCACCCTGCGCCGGCTCCGCCGAAGGGACATGAACTCCTCATCCACGTCAAGGCGGCCTCGTACTGCCACACGGACGCCGTCTTTGTGAGTGGTGCCATGTCGCAAGACCTGCCGCGCATCGGCTCTCACGAGTTTGCCGGCGTCGTGGAGCAGATCGGCCCCGACGCACAGAAGATCGCCGAGGCAAAGGGGCTGAAGGTCGGTAGCTTGGTAGGTGTTCCCGGGAGAGCGTTCAACCCGTGCGGCCAGTGTAAGGAGTGCACGGAGAATGGTGGGGATATGAAAGGGTACGGGGTCTGGTGTACGAAAGCGGGCAATCTGGGGATGACCAAAGACGGCGGGTTCCAGGAGTGGTGTCTGGTGGATGTCCGGCAGGTTGCCCGCGTGCCCGAGGGAGGAAGCATGCGGGCGGTGGATATTGCGCCGTTGATGTGCGCGGGAGTCACGGTTTGGAATTCCCTCGAGGCGGCCGGCGTGGATCCTACCGCGGGGAAGGAACATGGCCAAGGCAAATACGTTGCGATTCTGGGAGCAGGGGGTGGATTGGGACATCTGGGCGTGCAGTTTGCGGCCAAGCTGGGGTGGAACGTTGTCGCCGTCGACACGACGCCCGCCATGGGAATGCTGAAGAACGTGATTGAGGAACTTGGAGAGGACGGCAAGAGAGTTACGACGGTGGATGCGTTGAAGGAATCGGTGGATGACGCGAAGAAGCGCATCTTCGGCGAGCCCGAAAAAGGTCTAGAGGGCGAAAAGGGTTGCGACTCGTCCATCATCCTCCCTGAATCGCAGGCCGCCTTTGATTTTGGCATGGGCGTGTTGAGAAACCACGGCACTTGTGTGGCCGTGAGTTTCCCCAAAGACGGGTGGAGGTTCAAGCCCGGCGATCTGGTGTTCCGACACATCAAGCTGGTCGGCGTCTTGACTGGAAGGAACCGACAGTTGCAGGCCATGGTCGATTTCGCTGCCAAAAACGGTGTCAGGGCAAAGATCAGGACGTATGCGCTGGAAAACTTGAATGAGTTGGTCGAGGACTATCACCGGGGCGTGGGTGGGAAGCTGGTCGTAGATATGGAGATGAAACCATAGTCACATCAAACATGGTACAACTGCATCTTCGTCACTTTCCTCGTCGCTATCGCTCACGTCTGACCCTGGGCATATCCCTCGCTTCTTTGGCCTTTTCCCTCTTCCTTCGTCTCTTCTCTGCCTTGTCCCGCCCTTTCTTGCCCAGACTTTGCAATCTCTCCTCCTTGGCAAGCCTCTTGATGTCAGCCTCCTTCAAATAGTAAGGCTTTGACTTCTGTCCGGTCCGGAGCGCCTCCTTTTCTTTTTCTTTGTGTCTTTTCTGGATCTCTTTTTCGCGTTGGTGCGCCTCTGCATTGCGGATTTTTGATTCCAGGGACATGACTTGTCGCTTCAGATCGGCAACAACGTCGGGATCCTTTGCCTTTTTGATTTGAGCCTTGAGCTGGAGAACCTCGTCGGCTTGATATGTGGATAAGAAAGAATAGTTCTTGTTCGCCTTCTCGGTGGCGTTTATACCTCGATTTGCGGACATGACTGTAGGGTCGAAGCGAGGATCTCGCGCTTTCAACGCTGGGGATGGCTCGAATATGATTCTCTTTCGCGAGACCGGTTTGCGCGCCGATTCAACGGTAGGGGCGTGTTTTGAGGTTCTCTTGGGTGCATTGATCCGTGCCTCCTTGGCTCTTTTTCGCGTATCGAAGGATTCTGCTCGGTTCGCCTCCCGCTGATCTGATAAGGGCTCTTCCAAGCTCTCCGCAAGTTTTCGTTTCCGAGGTTTGGGATCGAAGGTTTCCTGGGCTTTGGCTAGAACACCGAAGCTGATGTCACCCAGAGGGGCTTCTTCGCCTGCTTCTGACCCGGATGATAGAGCGGTGTCCTGAGAATTGTTAGCATAGTAAAAAGAACCTTGTCGCCTACATCGGTATACTTCATCTTCAGACCGCGGGTCGCCTCCCGCAGAGGCGTCACTCTCTGACTGCGTTTGACTGTTCGAATCCTGGTCAGAAGCCTCTAGCTCCTCTTCCTCTTCCTCGTCATGCCTCAGTTGGATAGGCTGCTCTAGGAATCGTCCTGAAGCCATTGAATCCACCAAGGGTAATTGATGTACCAGCGCAGTGATTCTTCAATTGCAACCCCACGACGGACTTTTTCTGTGAAATGCGCGGAAAATAGGCAGCGGCAGATCGACAACCTTAAAGCCCGATAAAGTTGAGGACTGCGCCATACGCAAAATAGAATGAGAGCACAACTTTTGTCTGTGCCTGTCTTTCAGAAAAAACATCCTCACCATCATCTACGCTTTCGTCCTACCCGCTACTGGGCTCTCCCTCGAAAGCATTCGAGGTGCGCGCAGTCTGGCGTTGCGCATAGGGAGCACCAGCAGTCTCTGTCGCAGATCGCATCCAAGAGTCTGCCTCACCTCCAAACTCCCACTTCACTTTCGCCGCCCACTAACTCTTCTCCCAGTGGCAGCACGACCCTCACCGTTTCCAACCCTCTCTACACCCTCCGTCATCATCTCTACATACAACCAGATTGCTCAACATGGGTAAGAGTCGAGGCGACCGATACCGGTCGAACAATGGTCAACTGCCTGGCCCCCCGGATGCAGTCCCTCAGGAGTCTCAGTCACGGATTGTAGGCGCATATGAATCCTACAGGCCAGATGGAGGCGCGTATGATTCCTACAGACCAGACAGATTCGCGCAAATTCGACAAGGTGACTACTTTGACTGCTATAATCAATACAGAATTGACATTTACAACGCAGTGGATTCGTGGAGATCCTACAGAAACGACGACTCGACTTTACAGAGTGCCGGATACTACCAGTCCGCCTACCATGGCAGTGCTGGCAACCCTCAGCACCAAATGTATCCTCCCGCAACAGCGAGACTCGGTGTTGGCTCCTCTGCGGCTCAAGCCTCCCAAGTTCAACCGTCTTACTATACTCCATATCAACCTCTAAGGTCAGTCCATAACTACGCTCGATATCCTACATATCGAGTTGACAAGCCATACAGAGTATCGGATGGTACTCGTGAGAGGTATATCGTCCAACAGGCTCAAAACATATTACCAATAGCTCAGCCGCATAATACCCCTCGATATCAGCTCCGACAGAGACGGCCAGAGCAGATTGCTCCGTATAGCACTGCAGCTGCGGCCAAACGTGGACAGGTTGAGACTACCGCGATTCCCGCAATTTCTCGACGCGATCGATGGACTCCCGAAGTGAAGCCTCCTCCCGCCCCGATAGCAACCGAAGAGTACAAGAGTCAAGCAGCGCTACCGCCAGCCCTGAGACAGACACCACAAAAGCTTCTAGTTATTCTCGACCTCAACGGCACACTCCTTGTGAGACCTTCGCATCATCGTCCTAAGTACATAATTGTCAGACCTGGTGTCCGACAGTTGTTAGATTACCTGTTCCAGAATCATGTCGTCATGGTCTACTCGTCTGCGAAGCCCGAGAACTGTGCGGCCATGGTAAATCAGTTCTTCCATCCAACCCAACGGAGTGCAATGGCAGGTGTCTGGGCCAGAGATAAACTGGGGTTGAACAAACTGCAGTACGACACCAAAGTCCAAGTGTACAAAAAGCTCGAGCCGATTTGGGAAGACGAGACAATCAGAAAGAAGGCGGGACCTGGCCAGAAATGGGATCAGAGTAATACCGTCCTCGTTGACGATAGCCAACTTAAAGCTCTAGGCCAACCCCATAATCTGTTGCAGATCCCGGAGTTTTTCAACAATGCGCCCAAAACAGGAGGTCAAGCCCTCTTGAACTGGCAGCGGGAGCAAGAACAGATCGTATATTCTATCCAGCAAAAGTTGGAAGAACTCAAATGGCAGGTCGATGTATCCAGGACGATTCGAGAATGGCAGACAGGCAAGCGACAAGCACCGGGTGTGGTCGACGAGACAGTAGACCAAAAGGCTCTTCAAGGTACTCAGGACCGAGACCTATCCCCTACACCGAGTATCGGTTCGCCTGCGCCAAGTGTTGGTGAGCGTGAAGCTTCACTCTCGCTACAACTGCAAACGCCAGAGGCTTCCGTCCTGTCTGACGCGGAGGTCTCGAGTCTATACGAGCCAGATGGAGGTGTCAAGATCGCAGCTGAGTCCACCGCTCTAGATGCTCTAGATGAACTAGAAAAAGAGATCGACCGCAGTCTGAATCTCAATCAGAAACAGAAGAGCCAAGATACAGACCCGACCGTCAGTTCGGCGACCGCTACCACTGGCGTCCAAGACCAAGATCAACGACGAAGTGAGTCACCCATCGACGAGAGTGTCTGGGCTGACATTCTCAGAGGCCGTGGGGACGACGCCGGGCACGTCGACAAAAGTGTCCAAAAAACAACGCAAGCGAGAGATCAAGGCAGCCGCGAGAAAAAGACGCCAGGCCAAAAAGCTAGCGCGGACCAAGAAGGCAAAAGCCAACAACGCCAACGCAGGAAGAGAGGCCGACGTGGAGCAAAAGAGTCGGAATCCTTGAAAGATGTCCCGCCAACTCCAGAGAGTATGGACGCCTGAAAGTATCAATGACCGTCGCGAAATTGAGGATTGATGGTCGATATTATCAGTTTTGCTGACTGGCTGATGGCCACAGATCACGTTTCAACATGGGTCAGCCTGTATTGAACAACACCCTCGTGCTTGGTCGATCGTGAAGGGACATATCGCGCAATGTCGGATAGTCGTACATTCCGTCGTGGAATGGCGATGCTCAATGCCTGTTTATTTGCTTGCTTGTCTGTTTGTTCGGGTGGTAGACTTCAAGGAGAGCTGCTCATTGCCGAGCTGAATCTTGATGCCGTCCCAGACGCACAATCACCCGACTTTGCTCTGTCTACGGGGCTGAAACTCATGGCGCAATTTGACGTTATGTAAGGGGGAGGGGACTGTATCATTCGGTAGAAATGCTGGATGATCACGGTTCGCAGGACAGAATCAGCGTCCTCTTGTGGGGGTTGTTTCGTCAGGTCAAAGTTCAAGGTACACGTAGAGAAAAGGGTGCTGGTGCAGAAGATTGATGCACACACAGCCTTTCATACATGCTTTGCCCGTTAGATTTTGCTCTTGTCCCCGCTGCCTTCCTTCACCACCCCGACCTAGCAAGGAAAAAGTAATGTAGGCGAACGAGGTAGGGTTAAGGAGGGAGCGCGACAGGGAATTTCCTTTCCTACTTCCCGCCCACGCCATCGCCATCGCCTTGGCCGCCGGAGCCCTTCTTCTGCCTCTGCACCCGCTCTTCAGCCGCAATCCTGCGCTCCACCATCTCCCTGACCTCCCTCTCCTCCTCCCACGCCCTGCGACTCCTGTCCATCGCCCTCCTCTGCCTCCGAATCCCCTCGTTGAAGTCCCCGACGCTCTTTTCCGCAAAGATACACCCGCCCAGGATCATGGCGCTGATCTGCAAAAACACCTTGAACTGGATCGTCAGTCCGCGGTACACGGGCGTGTAGCGGTTGAGTAAGAAGTGGGAGGCGAAGGAGATGGTGCCGAAGCGGAGCGCGCCTGACGCAAACCCTTGCGCGGCGACTTGGGAGAGTTGCGGCGGAGGGAGGGCGTCGGTTATGTAGCTGGGAGGTGGCATTATTTCCTGTTGAGCGTCGCGAAACAGTGTATTCACGGTGTAGAGCCTCAGGGATGGGAACAGGGAAGAGAGAGAAGAGGTTGATGTTGGTTGGGAGGAGGGAGTTGCGGATGTGATGGGACTTTGGTGACGAGGATTCCCCTTTCGTTTCTTTGACTGTTGTCGGGGTATAAGACAAAATGATTCTTTTTTGAATACCGCGTTCGATACAGATGTAAATACAGAGTAAGTGTTGGTCGTGTGAGTGATGAAGCTCTGGGGGCTCTGCCTCGACGCTCCGCACTTTGTTACCCAATGATGACGTTGATTTTGCGGACGGGAAGGCAGACGGGGACCGGGAAATTGTCGGTCGATATCTTTTTCTCGAGAAAAGTTCACGGTGAACCTGCAGCGACAGAACTAACAGGCGCTGGAGACTTGCACTACATACCAGTGTTGCAATTCGAGTTTCGCGAACAATCGCCTCAAAAGCCGCCCGCTCCCCAACATGGCGCCCAAACCGCCGTCAAGCTCAAAATCATCCGCGAAGAATCCCAAAGCGCGCAAGTCTGCCACCACTACAGGGCCATCCTCGAAGAAGTCCAAAATCACAAAACGGCCACCGCCAAAACAGGTCAAAACTCGCCCCGGCGTGCATTCCCAAACATCAACACAGGGCACGAAGCCATCCAAGCGCAAAAATCAAAAGACTTACACCGACAAGGACCTCAATCTCCCGGCCCTCAACATGATAACGCCCGTGTCCGCACCCGAGAACCCCACCTCTCACGCCCGCAAGGGAGGCACGGGGAAGAAGAAGAACAAGATCTACATTGACGACGAGGAATCCATGCGCACGATCCTGGCCATGGTCAACGCGGAGAAGGAAGGGCAGATCGAGAGCAAATTGATCAAGGCGAGGCAGATGGAGGAAATCAGAGAGGCGCGGAGGAAGGAGATGGAGAAGAGGAAAGAGAGTAAGAGGGAGGAGCTGGAAGGTGTCAAAAAGGGGTTGAAGAAAGGGAAGAAGGCAAAAAGAGAGAGGGACACGGGAAACGATCAGGAAGGAAATGGACAATCCAACACCAAGACAAAGACCAAGAAGCGAGTCTCGTTTGCGTGAGCGACACGAGTCAATCGAGGAGACGAGTCTATCTTCTCTATGCGTTGTCTGGCCATCTATGATGTCTATGGCGATGTCCCCGGCAAACTTCATAAGCCTGGGACATGCATTTTCCTCCGCATCGGCTCGAAGACAGGCTTCAACGGCTGTCGTTCACCGCGTGAGATTTGTCCTTCGAGTTGAGCGCCATCGCCTTCCATCTTGGAAATTGTGTCCAAGTCAATATCGTTGGCCATGGTCTGGAAGAACGATGTGGTCTGAGCGCACTCGGATGTCAGCGGAAAGATTTCTTCACAAAACGGTCAGGAGGATACTGACCACTCTTTCGAACCATCGCCTGCCACCGAGCTCAAACCAACTCAAATGGCCCCCACCAGGAGTCGTACACAGTACCCCATACGGTGTCTGTTGAACTTCTTCCCGCGGCAACGCCTCACTCGCAGTCACCGGATCATCTTCAGCATGGATTGCCAGGAAAGGGATCCTGATGGCCAATGCCGAATCGACCGACGATGCATCACGGTAATACGCCCCTTCTGTGGGGTAACCCCATGTGGGACCTTGGACGTATCGATCAAATTCATGAAGATACTTGACCTTTCGCACGAGGTCCACGTCAATCTTGGGGTTCTGTGAGATCTGGTCTACGTGCCTTTCGAAGAGCTTCTTCATACTCTGACCCATGCTGGCGGAATAGGCGTTTCGGTGGAACCATGTTCTCTGCAGTGCAAGATTTGCCGCCATGAGATCCCATGGATTGGATAGAATAACCGCTGCCTTTAAAGGGCAGTCACTGCCTTCTTCGCCCAGGTACTGGAGCAGATTAGAGGGGACAACTACTTAAAGCATAATGGTGGACACAGTACTCACGTTCGTAATAATATTGGCACCCAAGGAAAAGCCCATTCCAAAGAGAGGGCGATTGGGAAAAGTCTTCCTGAGCCAATTGACAGTCTGCCTCATGTCCCAGGTCGCGCGTGCGTTGTATAGCACGCTGCTGGTGGTTTTGGTCATGGCGCAGCCCCTAGAAATAACGACACAAGCCTCCCATCCACCTTCTCCAACCAAAGGTGCCAGGACATGGCGAAGATAAAGCTCATGCGAGCCCCCACTCAATCCATGAAGCATGACCAGCATCGGGCGGTTGTCTAGTGAGCCAATATTCTGGAACTCTTGTTCTGTAAAGTATGTCGTGCGCGAAGGGAGGTTCGGGTCGGAGTCATTGTTGGGAGATGTCACGAAGTCAACCGAGAACTGGCCGGTAAAGGTTGGGTCTTCATTTTCGAAGATTCTTCGCTTGTAGTAAATTGGCACAGACTCTCGCGTTAAGACTGTCCAGATGGTCTGGAGATGGCCATTGAATAGAAGCGGATTGAGTCGGCATGGTGGAATAAGAGATTTGCACAAGTCTGCAAAGGTGGTAGATCGACCGTCTTTCGTCTTGAGTATCAGTGGCTTGGTCGAGTGCCAGTATTTCGGCTTGACCATTCTGAGTGTCCTTCCAGGAAACACAGCCAGTGTCGCCACGAAAGTGAGCCCGACCAGTGTGAAAATCGGATGGTCTTGTGCTTGCTGTATCAATGCCGTAAGAGTGTGTATCGTCATCTTGTTCTCTATCCAAGACAGACAGTGTGGTCCCTTTCCATCCCAAAACAAGGCCGGGGAAGGCTTTGGGGCATATCAAGGGGCGGTAATGTGTTGGCCGGCGTCGCCGAGTCTATGGTGGATGGTGCGCAGCCACGGATGTACGTTGCCGCATCCGCATCCACATACTTTTAGGAGTCTTTTTCATCCTCAAAGTATCCTCTTTAAGAGTCCCCACACAGTTTAGACTTGACACTCTCGCGGAGCAGCGATATGCTGCGTCAGGTATTGGAAGGCATCAGTCACGAAGGGATGCGATGATGATCAGACTCGTAAGGGCGCGTTGATGAGGCTTTGACGCGACTCAACCGACTTCAAGCGCTCGAGGAACAAGAGCTGTTTGCTATCGTCAAACCAAGCCATCGGGAGAACATGAGAACATTTGACGAGGCGCATTGAGATCTATGAGAAATTTGACAAGATTTGATTGATTTTAAGGCGGTTTTGTTGTGAGGGTCAAGTGAAGTCTGAAGATAGCGACAAACTGCGGGCGGCCACCTTCTCACCACCTGCTCACCGTCTTCCCACCATGGATCCCAACTTTCCCTACAACAACAACATCGACAACTCCTCTTCATCCAACTTGAACTCCAACCTCAGCCAAGGCTACTTCTACGATCACAACAGTAGCTTTCCTCAGTCTCAGTACCCGTTCATGTCCGCACCTCAACATCCTCCACAACCTCAAGTGCATCCCCAGGCACCGTCTTATTACCAACCATCTTATCCCCAATCTCTTCCGCAGAACTATCCCCAGTACCATCATCACCAACAATATAACCAGTCCTACCAGCCTCCATTCCAGCAGTTTCAACAGCCGCTCAATCAACCACCTGCTCAGCTTCAGCCACAGCAACTGGCTCAACCTGAGCCTGCCCCCTTTGAAATCGTCATTCCTCGCCCTTCCATTCATTCGTCCTCTGCGCAGCCACTGCCCGACCAACGGTCTCCCGAAGCCAGCCATCAGCCCCAATCTCAAGTCCGGAAGCCGTATCCTTCCCACCAGAATACTCCAAACCACTACCAACAATCTCAACATGTACCACAGCCACCTCAACAGAATCTAAGTCAACGCTCCCAACCGTCTGTGGTCTCTGACCTACAAAGCTCCTCCAGTGCTCCCCCCTCCCAATCGAAGAAAAAGGAGAGACAGGTAGCATCCGCGAGTGCCTCAAATACTCCAAATATGACCCGACAGAGCCAGTCTCGTGTCCTGCAAGCCGTTGAGATCAATGCAACACTGAAACAGCCGGTCACTAAAACACCAGATCATCGCGATTCTGCAGCTTTACCCGATGAGCCAGAACCAGATTACCCTTCTCTCCTGTGCGTTCTTGCCGACGATTACCACGAAGCGGCCCGTAAGCTGCCTGCTTTGACTGAAGAATATTACACTCTCATCTCAACCGCGCTCGGCTGTCTCGAATCAGCCCTGGCCAATTTCAAACTACCTCCTTTGAGAGAAGCACATGTCTCTCTCCGCTATGCGCAGATCTTGTATGCGGAGACCGAGAACTATGATGAGGCAGAGACGACCTTGACAAAAGCTATAGAACTGTGCGAGCGACACAAGTTTGTCGATTTGAAGTATGAGATGCAGCTCCTCTTATCCAGGGTACTTTACGAATCAAAACCCAAAGCCGCCTTGCGAGATATCCAGAGAATGATCGAGGACATCGAAGCCTATCGTCATACGGTTTGGATTTATGTTTTTCGCTTCCAGCATGCAATGTTTTCACTGGCTTCCAGCGCCCCGGGCGAAGTCCACGGCGCGGTCGTCCAGTTGGAGAAGATCACGACCTTGGCTCGTCAAAATTCCGACAGTGCAATCCTTGCATTTGCCGCTACGCTTGAATCTTTGCTCCATCTGTCTACCCAAAGCCACGATGCCGTCACAGCTAGTCAAACGGCGCTGGCCAAGGCTCGAGCTCTGCAGTTGAGTCCAGATGTTGAAGGCAACCCGCAACTGACCATCCTCATGGAGTTTATCGACCTTGCCTGCAGCGTTCGAGAAGCCGACATTAGCCAGACCGAGACCAAGCGCAAGATCATGCAAGAGGTTCTGTTCCAGGCGGTGGGCCATCCGAATTGGAGAGATGATGGCCTGATCTATATTCCGGTTGCAACGAAGGCAGTAGCTGGTATGCAACTCCATGGGAACGGATATGTCATCGAAAGAAATGGAAAGTACCACATCCCTTTTTCGTGGCTGGGAAAAGAGGAAGCAGAGGCTTTGGGGTTCTTGTTCTCAGCAGAAAGTTCAGCTTACAAGAATGGGGCTGACGGGGGCAAAGCCGAGAAATTTGTGGACAGTGGTCTTTCTGTTCTTCGAGCTCTGGGCATGCCCTCCCTCAAGGCAGGGTACCGAGAGTCCAAAAGACAGTTCAACTCCCAACGGCTCGCGGAAGCTGAATTCTTGTTGCTTCTCGTTTTCCTGCAATGCTCCAAAGGGCTTTGGCAGGCAGCAAACGAATCGTTAGACAAGCTTCATGCAATTTCACAGGACATGGGCGACGATTTTCCGGTCAACCTGAAATACTGCCTACTGTACCTCCGGGGAGTAATACTACAAGGGACTGGAGATCTGACAGCCGCGCTTCGGGTCTATCAGTCACCGCTTTTCAACATTGGTACACAACACAATTCACCTTCAACTGGACCCGGTACGTCGAGACAGATATCGAACTCTTATCACGCAGAGTCTGACATTACCCGTAACTTCTCCATACTCGCGGCGATGAACTCGGCCATGATCATCCGCAATCCAGCCCATCCGCAACACAACCGTTTGTCGTCTCTAATCAAGACTTTGAATTCAGCCGTTCAGAACTGTACAAATCGATACATCAAAGCGCATTTCGCGCTCCTAGAGTCTATTCTGTCCACAAACACGCTCGCAGAGAAGCAATATCTGAAACGCTCGATGGACGAAGGCAGAGCAATCGGAAGCGCGCAGACCACAGCTTTGGCACTCATCTACATGCAGGACCAGCTGTACAAGGGCATGGTCGACGAGCAAGCCTTGAAATGTGCCAAAGCTTCCAGTTTTCAGACCAAGAGATGGGGGCAGCCAATGTGGATGCACGTTGCGGCGGGCTTGGAGGCTCAGGCGCTGGATATTCATGGCTTCCCCAAAGAGGCACAAAAGAAGAAGGATGAAGCAGAGGCGGGCTGGCAGAGGCTGCCCAAAGGCATCAAGGGTATTCAGGATGATGGTTTAGGCATGAGCGACCAACAGTGAATTTGTTTGGAGTGTGGTCAAACTTCTGATTTACGATTTATGGGTGTGATGGTGGACAACTTTCTGTTTTAATCCCACTGTGTTGATTGGGGGGTTATGGGACTCGTCTTCATGCAGCAGGGAGCTAGGTAGGACAAAGGACCAAAAACGGTGGGAAAATGTCAATGTCTGGGAAGTTCTGATGCAGTTGATTCAAGCTTTGATGAAATTTGATGGCTAGCTTTTGTTAACAAGTACATGAATTCATACCAGAGAATCCCTCCATCGTACGACAGCCATGGAAATGTGAGGAGAGGCGAGTCCTAACTCACAGCAATGGGTATCTTGATTTCTGATCCCCGTGTTCGGGAAGATGTAGAACCTACTAGCTACCAGGTACCTAGGTACAGAAGCTCGGAGGAAATAGGTGATCTATCTGCTTGATCTCTCAATACTGTACAGTTGTCGTATAAGGAACATACATAGCATACAACGTGGATAATTTTGAGGGGGGGCCACAATATTCAGGTAAATTACATTCGCCAGCTCAAATCACTCATTCACTCACTTACTCACTCAAAGCACTCACTCGATCAGTCTCATCCACTTCCACGGTCGTCATCCTCTTGAGCATCACCTGCTGGACATGCTGCGAGTCCGCCGGCTGGAGTTCTTCGGTGACGTGACTCTGTTCGGCCTTTTGCAAGACCAAGGGCGTGTACCTCGGCCAGCGCCTTAGCAAGTACACTGCCAACCCGACGACGACGGCGAGCGCGGGAACGCCCAATCCGACGGATAGACCGATGATTAGTGGTTTGTGGTCGTTGTGACTCTCGTGGCCTGCCGAAGCAGTCGCGCTGGATGTCGAAGAAGAAGACGACGACGAGGACGGTGGTGGCGGAGGGGGGACGTAAGAGACTGGACTTCCCGTCGTCGCGGACAGGGCTTTGGCATTGGACCCGAAAGCAACGGTCCTCACGGGCGTCTGGGTGGTCGTCGCAGGCCAGGTGGCCTCGGAACCATACGGCACTGAGGTGGTCGAGGTCAGAGTCGCGGTGAAGGTCTTGGTGGTCTGCAGAGACACGGGGCAGTTGATCAAGCCGGGCGAGATGCAGGCCACGCCGGAGGAAGTCGTCTCGGTGGTGATTGTGGCTAGCGTGAGGGACAGGTCGCCGCCCGTCGCATCTCTGGCTGTGATGGGCGGCGCCGATGATGTCGCACTTGTCGTGGTCGAGGAGGAGCTCCGGTGCGCCGCACAGGCTGATCCCAGCTCCGTGTACCAGATGGGAACCTCCGTCTCGGGCGTCGGGCCCCATGTGGTCCCGTCGAACGCGGCCGATGCGCCTGCCGCGGCCCCGAGGCCCATGGTGAAGGACTCGACGAGGGCCAGCTCGCAGCCGTCGTCGTCGCCGCTGCTGTCGTAGGTGACGTTGGCCACGAACTCGGCAATGTTGGCAAAAACCCCGGCCTCCAAGCCCGCCGAGGCGCCGAGCGTGTGGTTGGCAATCGAGACGGACGTGTCGAGGTCGAAGGTGATGCCGGCATGGAGACCCACGCGGAGCGCGCCTGTGAGCACAAAGCCAGCACCTGCGACGTTCACCGGTAGGAATTCAAACTTGCCGCCATCACTGGGAAAGACATGTCGTATTAGTAGGGAGCGTGGTACAGGGGTAAAATATTGCCTTACAGTGTTATGCTGTCAACGCTGCTGTTGAACATCTGCAGATTAATGCCCGCTCCATCGACCTTGATATGCACGCCGCTGCTGATATCGACCTCGGCGGCGGCAGTCAGGATCAAATCCACGGTAAAGAAGGCACCAATCTCTAACTTGTCGCCTAGGCTGTATCCCACTGGGCTCTCTGATGTGTAGAGATTGATCGTGTAGGTGGATTCGACGGAGAGGACGGTGTCAAGCTTCATGTAGAGCTCCAGGTCGTCGAAGCGGAACTGGAGCCGGTAGTCGAAATCTGGAAAGCTGGGGACCTCGACATTGAAGTTGATCTCTGTATAGTTGGCGTTGCCGTCCGCTAGGTCCTTTATGGCCTCTCCGGCTTCCTCGGTAATGTTCTTGACCATGTCTATGGCACTATCCTCGAGCTCTGTGATGTTGAAGTCGGTGTTGCGGGTGAGCTGTCCGCTAACTCTCCCAGCGATGTAGCAAGTAGTACAAACAATCTGGACACCGTATTGAGTATCGAGTGAGCTATTGACACTCCGTTTACTCGACACATCCTCCTCCGCGTCCATAGTGCTGTGAAAGCCCCAGTCAGACATTTGGTCAAATGAACGGGTTCTCTCAAGGAAAGAAAATGCGGAAGTTGTCCCTACATGGCAAATAGCGTTGCACCATCCCAGCTTTTATCGAGGGTCTCGTCGAAAAGGTTGACTGTCTCGTCAGTCCCGGACGTAGATAGGGCGCGGCGCAGAATCCGGAGCGTTTCGGCCTCTGTCAAGCCAGCGTCATTGTAACTGCTGAACGTGAGGCCCGAGGTTGGAGAAGCAGAGGTAGCAACCAGGCTGAGAGCCCATGCAAACACTGAGAGACAAGGATAGGTGAACATTTTGCAAGTTTACAAGTGACGAGGCTGAGGACTTCCCCTGATCTTCGTCCTGAAGTAAGATACGTGAACACACCTCAGCGAACTCACCTCAATTTCTGCGATGGCCGACCTTGTTATACTGAGCAGCTCAACTCTCTCGATCTCAGACTCTGGAACAGCTTACCCTTGCATACCATGCCGCGGGACTTGGCCGGAAACCAGTGCCAGCCTCGAAGTCGGGAGCAGTGCCGCGTTTTGGCCCCGGCATTGCTTCGAGCATATGCACGTTGGCGTTCTTTCGAGCCTTAGTGTGGGAAACTGAAGCAGCCACAAGTACTCCAAACTGGTGGAGGAGGCAAGCCACCAAAATCGAGATGCAACCCGGTTTGTGTTCGACCAGAAGGGCAAACCCTCGGCCTGACATCAGTTCTGGCACCCCGTCGTCTTGCCATAAGGATCTGGGATGATGTGCACAATGGAACATTAATTTGCAGTTCTTTAGGAGATTTCAAGACAACCCCAACCGCACAGGGCCAGGTGCCTTCGCAGATACATTCGAGGGGATGTCTGGGAGCAACTCCCCTCTCCGGTATGTGTAGCAACAGGAGTGGACCCCGTTTGATGGAAGGCGGAAAGGGCTCAACAATGAGGATCGATGTCCTTAGCTCAGCCCAAATGGGAATACATACATGATGTTCGAAGGCGCACTTGCAGCTCCTAGGCGTGGGTATCAATAATAGAACGATAGAACCAGGGTATATAGTACGGAGTATGTCGTGTAGGGGCTTATCGCAGCTGCTGGAAGCCAACGGTTCTTTTGTTTCGTCGATGGATAAGTCTGCCCTACCCCTATCCGTGTCCTTTGCTGTGCCCCAAACTCCGTCCCCTCGTCGTCGAGTCTGGAACCTGAACAACCAGTAATTATCAGCATAGCCCTGGTGGCCCGCCTTGGTAATGTGGAGATTTTGTATGAGGCTGGGTTTGGGGGCCGACGAGGAGATAGAGTCCCGGATCGTTACATTGTCTCAACAGTCGACGCGGGGCCCTTTTCTGTTCCGAGTTAGCATCGATACCTGACATGCATGTCGGTCTCAGCCACTGCCGCAGATGGTTCAGTTAGTCAGTTACAAAGACAATCTCCTTCCCTGGTCAGATGGAGAATACACGGAGTACTGAGTAATAGCGCAAAGGTGAGAACCAGAGGGATCAGGCGACATGCCAGGAAACGGAAGCGGTCCAAACAAAAGCCCCACGACTCTGGTGCATCTGGCCTCGTCAGGCGTACTCAGTCAGGGCACCCCTGGAGGCTGGATGGGCTTTGCATCTCAAAACTCGCACTGAGTACCGAGTACGAGGTGCTCGAGTCGTACACGCATAACTCGCCCACCGGGCACTGGCGCTGCGGTGGAGGCTGGATCCGCGACTAACTAGACGCTGCGAGACTGACAATCCGATATCGTGTATGATGCTGTAATGGTGTCAGACGACGGTAGTTGTATAGGTGGACGGTGAGGCGGGTCGCAGTCGCCCATGGCCTAACAACGCGTTTCCTTGTAGGACGAGCACAGCCAGCCGCTATGTACCGAGTACAAGGTACATATGTACTCGGTAGTCTTGGCCATCCTCATCTGAGCAAACCACGACAAAGAATCATGTAAATTAACATATGTACAGTATGTTCATGCATAATATGCTCAAGCAAGCCGAGAGGAGACTGGAGCATACATCTCCCTTTTTCCTTCCACTGCTCGCCCAGTCTCTCAAGAAACATATCTTATTACAGTATCGTAAAGTCTGCCGTATATCACCGGAGCCTTGTCTAAACGTAAGAAAACAAAAGACACCAGGTGAAGGCAAATCAATGCATCGTGGCGAATCTCATCCCCAGTATCCCGGACGCGCTGTCTACCGCAGGAAGCCGTCCATGTAACCGTCTGAAACATGGGCAGCCTGGTTCTTTTTGTTCTCGCCTGAACGCCTTCGCTTGCAAAAATTCAATGCAGTGTTTGCCAGACAACGATTGGCCGTGTGATTTCGTCGGATTTCCAACGACTTAGGTGTAGAAGCTGATGCCCGCATTCATAGCAACCACAGCAGATCATGCATCATGCTGAGCGACCAACTCATACGTTTGCTTCTTGGTGCCAAATCCACCGTTCCACATCCGCCAAAGCGGCAACTTGGCAGCACCGGGGAATCTGAATGCAACGACTCGAGGACTGCCCCTAGCAGTTCTCCTCCTCGCGCTCCAGATGAGCAGCCTCGAGTAGATGAACCAGGTCAAAAAGCCCACCGTCATGACGAGGAGGAATCCCAGGACGGTCAGCAGAACCCAATTCTTGCCCATCCAGAATATCAGCCTTGCATCTTTGCCGTGCCAGCTTGAGCCTTTGTAGGTCTTGAAAAAAGACCACGAGTGTTTGTTGTACTCGTCCGGCATGAGCACTCTGACTCTGCCAATCCAAGTCGCCGGATCGAGATGAGCGTGTTCACCCATCCACTTCTTCCACATCACACTCAGGAACAACGGGCCGGTCGAGGCCATGATGGTGATGTAGGGTAGGAGCCAGGACCTGTTGGCGCCTTGGAGCGACTCCATAACCCTCAAGAAAAAAGGATGCTGGGGGATGGCGCCCATGACGTCGTTGCTGATGCCCGTAGGGACCGTCCTCCGCACAAACGCCGTGTAGGACAACAATGGGTCAAGCCTTCTCTGGCAGCCATCGTCCAGGTCGAGGTAGACGCCGCCATAGTGTGCCAGCACAAAGTACCGGATCGCATCCGCCCGTTGGATGTTGTGCTTATACCCGACAAAGGTGGACAAGAACCACGGATACTCCTTGGCAATGAAGTCGAGAGATTTCTCATCGGTCCACAGTATGTACTCGTAGTCCGGGTGCAGATCTATACATGATTTCTGGGCGGGGACCCAGTGGGCAGGAATGGACTCGTTGATGTACGTCTGATGAATGATCTTGGGGATCAAGTGCGGACGGGTCTCGAGGAGGGTGGAATTGGGAGCGGGCAGCTCTGATCTGTGGATGGCGTCCCGAGACGCGTCTTCTATGAGGAGGGAGAGAAGCGTCGAGACCGAGTGTAGCAGGAGGGTCAACACGATGACGGCAACCAAGACGAACACCAGCAGACTGCGCCGCATCTTGACAAAGCGAGCAAGGTTCGATCGGGAGGAGGAGAGGGGTTCGAACAGGATCGTCGGTGGCAGTCTCATGCAGGTTCGCGCAGGGACCGTGTGCTTTGTCGAGGATTTAATCTGGATTGAAAGGAGACGCTCGAGACGCAATGGGTGTCTGCAAAGGGTCTCCTTGGGAGGGGCTTCGAGCCTGGGACAAATCCAAGAAATGCACAGCTCATTGACAGCGGAGACGCATCATTCGCGTGAGAGAAGGTACCAGGTGCGGAAGAACAGGTAGAGTTTTGAGTAAAAAGTACAAGTTATAGGGGTGGAGGCTCGGGGAGGTGGGGGTTCAAGGAGAGACTTTAGGTAGGTACGAGTATTGAAGGAGTGTGAACCGTAGGACTAGCGTACGATGATGTCGACAAGAAAAAGGTAATAAACAAGGGAAAAGAAGTTGGGCCTTTGTAAGTTGTAAGGGAGAGGAAGGGGAGGGAAGTAAGAGGGAAATTCTTCTTGCGGGCGGCGTGCCTCGTGCAGGGATTGGCTGTGGGTGGCTGTATGATTGTATGAGAACCAATTGAGGCTCGTGTCGCGAACTTTGGAGGCCAAGATTGTGGCAGTGCCTGCAGCATCCCTTGTCATTCCCTTGTCACTCCAACCCAGTCGGTGCCAGTCACTCGTCCACTTGCATATCTTTCCATCAATCAACGCATCCCAATGACCTCCTTTGCCTGACTGACACACGCAATACACTCATCACTCGAGTCTGTTGCTCTCTTCATCATGGCCACCATAAGCACACACGCCCCTGCTGCGGCGCAACTCCAAACCCGAGGCCCTTCTCTACCTACTAGTACCCCGTACACCCAACGGTGGTTGAAATGCACTCCTCCGAACCTACCGACTATACGAGGTAGTCAGATATCCCCTCAAAGCTAGCATCTAACAACGGCCTCGTATGTCACCAGCCTAATGCGGATCTCGGATTGCTCCTCCTCCAATACGCACTCCCACGTTCCTGGCCTCGCACAAATCGCACCAACCACCGCTCGATGCAGTCCATGAACACACCGTTACCATCGTTGACCGCCGCTATCAGTATGATGGAATCCCGCGCTATCAAAAAAACATACCGAGTACGAGGTACTGCGTAGAGGGAATAAGAACCTGGAATCCATGATACTTGAAGACTGAGTGCCCTGCTCCCGCCACCCCGCGGCAGGGCCAAATTCCCCGTCTCCATCTCATACCGACAAAACAGGCCTTAGGTGCTGACTCTTGGATGATTAACTCTCCACTCATCTCAAAGCAGTATCTCTTTTCGATTCGCTGGTGCCTGAGATGGACGGTCCAATTCAGGGTCCAACCCGTTTTCTGCCTCGGAGTCGGGGACGAGGTTTGATCATTTTTTATTTCCTGAAAAATGTCGCGCCGCAACCGAATACGCCGCGGCCCTAAGGCTCACCCGGATATGCACTACATACAGTCATCTGTGGACGTGGTTCACAGACTCGGTTATGCATCGTGAGACTGCTTTCCACCCTCGAGAGCTGACTTACTCGTGCGTAGCATGGTCGCCCATCAGGCTTTCGTCAACACCTGATGGTGGGTCAGCTCTCACAGCATGTTTGCACAGCATGATTACTCGTATGCAGATGCAAGTGGCATTTCGCGTTGCCCCTGAGGCTAGTGGCTGTGGCTCACTAGGCCGTGGGCTGACCCTTTTCTTCCGGCCTTGTTCTTATGTGCCACTTTCTCTCGAATCCGATCAATTCTGCATAAGTTGAAAGTACCCAATATGCAACCGATGCTCAATCACTGTACACTCGAGTACTCTTTTTGTGCTCAATCCCCATCGCCCTGCCTTTCCACTCCCTTGGCCATGACATGCATAAATGCCTGATATCCGCCCACCCGAGTAAAACCCTGTACCTAGCACTCAACCCCAAAAACAACAAAATTGGTGGGTATCACAAGAAAAGTAACAACAACATCGTTAATGAATCCTCCAATGTTGAATTCTTCCGCCACATCTGTACAATTCGGTTCGCTGGCCAATGTGCGTGGGTGTCGGTCTATCCCAAGTCTCCGCGACCGGGTGAGGCTTCAATCCTCGGGTATCTGGAATATCATCTGGCTGCTACCGTCCCTTCCCAGCTTCTCGTCGATATAGTCCAAGGCATCCGGTTGTGCTGCAGTCGGCGTTCGATCGAGTTTGACGCGCTGCAAGATCTGCGCCATCGAAGAGTCTCCTGCCGCTGTGGTGCGCCGGCTGTCCTCGTCACCAACGCCATCTTCCCAAGGCACACCCTGTGCGCGACAATAATTGCGAAATAGATACTTTTGCATCCTCGAAACTTGCATGTCCCACTTTTCGTCCAGGGTGCTCATCACTGCAGCCACGTCCTGATCGGTAAACGACGCGGTGGAAGTTGTCGAGTTACTGTGCCGGTGTCCATGTCCCTTGCCGTGGGGTTTCCCAGTCAATGTCCCTGTCAAAGCCTTCTTGATCGCCCCGCCACCACTCTTAGGGGTCTTAGGGTGGTCCGCGCGCTCCATGGTTTCGATCTCGCGGCGCACTTTATCCATTGTTTTTGCTCTATCGTGGTCCATCGTCGACATATACAACAGTGTGTGATTTTTCTCGAGCGCATTGACAAGCGCCGTGAAACTTTGCAGATTAATGTCATTGTGTTCGCAGTGGATCTCCAGCAACGTTTCGTTCCTCTCCAGCACCTCGGCTAACGTGCTTGCGCCTTGTAAACCCAGTGCCTGGTATTCGATGCGCAGTAGCTTTAAGGAAGTGTTCTTTTCCAACCCTCTCAGCGCAATATTAAGGCCAATGCCGAAGCGGGTGGTGTCCAGATGCGCATGTTCGCCGCTGATGTCAAGCTCCTCCAAGGTCCGGTTCGTGGCAAACATCTCCTTCAACGCCTCGCAGGTCTCAACACTGGCATCGTATGGCAACGAAGCACGTGATATGTCCAAACTTCGTAACGTCGTATTGACTTTCAGGGCATTGATCAATTCGCGAAAGTGGTTTTCTTTCTCAAAATCCATCATCCGCAAACTTAATGACGAAGGGCCACAGTTTTGAGCAATCGTCTTAAATAGAACCGTGTTCCCCGTCTTTAGCCGGTTCTCGTTGGCACTCACGTGCATGGTTCGGGGCTGCATATCGTCTCGAGTCATTGACCGGAAGAAGGTCGCAAGATCGAATCCCGTCAAACCACATTGATTGACGTGTAGCTCTCGAAGGATATCAGACTTTGATGTCGCCAGGTACGCAGATATCGAGTCCACTGTCTGCTCATTGAGAGCGGTCTGCGACAAATACAACGCTTCGAGTCTCCAAGCCAAAAGCACTTCGGGTGGGAGCAAAGGCTCTGAACCAGCGGTCTTTTGCACTCGCGTGAGATTCAGGCGCCGGATTCGGGTAAAAGCACCCATTCCGCGCTGAAAAAGCTCGGGGCTAAATCGACCTTGCGCTCCCGATATGTCGATAACCTCGACAGTGCTCTCCTGAATTGCCAATGTGGACAAGAGCACGTCAATATCATGGACTGAGAGGCCGCAGTCGCCGATTTCAAGCGCTCGAAGATGGCATTTCCTCTCCGACGCCGCATCAACGAGGAAGTTCAGGTCGGAATCTGATAGTCGAAGGCCTGTGAGCACAATCCAGTCCAGGTTGGTCAAGGACCTCTTGCACAGTGGCGTCAGAGCCTCCAGGATTCCACAGCTCAAAGCTTCTCCGTCACTCGCTTGTGCTTGTCGTGGAATGGTATGCGAGAAATCTAGCCGTCTCAACCGCCGGCTCTTCAACGCCAACACTCTGATCTCTTGCGACAGAACGGGCAGCTCTTGGTGGCCAGCGATGTTAGTAGGATTTCCAGACCGTGTGAACAGGCTATCCAAGTCCGATCCGAACCCATCGTAGTAGAGACGCAGCGGCAATAGATTGATACGTGCGAAAGAGATTGACGAGAACGACTCATTGTACCGTAAGGCTCGGAATACAGCGAGTAATTCGAGGGCGGAATAAGCGGTACCATTTGACGGTGGAAGCAGTTGAAAGCATGGTGCATCTTCACAGTCATAATCAACAGAATAGCAAATGCGGGACGTGTCCACATCATAGCCTGCACAGTACGCGATCAATGTTCGATCAAAGCAGTCGTGCTCCTCTTTTGGAAAATTCGGTGGGATCATCTGGTCGTCGATTTCTGCAGGGACGTCGAAGATGAAAGGCTGCCTCAGCCATTCGGGTCGAAGGTATTCCGAAGCAGATCTTAGCCGTAGCGCAATTTGTCCAGCGGAATATGAAGCTAGCTGTAGCACGCATGGTTGTGCCATTGGCGGTTTGAAAGTCAACTGGAACCCGTCGTCGTCTGCCACGACCTTAATCGAAGTCAAGGTCACAATAGCGTAGGATGTCATGGCATCCAGCTCGCTGAGAGAGGTACTCGATGAACGTGTGGAAGATCTCTGGAGGGGCACCAGATGAATTTTGTGCAATCCGATAACGAGGTAGCAGGTTGTTGAAGACCCGAGTCTGGTCAGATCTTCAGCTGATGCCCTCCCCGTAGACTTGTTGATTTGCCGTTGAATGACTTTGGAGACGTGGAAATGCTCAGGGTCATAGTCTCTCTCCCGCTCCACGACACGCGCAAGATGCTCGACCGTTCGATCTTGGATGTGCTGCTCGACGAGAGACCTCGCCTGATCGCAGGCTGAACGAATGGCGGCAATCCATAGCTCTGCCTCGCGCATCTCGTTCAACTGTAGCTGAATGGCAGACGCTCTTCTTGCGCGTTCATCAAGGTATGCCACTTCCACCACAGGAGAAGGCCGTCCATCGTCGATCTTATACACCGCAACCACCTGGTCCAGGGGAACGCCTGAGGTGATGTCCGTATACGCTGACATTTGGAGTTCTTGATAGGAACCCACAGACGAAGTTCTCGCGGTATGACCCTTGTGGAGGCTATTGGGGATGCTAGGAAACATTTCGGCGGCTTTGATTTGGCTCCTGAATCGAATGAGGTGTGATTCGGTCAGGACTATGAACTGGGTCCTTTTTCTGAACATGTTGCTTGAGCCGGCTTGCACTTCACCATATTGGAGAACTCTGCTGCCCAAGAGTCCCTTCACGTTCATGTCCGGTTCGTCATGGAAGGACGAAGCTTTTGAGTCGGACCTCGTCAGAGCAAGCTTTTCGTCTTCGTCGAGGGAGTGTAACGAGCGCAGGGACCCAAACACTGAGGTCCGACTGGATTTCTGCAAGGTTCTAGGACGAGGTTTGGGACTCGATGGATCCGAGTCCACGGGGCTAGGTAGGTAGTCACTGGACCGCTTCTCCAGCAGGGGACTTGGAGGTATTTGTATCGTTGGCCTGTCGTCCGCCTTCTGGCGGAAAATGCTCAGGCTTTTCCTCCTGCGTTTGTCTGCCATGTTGAATCAAGGTGGAAACGGATTGAAGACGGCCAATCGCTCCCACCAAGCAAACACTGCACGACGCAGAGTTGTTTCGAAGGTCTGTCAAGTCTCAGGAGAAACTCATGGGTCTCTCAAGGTACACATGTTCCCAGGGACTGAGCACTCCCCGACATGCCAACTCGCCATTCAATGTGCCTGCCTCCTCTTTCAGCGAGACGCTGTCGGCGTCCGGGACATGGCCGGGGACGGTATTAAGCTCAGCATGTGACTCGGCGTCCCAAAGTAGGATTCGAAAAGTAGATTGCGGTAGGAGGTCGGTTTCCCGGACTGTGCTTCGTGTCTGGAACTTGGTGATGCTCTGCGAGCGATATATTGGAGGTGACAAGGTCAAGTCAGGGAGCTCATAGGACGCAGCAGGGGCAGAAGAGGGTTTGACAGGTGGTACAAGGTATTCGGTCCAAGAGGGACGAGCAAGAGAATTGTGGTGATGGGTGGTGGGGGGGTAAATTTGGGAGGTTGGATTGTGTCTCTCCGTAGAAGCAGAGGAAATCTTGTCGGGTGATGGACAAGTCAATTCAGGACTTCAGGGCCATTAAAACCGGACCAGGCGGTGGATCGGCAGTCGGACGTAATGGTTACTTCAATAACGGCTCGGTTGTTGCTTTGATGATAGACTCGTGGACTCGGGAGCACCAAGATGGCTTTCTCTGCGAGGCGGCGAGGCGGATAAAATATCCACAGGCGGACTGGCTGGATGAAACTGGTGGACGCGCACATGGACCTGATGGGACCTTGATAACAAGCGCTCCGGTGTCAGTCCACTCACAATGTATTATCTGGGAAGAAAGGTGCCATACCTAGGTACCTACCTTGGTGGGTGTGCCCATCTCCTCATGCAGGGCTCTCGGCGGCAGCTGTAAAGGAGGGGGCGATCTGGATAGCCCTGGAGAGCCCGTCCGTAGTCGCAGGTGGGATAGGCCTATCTCTGTCGAGGAGTACCTAGTCACCAACATGGTAGGATCAGACCTGGAGCGCGATTGGCGAGCTCAGCCCGGAATTCATCTTTCTGGCGCATTGGCTTGATGGAGATTGCCGGACCACGCCACACTGGGTGGCGGCGAGAGCGGCAGTTCATCCAGAGTTCCGTCAGCCCTGAGTCCCTGACAAGTCCTGGGATCCCTGTTATCGCTATATCCATCGCCGTCATTATGCAGCCGGTTCAGGGTGTGGGAATAGGTGGTCCTCTCTGTCGACAAGGTCTCAACAATGGGGCCGCTTTCGAGATGAACAGGTGAAAGAATGTAAAAATATGACAGTGCCCCTGTTTGTGCTGCATGAGTAGCACCATGGTTGTCTCGAAATATAGTATTTGCTGTTTTTGGATCATGAGACATGTCTCTCGTCTATTTCCTAATCCTATGTATAACATATCCCTAATGCTTTTGACATGCTCCCGAGAACACATCAATGGACACGTTCGCAATTCCCAGGGAGGAGTGCTTTTTCCTTCTAGTATACACAGATTATTTATCATCTATCATCCCCATAAAGTACAACCCGTTTGCGCTGGGCATCAAGTTTGTCCAGATGACGCCGCCACTGTGCTCCGCTGCGGCTCATCGATACGAGACGTCGAATGTAGAAGCTGGCGGCTTCGTCTGCATCCTGTGGAGCTTCCAGCGAGGCTTTGCGTCGATTCTTGCACAAGGCGTAATGCCGACGAGCTTGATGGTCGGAGAGCGGCTTCAGCGTGTACTGCAGCTTCCAGGTATCTCCTTCTTTCAGGTTTTCAGGTCGGACGACAGGCAGTCCGTTGACCAGATTCCGAATATTCAGCTTCCATGCCGACAATGGTTTCAGCATTTGGGATCCGGCAATTGACCCTTCGAGGGCCGAAGTGTGGAAATCTGACGTGCCTTCTTCGGGTTTTCCCCTTGATTGGGAGACGTCGTCATCACCCGGTTTTGATCCCAAAGCCTCGTTGATATTCATACCCAAGATGCTGTCCAGAAATGCGACATTTGCGGCGTTGGAGCGACCAGATGGATCCGCAGTTCTGGTAGATGGGGTGACGGGCTTTGGGGAGGAGTCAGATTCGTTGTTAGATCCAGCGTCGTCGCTTTCGGCCTCAAGCTCTGTCTCATCCTCGTCATGGGCGCTCTCGTGCTCTTGGGTCTGTCGAGGGTTAAAGAGACGTTCCTCGAATGCTCGGATTTCTTCCTTTTTCAGATTTTGAATCTCGACGATCTCTTCCTCCGTGACCGGCTCCGCAAAGATATACATGTAAGGAGGAGACGTGGCCGTGGCCTCCCTGGCTTCAAAGTGAAACCGAAGGGATCGACCTGGGTGCTTCATCGTCGCTTCGTTGAAAATGTTATTCAGGAGCTGGATGCTTAGTGAGAATTCCTGGTCTCCCAAAGTTTGGTTGGACTGGCCGTGCAGCGCCAGATCAAGCTCCGAAATAGGTACGTACTGAAACCCAAACAGACGTTCGGTGTTGTGATATGCGACGAAAATGCCGTCCATGCGGCCCATGCGGACCTGGAGAGAGTACTTGAGAAAGGCAGATCTCATCATGTCGTAGTACTCTCGTTCATACGATTCCCAGGTTCCAAATCTCTGCTTAATCTGATAGCCCGCACCTACTTCATGGTTGTGGACCATCATGCGGACAGCTGCCACCGCTCGCGTCTTGAGATCAAACATGCCTGTTCCGGGCAGGCGAGGATCGTGCGCGTCAAGTTGGGAACGCAAAAGGAACTCGCCCAGTCCTGAATAGTGATATACCTCGGGTTCAGTGGCGGGCATCTGTTCCCCTTTATCCGCATCCTTGGTCCTTCTATAGCGTTCGAATTCGTCTTTGTCGAGTGTCAAGAGCTTCTCCATAGAGCGGCCGAGACTCATGAGGATATTTGCAGAATCGAATTCTTTATCCGCATCCACGGCATATACCCCGTCTTTGTGCCGGAGAAAGATTGCCGTGGGGCCTCTCTGCAGCCTCGTAAAATGGACGCCATCGTCCTTGAACCCTCGAGTCAAGGTCTCCAAGTTGAGACTCCGAAAAGCTGAAAGAAGGAAATGGAAATGGGAAAGGACTCCCGACATACTTGATGTGGAACCGATATAGCGTTTTGTGTGTTGCAGGGCCACTTCTCGAAGGTGGATATCCTCAGATGAGGTAATGTACTTGTTCAACGCTTCGTAATTGAACTCGGAGGCAGGCATTAGGGTGCCGAGATATGGATCGAAGTTCCATACTCTTGACCGTGGATCCTGTAGCTGGTAGACGCCAGGATTGAATAACACACGCGACAAGTCGTGGCTGAGTCTCGGCACATTCGGAGGCTCCGAGGTCAAAGGTACCAGTGAGAATGCGTCACCCATTGCCTCTCGCACACTGTCTCCTATCATGAGGGCAATTCTGTCCTTGTCCTTTTCTTGCGGCATGACCTCATGTCTCCGCGTTGTATCTTGTCTAAGTCTCTGCGGGATTTTGCCAGCAATGATAATATCCTCGTTATGGTCCTCGGTCGCAGGGACAACCTTTCGGAAAGGGCGCAGCAGGGAATTGGAAGTTTCGATGCTCAGAGCGTGCGGTTCTGGTGTTGGTGGGCCTCTTGTCATTTCTGACGCCGGAGATGCCTCTGCATGCGGACCAACAGGATCTGAGACTAGACTGCTGTCCAGCAATCCTAGCGCGCTTAATATTCTTGCTGCTTCGTCCGAGAGAGGTTGATTCCCGCTTCCCAACAAGGGCACCACAAGCCCAAGGTCATTGTCCACCTCTTCGTAGGAACGTCCAGAATAGACGGACCGAAGCTTGGCCACTCCACGGTTGAAACCCGTCCATCTGCTCCGGAGCTGTAACCGATCCAGCACCTCGTCTATGGTCAAGTCCTGGGTCCCCGATGCAACATTTGGTATCAATTTTGAAGCGGTACGGCGCATCTTCGTCCTGAATCGTGCGTAGGCATAGAGCTCGTCTTTCTGGGCTGGGGTCAACGCATGATCTGCGGTCGAGCGCAACTGCGCTGCTGCAGGTCCTTCCGCTAGCTGTCCTTGAGCCCTTGGTTTCTGAGTCGAGTTCTTTCGGCCGCCATGGGCCTTCTTGCCTTTAGCATCCTCGCCATTCTCTTGTATAGACGCGCCCTGTCTCTCTGCATCGCCCTGCACAACTTTCCGGATCCGGGTACGGTTCCGAAGACGCTGGACGCTGCTAGAGCAGAACAATCGTGGATTTTGAGTAGGTGAGATTGCGAAGGAAACTCTTGCGCCCGTCCGGGCACCGTAGTTGAATTGACATGGTGGACATATGCAATGCCTCACCGAGCGAGGCAGCATGTGAAAAGTGTTGCCAGCGAGAACAAGGTGGAAAGACGGTGGAATCCCGTTTTGCAAAGGGTCTGTTCTTGCAGGAGGGACAGTTCGATCGGTGAGGGACGCAGAGGAATTAGAGAGCAAAGAACCAGAAAGTCTGTTTGTGCGAGTCTGTTGGTGAAACAATGGACTACCAGAGTCAATGCTCATTCGCATGCCTGCGACTCGGACTTTTTTCCAGGGATCGCCCAGCGCAGTCGTCATGCTCCTCCGTAGTCTAGTGTGGAGCATGTGCCCAGCCTCGTCAGAGCTTTATGGTTCTCCTTTTCCACTCGTCCCCGTTGACACTCCCGCCCAAGAGCACTTCGCGGGCATTCTTCTATTGCGGCCGGGGATACACAATGTACTGGCTGGAGCCAATTGAAGCAAGTTGAAGAAATGGCCCATGCTTGAATTGCTTATAATCGAATTCTACAGTCTATTCCATCTAGTGTAACAATGATCCTTCTCCGTCCATCCGCTATTCCCGCCCATGACCACCACCACACTATCAACACACGTACCCTGGTCTTCACCAAGGCAGAATTGTGCCGTCAATGTTGAAGAACTTGGCCCCATCAGCGCTAGTCAGTCCGTCTACTATCTTCATGATCTTCTGGACTGATTCAGTCGATGGCATCGCACCGTCGCCACCAAGCCTGCCCATATCGGTGTCGACCCAGCCCGGATGGACCGCCACCACAGTAAATCCATCTTCGTGGAGCTCATTGTGGAATTGGACAGTCAACATGTTACCGGCGGCTTTGGAGGTTGCGTAAGGCCCGCGGAGCCCCCATTTCTCGCCGACTTGGCCGGCAAGAGAAGCCGCGGTGGAAGAGATGTAAATGATCTTCCGGGTCTTGCGAGCTCTCAGTGCCGGAATGAACGCATTGATCACTCTGTGGGGACCGGCGACATTGGTGTCAAGGTAGTGAAGGAGTCTGTCGGAAGATATCTGGGTAAGGAGCTCATCTTCGCCGATGGCGCCATTGACGATCAGTGTGTCTGCCTCCTTAACATTTGCAGCTGCAGCATCGACAGATTGCTGGTTGGTCTGGTCGAGTTCGAGGACATCAATGTTGGCTGCGCCCAGATCGAAGGGCTTGCGCATGGTTGCGATGACATGGTGTTCCGGATTCTGGGCGAGGTATTTTGCCAGCTCCAAGCCAATACCTCTGCTTGCGCCAATGACAATGGTGGTGTTGGAAGTCATGATGAAGATGTCCGCGAATGAACTATCTGGAGTTGCTCGAACTATTCTCGGGCTGGATGATTTTCTATCGTGAAGTTTTGGTGTCGTGGCTCAGTTGCTTCTTGGGAACGGACAAGGCAGCAGAGAGGGGGCAAGAAGATCTGATTTATAGTCATCTTCATCAGTCAAGAAGCCAGCCATGGTAAAGCGAGGGCCATTGTGTCTTCCCTGCCATTAGTCAATGACCCCTTTACACAGACAAGGCTGAGCAGCACGCGGAGCGGCGGAATGAGAAAGCCTCCGCAAGCCCGCAGGGCCGCTGAGTCAGGGCACGAACACGCGAGTATTTCAACCACTCAAATACCGCATTCAGGCTTCGGAGTATCTGTTCATTGGTCTGAAGCGAGCTCACATGAAGCCGACAATGCTCCCATGTTTTGAAATGCTCGACGTATTGCGGACCGAAGAAAAGGACCATATCTCCGTCTGAACATCAGTGGTCGTGTATCTTTTCTTCCATACTCTGACAGCTCAGCAACACTTCGCTGCCTCGCCCAGAAAGTTCGCAGGCAGGATTTGCCATGATTAACGCTCAGCGGACCTAGGATGGACCCCAAGACTCGAGGTTCAGCAGGGTGCAGGCCTCCTTTCCTTGTTTTCTCTCCACCAGCTTACCGATCTTGTAGATGGTTTCGCCCTGCGCTTCGAGAATTTTCCTCACCTCTCCCGAAGCAACATCAGACACGACAAGGACCATGCCCACTCCGTTGTTGAAAGTCCGACTCATCTCCTCGTTGCTGACATTACCCGCTTCTTGAAGCCACTTGAACACCCCAGAGCGGTCCCAGGCAGAAACGTCGATCTCGGCCGTAAGATGGTCGGGAAGCATTCTGGGAACATTTTCCAAAAGCCCGCCTCCCGTGATATGCGCCATGCCTTTGACCAGGTCTCGCTTGATTGCTTGCAACAGAGAAACCACATATATTCGGGTCGGCGTAAGCAGCGATCTGCCTACTGTGGTTTCCGGACTCCACGGCGCAATATCTGACAAGGCCAGATGCATCTTCTCAACAATGCGACGGACCAGGGAGAAACCATTCGAGTGGACTCCGCTCGATGCCAGACCAAGCAGGACATCACCTTCGACCATGCTTTCCAGGTCAGGCAATATTCTCTTCCCAGCAGGTGTGTCGACTGCTCCCAGAGCGGCACCAACTGCGTCGTATTCGGTCCCGTTCAACAAACCTGGCATTTCAGCAGTCTCTCCCCCAACAAGAGCGCAGTTAGCAATCTTGCAGCCTTCGCAGACACCGCGAATAAAGTCACTCGCGATGTCAACATCGAGGATACTGCAGGTGTAGCAGTCGAGGAACATGAGTGGCTCCGCTCCCTGCACAACAAGATCATTCACGTTCATAGCCACCAGGTCGATGCCGACAGTGTCGTGGACATTCATGGCATGAGCAATCTTGAGTTTTGTGCCGACCCCGTCAATGGCTCCAATGACGATAGGAGACTTTTCGTGGAAGCCAGCTTTTGCAAGGTCAAAGGCGCCACCAAAGCCACCGATGACGGCGTCAGCCCCAGGACGGGCGGTTGCCTTCACCGCAGGCTTGATCCGGGACACGAGGCTGTTCCCAGCATCTATTGACACTCCTGCCGACGCATAGGTCATGGCAGCCTCTTCTGGGCCTTTGTCCTGCGCCTTTCGCTTAAATGCTCGATGACCAATGTCTTTTCTAAAATGCATTCCATTAAATCTGATACACTCCATCCCCTTGTATGCCCTGGCCACAGCCTCTTCCAACGTATCGGCACTCGAGGTCGAACCGATCACCCGGCCTCCAGTCGAAATGATTTGCTTTCCGTCCTTCACTGTGCCGGCGTGAAAGATGAATGTGTCATCAGGAATCGTTTGTTGTACTGTGATGGGTCTGTTTTTCGCATAGGAGCCAGGGTACCCTTCAGCGCATGCCACCACCGTGGCGGCGAACTTGGATTCAATCTTGAGGTCAACTCCATCCAGCCAATGTTCCGTACATGCCAGCATGACTTTTGCCAGATCAGTATCGTCGCTCAGCAGAGGCAGCAATGTCTGTGTTTCGGGGTCTCCTCCTCTGACATTGTATTCCAGGACTTTGGGCCCGTTTTTGGTGATCATCAAGCCAGTGAAGAGCATCCCAACGAAGGGCATTCCCTCACGCCGCATACAGTCGACCGTGGGCTGAACAATTTCTCGGTCAATCTGTGCAATGAGCTCTTTGGAAGCGACTCTTGTCGGCGCATAGCAGCCCATACCTCCTGTGTTGGGGCCTTGATCACCGTCAAAAACACGCTTGTGGTCCTGAGCAGGCGGTAATGATCGAATAGTGTAACCGTCACTGAAAGAGAGCACACTTAACTCCTCGCCCTCGAGAAACTCCTCAATCACGACCTGTGAGCCGGCTGAGCCGAATTCGCGGTCTACCATGATCATTTTCAAAGCATCGTGTGCCTCTTGTTTCGTCTTGGGAATGATGACGCCCTTTCCGGCGGCAAGACCGTCGGCCTTGATCACGACATCATGGTTGACTGAGTCCAGGTATTCGCGTGCCGAAGCGTAGTTGCTGAAATTGCGAAACGCTGCTGTTGGAATTCCGTGCCGCAGCATAAAATCCTTTGAGAAGGCCTTGGATCCCTCCATTCTCGCAGCCGCCTTGCTGGGGCCGAAACACCGGATGCCCACGGCTCTGAAGAACTGCTCAATACCTGCGACCAGAGGTGCCTCGGGGCCAACGACGACCAAGTTGAGACCGTGCTTCCTGGCATGAGCAACGAGTTCTGTGAAGTCATCGGAACAGATGTGCACATTGACAATGTTGTCGGCCTCTGTGCCTCCGTTACCGGGAGCAATGTGGACCACATCGACCGAGGGTGACCTGGCCAGCTTCCAGGCCAGAGCATGTTCTCGGCCGCCCGAGCCAACGACAAGGATCCGTAGTCTCTCGGTCGCCATCGCAAGATACCTAGATAAGTAGATCAGAAGATAACTCGAAGACGAGCAGTCAGAGTCCCGCTCATGAAGTCAAGTTGTTGTCTATCATCAAATTGCAGAGTCCAGCTCTTAGGATCAGACCCGTCAACCGGAGGGGCAAGGAGAAAAAAAAAGAGGGAATTGATGCCAAGCCATGGAAAATCTCGTCGCGGCTCACCCGCTTTAGGAAAGACCTTGATGCCATCCTACGATCGGTCCCATCTTACCCCGCCGTACTTGCTGCATCAGGGTCGGCTATCGCCGTCGATATGTGTTATTGGACTTTACCGTGCATTAGAGGACATTAGTGAAGGGGCTTGAGTGGTATAGTAAAAGCAGCGTCTGCCAGACATCCCCAAATGCCTACGAGGTACAGAGGACGGAGTATATGGCAACATGGCTCAGAGCCAGCTTTTGTCTTCCATCTAGCGGCAGCACAGTCTATCGTCCTGTCTAGCAAGGAGATCAGGACTGGCTGACTATTGAAACCAAAGACATGAATCCGGATATAATGAGACGGGAGCAGTGGCCGAGAATTAGTACTCAGACGATTGGCAAAGGAGAAGATGACCTCCCATCTCTGGCTTCGCTCCCACGAGACTCGCTCCAATATGTCCTGGTCGAGGTCCGTACGCTGATAGTCTCTTATACGTTGCGATCTCGGTGTAGTGTATGAGACTATCTGCCCGCCTTTCGATAGACTTTGGTGCGATATATTCGACAGCGTATGCAATGATCTCCCCAGGTCAAATATCCTTCTCTTGACCCAGCAGATTCCTTTCATGCTGGACTTCTCTGGACATATTCTCGAAGAACCCCAAAATCGAATCACCCAAGTTGTCAGAAGCAACAAACCCAGTGGAAGAAGAGAATAGCAAAAGCAACAAAGAAATTTCCGGGAGTCGCGTGGCGGGGATTTTCACTTTGTATGCTTGACTCCGATTGGCCAGCCGAACTTTTGGAGGAGACGAGTCAAAGATCCTCAGATCTCGCGCCCTTTTGCTTTTCGACAAAACCCCTTTTGGTGGGAAAGGATTGTTGGCACAAATACACCTCGACGAGGACAGTGGAAAGGTTGCACACTCCTGACAGGATCCGTGGTGAGCAGTATCTCAAAAAAAAAGAAGGGAGACAAAAGCAAAGACAAGACCAACAAGCGGCGCTCACTAGCATCTACAACACCCACTTCTCGTGAGCTGTGTGTCATAACCAAGGAACTGCCCACATTCAAAGCGCACACCCTTCTCCAGGTCCGTCTGGACCACCGCTGTTCGCCATGTATCTCATAAGTGAGTCTGTCCTTACTTCATAACCCTATACAACCATTTCTGCCAACCAGCCCTAACCAGCGAGACAGAGGTGCCATGTTCGTCAGCCAACATCGGTAAGTTCAGCCTTGTGGTGGTGGTTGTGTATACCCGATCCCATCTTATATTCTGATCTCGTCTTCCCTACTTACCAACGGCTTTGCTGCTCCCCTCCAGGGCCTGGCTTCGATGTCATCGGTCTGGCACTGTCCATGTATCTCGAGATCCGGGTGAGCGTCGACACGTCGGCACGCGCAGAGCCAGCGACCAACCCGCTCAACTGCACCGTCAGCTACACGGGCGTGGGCGCCGAGGACATTGACCTGGACCCGGAAAACAACCTGCTGACCCGGACGGCGCTGTACGTGCTGCGGTGCCACGGCCAGCACGAGTTCCCCGCGCAGACGCACGTGCACATCCACAATCCCATCCCGCTGGGTCGCGGCCTGGGGTCCTCTGGTGCCGCCGTGGTCGGGGGCGTGCTGCTGGGCAACGTCGTCGGCAAGCTGGACCTGCCCAAGCCCCGGCTGCTGGATTTCTGCCTCATGGTCGAACGCCACCCGGACAACGTTGCCGCGGCCCTCTACGGCGGCTTCGTGGGGACCTATCTCAACGAGCTCGACCCCGTCGACATGGCCCGCAAGGAGGTCCCGCTCTCAGAAGTCCTGCCCGAACCCGCGGGGGGCATCGACACGGGTCTCACACCCCCGATCCCGCCCGAGAACATTGGCCACTATAGGAGGTTCAACTGGGCCAAGGAAATCAAGGCCCTGGCAATCATCCCGGACTTTGAGGTGAGCACCGCCAAAGCCAGACAGGTGTTGCCCAAGGAGTACTCCAGGCAAGACATGGTAAGTCTCTTATCTATGCCCGTTCCTACAAAGTCTTTCCCTTCCCCAGGATGATCACCTCTGTGCGAGAGGGCAAGGATCCCAGGAAAAAGAACATGGACTAATGATCCTCACCCCTTTGGGGGGAAACGTGATAAATAGATCTTCAACCTCCAACGCATCGCCCTCCTGACCACCGTCCTCTCCGACTCCCCTCCGGATCCCTCTTTGATCTACTCGGCCATGCAGGACAGGATCCACCAGCCTTACCGTGCCGGTCTGATCCCAGCCTTGCCGTCCATACTATCCTCCATGAGCCCCCAGACACACCCGGGTCTGCTGGGCATCTGTCTGTCTGGCGCCGGGCCAACGATACTGGCTCTCGCGACCGACAACTTTGAGAACATCGCCGGAGTCATAATCGGCAAGTTCGGCGACGAAGGCATCACCTGTGAGTGGAAGGTCTTGGAGCCCGCCGAGGATGGGGCCACCGTGCAGGAGATGCCTGGGGACGTATTGACGTATCGGAAAGGGATCAGCAAAGATTGAACCACCAGTCTGCGGTCGGGAATGAGAGCGCACAGCGTCATCATTACTGTCCGATATCAGAGCCTAATTGTGCCCTTTGGAAAAGCATGTCAAAATTGGATATCATTAAGGCACGATCCTAACACGGGATCACCCCTCCAGAGCGCCACATTTTGCACATAGCAGTGAGAATATGAGGGAGACCTAAGCTTGCTGGCATTGCGTTCTAGACACTATCTGGAATGATGATACTCATTGAAGATGTTACTTTTGTCCCGGTACACGCTCCAATGACTCAAGTGTCCTGAAGATGTTCAGACACGCCGCTGTGCTGCAGGAGCACATCGGATCGTTTCCCTGTCGCTTCTGGTTTCCACAATCTATGCTCCGCGTGCCATTTAATTCATCATGACCTTGTTCTCGTTGACAGCTCGCTCTAGAGATTTGCTGTGTGGTGTTCAAGTTCAAGCATACCCGATGCTTGAAGAGACTTAGAAGCACTTGCGGTGCACAATGGAAGGACCGCTCTCATCGTACTCCTGCTTGGAGATCCACATCTGCTGGAAGGTAGAAAGAGAAGCCAAGATGGAACCACCGATCCAGACAGAGTATTTACGCTCAGGAGGAGCAATGATCTTGACCTTCATCGACGATGGGGCGAGGGCAGTGATTTCCTTCTGCATACGGTCGGAGATACCGGGATACATGGTAGTACCACCAGACTAAAAGAGCTGTCAGTGATTGCGCCATTCGAATCAGAGTCTTTGACTTACCATGACAATGTTGCCGTACAGATCCTTTCGAACGTCGACATCGCATTTCATGATGGAGTTGAATGTGGTAACGTGGATACCGCCGGATTCGAGACCAAGAACGCTTGGCTGGAAGAGAGCCTCAGGAGCTCGGAATCGCTCGTTGCCGATGGTGATGACCTGACCATCAGGAAGCTCATACGACTTCTCCAGGCTGGAGCTTTGAGAGGCGGTTTGAATTTCTTGCTCGAAGTCGAGGGCAACGTAGCACAGCTTCTCCTTGATATCTCGGACGATTTCTCGTTCGGCAGTGGTGGAGAAAGTGTAACCGCGCTCAGCCAAGATCTTCATCAGATAGTCGGTCAAATCACGACCGGCCATGTCAACACGGGAGATGGCATGAGGAAGCGCGAAACCCTCGTAGATGGGGACAACGTGAGTGACACCGTCGCCGGAATCCAGCACAATACCAGTTGTGCGACCAGAGGCGTACAGAGAGAGGACAGCCTGGATGGAGACGTAGAAGGCAGGGGCGTTGAAGGTCTCAAAGACGATCTGTGTCATCTTTTCTCTGTTGGATTTGGGGTTGATGGGGGCTTCGGTCAAGAGCACAGGGTGCTCTTCGGGGGCGACACGAAGTTCGTTGTAGAAAGTGTGATGCCAGATCTTTTCCATGTCGTCCCAGTTCGTCACGACACCGTGTTCAATGGGGTATCGCAGGGTCAAGATACCACGCTTGGACTGGGCCTCGTCGCCGACATATGAGTCTTTCTGGCCCATACCAATCATGATACCATGGTGACGAGGTCGACCGACGATGGATGCTGTTACAGGGTGTGAGATTCTGATGTCCTTGGGTTCAATGCGGGGCAAGGGGACACTTACGGAAGACTGCTCGGGGCGCATCGTCGCCAGCAAAGCCAGCTTTGCACATACCGGAGCTGGAGAGATCATTGTCAGTATTGTGGTCTCAATCGCGCTAATCTCCTTCTCTTCCGGAGCACCCGCAATTGAAGCTCGCGTGTCCGAGGGGGATGGTGGGAGGGCGCAGGCAAAGAAATCAGGTCGAGAGCAGGGCGCATACCCATTGTCAATGACGAGAGCGGCAACTTCTTCTGTTGAGAGAGAGCCATATCAGTACCGAGTCCGAGTTAAAAACTGTGTTCAAAATGCCATTGCACCAGAGCTGGAATTTGAGCTTACCTTCCATTGTGAAGGATTATCGAAGAACGAGGTGAGGGGGAGGGGACAGAAGTGAGGACGGGAGAAATGTGTGAAATGGCTCGAGATGTCGAAGGTAGAAAAGGCCTTCGAGGAGACGAGCAAGGAGATTGGATAGATAGAAGGGATGAGGATGGAGACAAGAAGCTGAGGAGGGTAAGATGGAGGAGCAGCAGAAGTAGCGGTGGTTTGGGCGGTGGGCTAAATCGGGCAGCTGCGAGGCGCCAAGACCAGCTGGGTCAAGTCTGAGGAGCGATGCGAGCTTTCGGGCAAGGAAACGATGGCCACGCTTGGGGCGGCTAAAAGCGCTGCTTGTTGATGCTAGTCGTAAGATGTGATTATGGATCAATGTTGGTTCTGATCGACGGGGACAGGGAGCGGCAGCGAGCCTCAAATACCTTTGGGAGTGGAAGGCGAATACCACGAACTTGAAGGCGAGATAGATAGAATGGGAGGCGGGCTATATGAGAGGGCGTCTTCATGTTCCCCTTAGGTATTCCATTTGACTACGGACCACCGACTACTGAGGCCTAACAGGTCCCAAGACTCTCAAGCTCATGCCATTTCTCCACGCGTGGCGCCCTAGCCACGCAATATGGCTTCCTCACGCACGGATGAGCCTCGTCACCGCCGTGTCCTCGCAACAGGCAACTGCGATTCCGGCAAAAGGCTGGTCTGATCAAACCCCATCAAAGCCCGGCGTATTGGCTTTTAAGCTCCCAACCCGGGCCGTGTTTTAGGCATGCTATCACCAAAGTGCGGCTGATGGTGGTAATGATGACAGATCCAACGCTTTCCCTGGCCTTCTTGATACTACGAGTCGTATCTTGGGTGTAGGCAAGCGTTGGGGAAGGTACGACGTACTCTTACTGCCCCACTATCGATCGACTTCAGCCATTTCCTCGCATTACTGCTCACCGTAGACATGGCGAGCTAGAGCTACCTAAAATATTGTGTAAGAGAGCGGGAGGTCGACCATGCCTGGAAGTGGTGATAACCACCCACATAACTGTCAAAGCCCCCAGGCACATACCTAAATACGCATTTCATTGTTTCGAAATTTTTGTATTTGTGTGCGTGCGCACTTCGAGCCTCCCAGCCACAAATCGCGGGGTCGATGGCCGGAAGCCCATTCGTCCAGGGCTGCTCCAGCGTATCAACGGCACAGCCACCAACGCCATTAGCAAAGCCACCTGCACTCTTAGTCACCTCTCTTAATCGAACTGTCTGCCACCTTGGCCATTGCCGGACTCCTCAGAGATAATGGACTGAAAATACAGAATAGGACTGCGGCATGGGATGAGACTTTCCAGCTCTGCAGTAGTTCTCGATCCAGTGCAAGGCCATGTTGACTGTCCTTGAGCTCGTTCTCGCCGTCGACAGGACCACCGAGAGCCTCGAATGCGCAGGAAGATGCTAGTGGCTTCTGGAATGTACTGGCTTTGTGATTGGCCAGGCGTCCCATTTTCTAACCTCATAAGAAGGCTGCGAGGAATGATTATTACCAGCAACGCTGAAATCGATTGCAACTACAATTCCGAGTAATAATATTTCACACCCTCTGATCAAAGACAAGACTTGAAGACTGACCAACATCTCTCTTTTGGAAAATTTAGTCTTCCTAATCTTCAAACATGGATCCTGGATTGAACTCCCTTCTATCATGGAGTATCGAGAACTCCGATGCAGGACGAACCCCCGATCAGCCAGTCCGAGAACCCAGAGGCCTGACTGCTGATGTATTACGCTCATTGATGGGCGGTCCCAGCGACGCCGACTTGATGCGAGAAGCCATGGCCATCATCGGCTCCTCGGATCCCGAGGTCACCCACGACGCCAAAATGACGGCCTTCGACAATTTCGAACAACTGGTTGAAGGGATTGACAATGCCAACAACATGGAGCCTCTGGGGCTGTGGACACCACTGCTGGCGCAACTCGAGAGCCAGTCGGCCGACTTGAGACGCATGGCGGCCTGGTGCATCGGCACGGCCGTCCAGAACAACGTTAAAGCCCAGGAGCGACTCTTGGCCCTCAACGGCATCGAGAGGCTCGTCCAGGTATCCCTCGATGACGCGGACAGGAGTGTGCGAAGAAAAGCCGTGTACGCACTTAGCTCGGGCGTCAGAAATTATCAACCGGCCATGAACGAGGCGGTAAAGCGGTTGCCCAAGGATATTGTCGGGCCAGACCAGGTCTCTGCGGCGGATATGGATGTCATTGATGCCATTATGGGCAAGCTCAGAGATAGGGAGTGAGCCGAGAGGAGAAAAGATAGAATATGCGGCGAAGAAATTTCAAAGTGGCAATACCAACATCAGTCCTCTAGAACAGGACCGAAACACCAAGTCCATTGGCGGGAAGAGATATTTGCCTCCAGTAACGACTGGGCCAGCAAGGACGTCCACACCCGGCATCACACCACCTCTCAAGAGGGATCTCAGTTCAGCCTAGTACCACGAGAGAATCAGGTGGCAGCTTGAGGGCGGCAAACTTTGGGGAGCTGCACATTGGTGCATTTCAAGGCTCCAAAGCCCGGTGGATGCTAGCCAGAGGACTTACCCGGACAAGTATGGAAACAGAGATACAAGGAATGATACCTTCGATTCTGTCGATATAAGTACAGACTTCATTGACCCGTAACCGCCGTGATGTAGATACGCCATGATTTGCCAGTGTAGTAATGCTGTTCGCTCACGCTGCCTTGACTTGCCCTCTTCTCCCCCAGCCTTGCATGAATGTAGCTTTTTCCTGTGTCCCACACATTGTAAAGTGTAGCGGAGCGGTCTTGTCTCCCCTTTTCGGAGCCAGCACAGCAATCCTCACAGCTGCAATGTATATGTATAGTCATCCTCCATATTCTGACTGACCCACAACACCACGGAGCTCAACATAACCAGGCCATTGGCCACCACATTAGCCACGCCCATGTAGACGGTCTGCAGCGCATAATCCTTGAACAGGTACTTGAGCACCATGACTGTGACACTCCCCGCCAGCCCGCCGGCCATGAGGGCGAATCCCAGGAACAAGACCGTGCGCGCCTTCCAGGCCACTCCGTTGCCACTGTACGACCAGCTGTCGGCGGACAGGCGGGACTTCTCGATCGAGTTGATGACCAGCATGCCCAGCGCGGAGCAGATCAGGGGGATCCAGTCGACGAAATTGATGTGCACGTGGCTGCCGTTGAGGGGGGATTTGGAGAAGACGCTGGCGTCGACGAAGAAGAAGAAGCCGAGCGAGAACTGTAAAGAAACCAGGCATTCACCCCATTAGCGAGTCCATCAGGACGAGGCAGGGAAGGAAAAAGGCCAAGGCTAGACATACGAGGGCACCGGCGCCGTAGACGCCGGCGGTCCTGGTGTTGGCGCTGTTAAGCCAGGCAGGCTTGGAGAAGCGGAAGAGCCGCTGCGAGGTCGACATTGCAGAGAAGGGGAGAGTCTTTCGACAGGAAGACAAGGCGGGACACACGTAGGGGAAATTATGTGATGGCGTGTTAATCGTATATCGGTATCGTAGACGCTCTGTGAGGGGACAATGAATAGATGTCCTGCCTGAGGGAAAGCTGGTAGGTAATGCTGAGCGTCGCAAAGGCCGCTGGCTGCTGTTCGTAATTCGCAGGGCTGGGTGGATGCCGAGCAACGTTGAACCACTCGGAGGATTTTTCCGGGCGAGCTCGTTGCAGCCTCGTGCGTCAGCCCTGTCGGTCTCGTGGCCCAGGTAGGCGCCAGCTAATAATTAAATGTCCAGACTTGCGTTGAAGGATAGCGGCAATCCTACCTAGGTAATGGATGATGGTTGAATATAGGAGTAACCTGTAGGCCCGAGTTTTAGTCCAAGACCGCAGGCTGCAGAGCTACATTGCAGGGTCACGAGGTGAAAACATACGCGGCCATTGACGGGCTGATTCTAATTTGGATTAACACATGAACATCGTGAAAGCCGATTCCAAAGGGAGGACAAGGGAAGGATGACCAGTCAGTCCCATTAGGATAGCCTCATGGTTGAGCCCCGACTTCTCATTGATACAAATATATACCAGAGTTCGCTTGCGTGATCCGTGAAGTAGAACAACTTCCACCTCGTATGTTTCCGTCCAACATTGCGGAGCAATATCTGTTAGACCAACCCAGATTCATGACGCCTCGCATATGCATCCAGATCCTCAAAGCGCGCATTTGTGCTTCTTCGCTGTTCTTTTTTAAAAATCTTGCTCCTCCTTGAAAAACTGGGTGAAGCTGATGATAGTGCCGTATATCAGCAACCCGCCCACGATGGACATGATCATGGCCGGAACTTGGATAAGGGCAGAATGAGCAAGTAGCACGGGTAAGGCTGTCGTGTGGCGTTTGTCAGTGCATCTGATCGACCTCCTCCCCGTGTGTCAAAGAAACGTACCGATACCCATAAGCACGAGAAATCCTGTAGCAAACCGACCTAGGTCGATCCAGGCCCCGGAGTTGCTTTCGATAAAGTCATCTGCATTGGCACATCTTGATGCCACCCAGTTCGGCACGGGCGCTAACACATAAGTTGCGACGACGAGGAGGGTGAGGAAGTTATGGAACAGCGCCGCGGAGAGGATGACGAGGAGGAATCCGATGGCGAGAACCTGGGACCTTGTCAGTCGCCTGCGCCTTTCAGAAGATCATGTTGACTCATGCGGCATACAAAGGAGAGCGCGATAATCGTTTTCAATCCGGCCGTCATGATCATGGGCGGAAGCAATATTGAGCGGAAGGGCTGTATCTGGTTTTCTGGATGCCTGCGCAACTGCAAGCGCTGCGAGTAGGGGATCGAGTGATCGAAAGGATGGAAAGTGTGGATCGAAGCGAAAGTGAGCTGTATAGTGTTGTCCGAAAGAGTCCTATATGAATTTCATGGAGAAATATGTTGTGTCGTCAAGAGGGTCGGTTGTCTTGCGAGGGATGTTCGAAGGTCGCTGTGGCTGGGCGCCGAAGCTCCTCCGCAGTAAATCGCGAGAACCTTTGGAGTTTGCGCGTCTGCAAGTGCCTGCTTGCTGGCTTCCGTTGACTTTATTCTAAACACATCAACTCCCACAACTCAGCCTCTATTTTGCCTGTTCATGTTCCGGTCCCTTTCCACCTACATAATCTGCAATCAAAATGTTCAGAAATAACTACGACAACGATTCCGTCACCTTGTGAGGCCGCTCATTGACCACCTTCCTTCGTGTGCACATATACTGATCCATTTGCAGTTCACCTCAAGGCCGGATATTCCAGGTCGAGTATGCTCAAGAGGCTGTCAAGCAGGGATCAGTAGTTGTCGGAGTGGTCAGCAAGAAACATGTGGTCCTCACTGCCCTTAAGGTCTGCCTCCCAAACAGCTTGACTCTCGCAGAATCAGCCACTTACAATGTCTACAGCGAAACGCAGAAGAACTGTCCTCCTACCAGAAAAAGATTGTCGGTGTCGATGACCACCTAGGAGTAGCCCTTGCCGGTCTCGCTTCAGATGCTCGGGTCCTTTCCAACTTTATGAAACAACAGTCGCTCGCCTCCAAAATGACCTACGGCCGTCCGATACCTGTCGAGCGCATTGTGAATATGATTGGTGACAGGGCTCAGACCAATACGCAACACTATGGCAAAAGACCCTACGGCGTGGGACTGTTGGTTGCGGGTGTCGATGAGCTGGGACCCCATCTATTCGAGTTCTCTCCGTCGGGGATGACGCAGGAAATGCTGGCTTGTGCCATTGGAGCCAGGAGTCAGATGGCCCGAACGTATCTGGAGAGACACCTCGAAAAGTTTGCGGACTGCAGTCGTGAAGAGTTGATCAAACATGCATTGCTGGCATTAAAGGAGTCTCTGGCGCAAGACAAGGAACTCACCGTGGACAACACCAGTTTGGCGGTGATCGGTATGGGCGAGAAAGATGGCAGAAAGAAGCTGGAGGCCTTCAAGCTCTATGATGGACAGGACGTCGGACCTTTGCTCGAGGCAAGTGTGGAGTCGACGGCGACCGAAGGTGGAGATGCAATGGAAACAGATTCGTAGGAAAAGAAGTGATGGGTACGCATATTGCACGGCGTTTGGCGTAGTAGGCTGCTACAAGATACAGCAAGTCAGTCCCGTGGAAATGGAAATGGCAAGGCATGAATGGTGGGATTGAAGAGAATCTCTATGTTCCATTTTCCGATCTATGACCAGTCCAGCTTATACCTCCCAGGGGCGAGCTGATAGCCACGTAACGCCTCGATAACCTGATCCGTGCTCTGAACCTCAACCAAGATATTGGCGGCGCCTTCGCCCACGAACCCTTCTCTTATTGCCGTCTTGACCCAATCCAACAAACCGTTCCAGTAGCCGTTGATATTGACTAGAATGATGGGAATCTGATGGATGCCCAACTGGTTCCAAGTGACCATTTCCATGACCTCCTCCATGGTCCCGTATCCCCCAGCCAGGGCTACAAATCCAGAGCCAGGCGCACCAGCTTCGACCGAATTTGCCATCATACGCTTTCGAGTGTGCATGTCCGGGACAATGGTGGTCCTTCCAAACTCGGACTCGGGCACTATTTGTTTATCTGGGTCTTCGGTATTACTGTCGATCCGTTGCAATTCCTCCGAGGACATGGTCCGCTCTGCCTTTCTCTGGCCAAAGCGACTTTTGTCGCCGGCGAATGAAGGGTCCTTTTCTGAGCGGATCAATGCTCTGGGGATGATACCGTGCACTGAACTGGGACCGGAGAGGGAGACGAGGGTTTTGGCCAGTTCGCCCATAACCCCCATGGTCCCTCCGCCGTAGACGAGCTTGTAGCCGGCCTCATGAAGAGATCGACCCAGTTCTCGTGCGGACGCGAGATGGATGGGGTCTTTTCCTGGAGAAGAAGCACAGCTTGAAGAAATCTGTTAGTCATCCTTCTGGGAAGTTCGCACATGGGAGACCGTGTTTCTCGACGCACAAGACGCAGACGACGGGTTCCGCCCGATCGGTTTCCTGGGCGGCTGGCATTTTACAGCAGGGTGATCGAAATGGGTGGAGATGGGCAAAATGGAACTTCCTCGAGCGGCGAAAGACCAAAAGCAAGGACTGAAATGGGCGTAACAAGTGTGGGAAGTGAACCGCTATTTAGATCGGTCTCCGAGTCGATGGAGGGTAAAAAGTCTGGAGAAAGAGAATGAAAGCAGCTGGAATCTGCGAAAACCCCAAATGAACGATGCAGAACACAGTCCAACCTACAAACAATGCTTGAAAATGTCGTACGAACTGGGGGACGAAGTGGTTGGAAAGGAAAAGTGCAGGTGGGATATGTTGGCAATTGGAAAAACTGGACACATTCTGCGTGGGTTTCTCAACGATTGGCCTGTGAGTCAACATGACGTTACAGAGAGCAGCCTCGTCACCAGGTTGTGCGGTGAATGGTGCCACGTGAAGCAATGGACGAGAGAATGTGGTTCAGTCGACGGAGCTCGCCGAGTGCATTGAGTTCTGGGGGGATGGGAAGGACAAGTGAGGTGGAAGAGAGGGATCGGTGAGCATTATTACATGGACATGGCACGTACAGCACCTAACTACCTACCTATGCTCGCCAGGTAGGTATAGAGATAGGCATGACGGGCAGCCCACGGGGACCGAGTACTGGTAGGAATAATAATAGAGATGGAGGGAGGAAGAGGATGAGGAGGGACTTGGGCCACTAGACCTAGGGCTTATCGATAACCCTCGCTAGGCAGTGGACTTATCAATTAATTATGGCTCTTAGGTAGGTATGAGCATGGAGCATCCACTGCATCTGGGTCCCGTGGTCTGGCGATTGTGGGCAAGTCAGTGGTTCAATAGTGTCCTTTTCTTCCTTTCTTCCACCCACACCTTCTGTCCATCTTTCTGTCTATCTCTCTCTCTCCATCTCCAATCCGGTATCTCCATCCTCTCTGTCTCTGCCCTGCTCCCTTCCATTCCGTCCTTTTCCTCTTCCCCCAATCATCCCATGCGAGCCTCCCCATCCTCTCGCTTACTGTATCCGCTCTTGTTCTGGGCGATCTTTCCTTCCATCTCCTTCCGCCAGCTGCCCCTCCCCTTGCATCTGCAAGCTTATTCTTTTCTTGTTTCACTATCACTATCTCAGAGCCTCAGTGCCCCAGCCTCCTCTATTTCACCGCTCACGGGACTCCTTCAGTGTTCCGTTCGGCTGTAGCTGCTGATCAAGCACATCATACCTTGGTCATCCGTGTCGCATCTCGTGTTGACCCATCACCATGAGCAATAGCGGACGCTCGACAGCCTGCATGGCTCGCTTAATCTGCTCGTGTTGGGACCCTTTCGACCTTGAGTGCTCGCCTCTGCTGCCTTGGCAAGATCAACTCAATGAGCCTTGACTGACCTTTTCCGGCCTATACTGCGCTGTCCCTCCCTCCCGTCATCGTCCCATTGGCCCCGGACCACCACGCCTTGCCGACAATTTTGCTTGTCCTCGTCCTCATGCACCTCGGCCGCTAACACATTCGGCCATAAGCCGTGAAAAGGCCAGCTCCAAGACACCCCGCCCTCGGAATCACACCCTGTATGACCCCAATGGTGTCGTATCTCGGCGTGGGAGCTGAAAAAAGAACCCCGCTTTCCCTGGTAAGGCTACCAACCATGTGTGCTGTCGGCCGTGAATACGCAGATACACCTCACAGACAACTGGCCCTTGGTCTCCAAAGGTTCTAGCCTCCAAGCGGTAGCGAGACCCTAGCCCGACGGCTGTCTTGATTGATGCTTCAAGACCTCGCTGTCCCGCTCTTTCTCAGTTTTTTTCTTTCTTGCTCCGTCAGCCTTACCCTTGCCCCAGGCTGCCCCGCCTGCTCAACGACGATATCATTGTCGTCGCAGTGCATATCCTGCGGCGCGATCGCCGCCCTGCGCAGCCATGAGCACTGTTGGAGCCTCCGAGTCGAGTATCGCAAGTTCAGAGTCGAGTGTCGCAAGCTCCGAGTCAAGTGTCCTGAGCTCTGCTGAGAGTGCTGTAAGCTCGGCGGCCAGTCAAGTCAGCTCGGTGGCATCGGCCATCGCCACCACCACCGCCGCCACCTCTTCGACTACGGATTCGACGACAGTGCCATCGACGACACCACCTTCTACCTCGTCATCCACTACTTCCTCGCTGCCTTCTTCAACGACCATTTCTACTACAACCACCACCAGTAAGTTGGCCAGTGCCGTTTTCCGCTGTTGATTCCCCACCGCTTCAGCCTTGCCTCGATTGCGCTCGCGAGTTTGCTTTTATAACATTCGCTCCGTGGCAGCTACCACAAGCTTCACAACATCGTCCTCTACCTCCACCGTTCCAGTCACTACAACTTTGTCCACTACTTCCTCGCTGCCTCCTCCAACGACCAGTTCTGCTACAACCACCCTTTCCACAAGTAGCAGCTCCTCAAGTATACCCCCTCCTTCGTCCTCAACCACTAGCAGCAGCAGCAGCAGGAGCAGCACCTCAAGTATTTCCCCCTCTACGCCGTCTAGCAGCAGCACTTCAAGCATTTCCCCCTCTACATCGTCTAGCAGCAGCACCTCAAGCCTTCCCCCCTCTACATCGTCTACTAGCAGTATTACTACCTCAAGTGATCCCCCTTCCTCTTCCATCACGTTGTCCACTTCCTCTAGCTTGTCGACGTCCGCTCACACCTCCCCTTCAACCATAGCTACCACTCCCATTCCTACTACCTCTTCCCCTACCACTACATCCTCTCCCTCTCCATCTCCAACAACGACCTCTTCTCCCTCCCCCACCACTACGACTACCACTTCTCCGATTCCAAGCACCACTACTACTAGTGAGTCCTGTTTGCTTGTTTGTTTCATACCGTCAGCCGCTGCGTCTATTATCATATTGCATGTGTGAGCCTCCCCTAATGTTGGATAATTTTTCAGCCACAACTTCCTCTCCCTCCTCCTCCCCAACAACTACCACCACCACCCGTTCAACAACCAGTCCGAGCCCAGTTCCTACAACCACTTCAAGCTCTACATTCACCACCTCCTCAACATCCTCAGCGTCATCCTCGACTACACCATCCTCCTCTAGCTCTTCTTCCTCAACCTCGTCTTCCTCGTCCAAATCGAGCACCACAAGCACGAGTGAAGCCCCAGTCGTTATAACCACCTCCAGTACCTCGATTTCCTATACGACTACCACCTCGTACGTCACCCAAGTCCTCCAAACTACCTCAAATGGGCAACCAGGCTTCACCACCATCACATCCGTCGTGATAGCGACAAGTCCCGCCACCACGCTCGTGGCACCAGCAACTTTTACAAGCACTCCAGGCGTCGCCCCGACCCTCCTTCCAGCGAACAGCGGCGGCGGTGGCAGCTCAGGTCTGTCGACAGGTGCCAAAGCCGGCATAGGGGCCGGTGTCGGGATTCTAGTTCTAGCTGCTGCTATCTTTGGCGGTTGGTACAGCTGGTACATGAGGCGGCGGAGGAAACGAGACTCCTACTCCCATGATCCGTACACCGATGAGCCCCTGCCCAGCATGGCAGGCCTCGGCATCGCAGGCGGCGGAGCTGCAGGTATGGGAGCCATGGCCGCAATTTCATCAGGTTACCGTGACACCTCGAACCGTTCCGACACGCGTTCAGAGCTACCATCCCCTCCGATTCCTTCCCCACCGCCTCGATCTCCAGACCGACTTCTTCCACCTGGAGTAGTACCCTTCGCATACCGAGGTTCTAACTCACCACCCAACAACCAAGGCTCTTCCCACATGTCTGTCTCAGACCAGAGCGAGTACTCACAAGGGAACAATCAATTCCAGCCGGGCGGCCAATACCCTCAAGGGCCAAACGCAGCGGGAGCTGGCTACTTTGGCGGCAATCTCAACGAACTACCTGAAGACCAGAGAAATATCCACCAGCTGCCGGATGACCAAGTCTCCAACCCCATGTCACACCAAAGCTACCAACATGCCAACATGGGCCAAGATGGGTATTGGTCCGGGCAACCATCGGCACCTTCGGCACCGTCTGCGCCCTCAGCACCTTCCGCGCAGGAGTCCTATGAGTTGCCCGGAGGACAAAGTCCCACACCTGCGACTGCGCAGCCGCAGGGTGGACAGGGAGGCTACCGCGGCGCGGATCGAGAGGTTCCTCTCCATCAACGCATGGAGGGCAGAGTGCCGTACCGGCCAGGCCATCTATCGCCTTCGGCCAATTTCTAAATTGGATGCATCGCTTGGTGGACCGCGAGTGTGTATAATGGGTACCTAGGTATATTAAAACATAAAATCATAATGTATTGTCAAATGATTGGATGAATTGGAATGGAATCGCCTAACAAAGGCCATTTCCAAGAATAACATGCTTTTGCCCGTCTAAGCTTTGCTGTCCTGAGGCCATGCGATAAATTTACTGTTCCCATTTACAAGCTAGTCAAGGGAACGCGTATTTGGCTTACCTTTCTCCGTATGATTTTGTAGGTCAGAAGAAAATACATAAATCGCGTAGACTATTCTCTCCCGTATCTCTTTTCGATGCTGGGGCGCTTTTCCCCCTCAATGGACGACTTGATGCCGTCTTGGGAGAAACGCAACACGGCGCATCCGTGTTGATTTGCTGTACTGATAGCAGCGAGCATTTCTCCTTTCCCACAGCTTCTCCTCCCTCCTCTTTTTTTCTCTTCTGTGATCTCTCGCGCATGCTCCTGGGTCTCTTCGCCGGGTGAAGCTCCTCATGCTGGATCCTTTGTCCAGCCATTCACAGGTAGGCCTCTCTCGATCTCGATATTGCCCCTTTTTCGTCACAAGAATGGGGGTAGTGAATATATACATATTCTTCATTTCTTACCGTGGTAGAGCCGGAACAGACCACCACCACGGGTCTATGTTTCATCAGGGCTCGTCTTCAGTGAATGCATCGTTTTAATAGGGACGACTTCGGAACATGGACTGCACTGAATGGAGGGGCGGGAAGGTGTATGAGTCTTTGCCTCGTTGGTCTTCCGTCTTAATGTTGATGGTTATTGATCTCGCTGGGGCTCGAGATATAGGTGATTTCGTGCGTAGGTGAATCCCTAGATTGAGACAGACCAACGTTGCTTCTGTTGCTTCTGTTTCAAAGAGGACGTACCGTCGTCGTTGTCGTCCTGCCAAATTGGGTTGCGAAAGCGTCGGATCGCTAGCTTGGCCGTTCTATCGTCGTCGTCGCGGCGATGGGCCATGAACGACAACAAGATAGACCAGACCTTCACAAACGCAAACAGAACTCGACCCCGGCGCAGCCACAGGACATCACCTTGTTACCTCGCGCGCACAGAGAGAAAGAAGACCACATCACGACAAATTCTGTGCAACGAACCTTCTCAAAGACAAGGACCTGTGGACTGTCTCGTTGAGACTGTTGATGCGATCTGGCCGTCGCGACAAGTACGCAAAAGATCCAATCCGCGAAGCACAAATATTGCGCACCTCTTTGTCCCCAGAAAAATGGACGCTCCGAGACTCGAGATCGATCAGGCCGGACGCGCGAGAGTAGTCATGCCAGCACCACCGCCACCACCACCAAAGAAGCCTTGCGTGCCCCAGCCACGTGCTCCCGAACTGGTCATTGACGATCATGGATTTGCCAGGGTCGTGTTTCCCCCCAAGGAATTGCGGTTGGGCGATTGTGTTGCTGTCCATTTGCGAGTCGGCCTCCATCCGGAATCGTATGAGCGCACCCAGTTACCGGAAGAAGGTATAGTAGTGTCCCTGAGTCTTGTGCCCTATTCCACAGTATTTTGGCTCACGCAGCGTATAGATCTGGATGTTGATGAAGAAGTTGTTCCTCCAGCCGCACGCTTCCGTGAAGCTGATGATAGGCCGATTTGCGAGCCGACAACGCCGCAGAATGGCAATTTGGCTATGATTCCTGCACCTCGCACATTCAAGTTCGACGAACGACGAGCTTTGGAAAACATACCAAGCGATTGGCAGGAACAGCAAGAAATACATCGAATCAACCACCCTCCGGTCTTGCCACCAGTCGTTTGGATCAAGCAAGCCGACGCAAACACACGTCTCCGCCATGCAGTTGATGTGTTGACCGTCAATGGTGAGAAATACGTCAGGATTGATCAGACACATTTTTTGTATGCTGTCAATGCGGATTGGCTCCAGAATGGCGAGAATGTCACAATCCGCCAAGCGCAATACCGCCATTGGAATGCTGCTAGAGGTGCTGGTCGTCCAGAGATCCTCTTCATGTTGTATCCGCTCGGAGAATGGGCGTATACACCCATCAACAACCGCCGGAAAAAGGCTCCTCAAGAATTCCTTCCTCAGCTGGACAACTAAGGTCGGGTGCTTCTGAATGTATTTGATCGGCCACTGAAGTTCTCAAATGTAATGCCTCGACAGGTCAGCACGGAGATCGAAGGTTGGGAAATGGAGGCTATTTGCCGCTTGGATCCAGATATCTGCCATCAAGATTTCATTGATCGAATGCTCCCCAATCCCGGTGACGGTAAGACTCAACCCAGCAGAGGCACACTGAACCATCGTCGTCGTCGTGATCGCATAAGGATGAGAGTCCTCCCCTGGCCTCTGCCTGCCCAGCTCAGCTATTCCGATCGACAAGTCATCAATGGACTGACCCCGTGGCAAATTGCGAATAACACGACCTTTGGTTTGACGGATCTATCAAAGGAGGGGATTGAGATGCAAGAGGCAATCATGTACGGTGGGCATTTTGAGCGATCGGGGGCCAATGCGCAGAATGACAGAGCAAGGTTGGACCAGTTTTGGATCAATCTGAGGCTCGTGAGGACGAAATTTGCTGAGGATTCGGAGGAGGTGAGGCTGATCAAGAACAGAGTTGCTGTTCAGCTGGAGAAGATGGGCCTGGAGTATGATCATCGTGTATGGGACGTTTAGGTTAGTTGATAGATTACAGGGGCGAAGGAGTGGTTGTGTGTAGAGTATGAGATCTTGTCCTGTACTGAGTAGGCACTTGGAGGGTAGAAACAGCGTCCCCCCATCAATGATACCGTACCATGAGTCCCTTTCTTCCAGCGGTCACCTCATCTGCCATCGCTCTATCACAGGCTCGGTCATAACGGTTGCGACTGATGTCGGACGCTGAAAGCACCCACCATTTTTGACATGTGGTCTTTCTGTCTCCTTGGACTGCATTATGGCATAGTGGGATCGAAGGTTGTCTGGACCCCGTTAACCCCATACTTGTCGATGATCTTTGACATGAAGGAGGACGTCTGAACAAGCATGGAGACTAGCAGGCGAGGAGACGCCAGACGAGAGAAATAGGGGCTGGTACCAGTGGCACCTTGAAGGTCTCGGATAAACTACGGATGAAGCGCTACAGTAAATCATTCAGTTCCGCCCCCAGTGGCGCTCTTCCACCATCACAACAGCCTCACAAAGTCAACTTGCTTCTTCCATACAAGGTTATTATGTGGTTGTATACTACTTCATCACCTCTGACACATCATGTTCACTTCTACACGCTCGAATACCAGCATACGCCCCCACAAGATACCGGTGTTAAGTTTTCAGTGTGAGCGGATGTGCTTACCATATATATCTCCACACACCCATGAGCTGTTCCCTCCATGACTGGCAAACATAGAGGCGGTAGTTCTTACTCTCATTGCCACGCGTCAGAGGATACTGGCAGCTTACTCCAAGAAGATCAAGACAGCCTCGACGAGAAATCAATGGTTTTATTCTTGATTGAATCTGCGCTTTGCTTGGATGACGGCTCGACGACAAAGGAATACTCCAAAGGGAGCACGCGCACTCACTATGGCACTGACTTCATTCACGTCTACATCCGGTGATGCTTTGTGCATTACCTGTACGTGACACTTCGCAGTCACTGTGTGAGTCGATTCACGCTGCGAGTCGTGACACTTCGTCACCTCCAAGTATCAGTGACATCCAGCCTTTTATATACCAAAACATTTTCTTCTTTAATCTCTGCAGTTTGTTATAACTACTCAGCAACCTACTGGCTCGTCAAACAACTCTCGGCTATCCAACTGGCTAACGTTCTTGGTGAGTCGTTATGGCCTGTGGCACAACCTTCGACTATACACTAACCACTCTTACCCAGCTACAACACCTACCTATCGTGTTCCCGTTTCGTCCCTACTTCGACATGCATATTACAGCGCTTCTGGCGTTCCTCGCCTTCCTCTTCGCCCTCGCCAGCGCTGACAACGATCATGACGCGGATGACTTCTGCATTGCAGCATGTCAGAAAGTCAAGGGTGGCTCTATGACAATCTCCAGTCCTACATGCCCTGGAGTGACCGGTAATTACTGTTACAACAACTGCGAGTGGTAAGACACCAGGCATAGCACATGTCACCTTTCACGGGCAGGCTTGAATTTGCTAACCTGGTGTCGCGTAGCTCTCAGGACGGTGTGATGACTTGCGGCAACAAAGGTATCAAATGTTCTGAGGAGGCGGTTCTCAACACTTGCAAGCAAGGACTGTCTTCGCAGTGGGAGTGTTGGTGCCAAGACACATCATATTTCGCGAATGGATATGGCCCAGGGGTGGGTGAGACCTGCGGTAAAGATGGTTAGGAATGCTGAATTGGCGTCTCCTTTCATTCTGGGGAGAGTTCTATCCTCGGCGCTTGGAGATCAGTTGGGGAAAGGGGAATGTCAATCTGCGCAGGATCCCAATTCGGTTGAACCTGGCATACTGCATTTCCTCTTTTTGTGCCGGATGAACGCACCAAAGAAAAACAGGCAATGTTCTTGGAAAAGATGATATGGTCTACCATGGCAGTCACAGGTCGCCTAGTGATCGAGCTGCCTCTAGGTGTAAAATCCTACATCCATCGGCGGCACAAGTAATGAGACTTTCATTTTTCCACATGCTTTCGCGTTCGGTACCTTTAGCATGCTTGCAGCAAGGCTGAGGCCGAGAAGGGGAGAGCCAGGGCCTCTTGCCAAAAATCGGAGTAATCATCATACGTCATTGTTGGCTGCGTTTCTGGAGGCCTTTGCTCCATCAAACTGATTGCGAGCCGCAATTTCTCCCCTTCTTCCCTGGAAGTGGCATGTTGACTCTCCGTTTACCATCATTGATACGGGGGGGCGGTCACAGGTTGGACGTCAATCGTCTCTGTTCGCCCAAGATGGCGGACAAAATGTCGACGTACTCGCCGCTGATGGCCAAAAACCTCTCGATCGAACCGATGGTAAGGTCACACGACCCGCACTATACAAAGCCGTGTGGCTGATTGCTGAAAAGGGCGCTAGAATACAAATGAGGCGAAATGGATTACCCTGAAGAAAATCACATATGAGGACCCATCGGGAAAGCAAAGACTGTGGGAATCAGCCGAGCGACAGGTCAATTGAAATTCCCGCCGAGTTGCCTCAGCCGGCCCTAAGAAGACACTGGGAAAGTTGACTCGATGCTGCAGACGAGACCTAAAAACGTTGAAGTCGACGCCGTCGGCGTGGTAGCTATCCTCAACGACCCCAAATCCACCAAAGGCCCCTCGCTGCTGCTTCAGAAGCAATTCCGCCCCGCCGTCGACAAAGTCACCATCGAGGTCCCCTCAGGCCTTATCGACCCCGGGGAATCCCCCGCCGACGCCGCTATACGCGAGCTGAAAGAGGAGACGGGCTACATCGCCACCATACCCTCTGATGCCAAAGCCGCCGAAGGGATCTTGATGTTTAATGACCCGGGTTTCTGCAATACGAACACGAAAATGATTTTTGTGGAGGTGGACATGCGCGACCCGAGGAATCAAGAGGAGAACTTGAAGCCCGAATTAGAGGAGAGTGAGTATATAGAATGCTTTACATTGCCTTTGGACAACTTGTGGAACGAGCTAGCAGACCTTGAGGCCAAGGGCTTTGCGATCGATGCGCGTGTCGGGACGTTGGCACAGGGGATGGAAATAGCGAAGAAGTGGAAAGACGTGCTCAACAAGGATCCCTCATAGATTGTATTGCACGACAGAGACGACTTGGGAGGTTCTGATCCCCCTTTGCGGCCTTTGTCTACGTCTTCAAACGCAATGAATTACAGATACGCCAAGGCCGCTCGGTGGGCATGAGAGCCTCTCGTTCAAGTTCCGTCGAAGATCCACGAAGTTTCATGAGCACCAGACTTTGCAGGATCGAACGGTGAAAATGTAATATTTGCGCTTGTGATAAGACCTCTCTACATTTTGTGAGTTTACTGACGAACAGAGCTCCGTCCCAGGACCGATGCATATCACCATCACCGCCTAAAGATTCCCGTGCCCCAACAAAACCTCAATATCGCCAACCCCCAGGCCATGCCCAGAGAGTCCCTGACCAGATTCAACTTGCTGCCCGTGACCTCCCTCCAGCCGACGGCGACCTCTGCCACGGGGATATTTGCAAACTCGGCCAACATGAGCATTTCGACGTCAAAGATCCAACCTTCCATGTGCATATGGGGAATAATATAAGGCAGCGTGGGGCGGGAGAACAGCTTGAAGCCGCACTGCGTGTCCTTGATGCGGGCCGTGGCGGGGGGTGTCATGACCCAGAGCAACAGGTGGAAGCAGCGCATGAGGAAGTTCCGGATCTTGGAGCGCTTCACCACGACCTCCGAGTCGACCAGGTGCGCCCTCGACCCGACCGCAATGCCTCTCCCATCGGGGTCTTCGATGTCCCGACACGCCCTCACCAACTTTTCGAGGTCGGAAAACTTGGACGCCCCGTCCGCGTCGGCGAAGACGACGTATGCGCCGCGGGCATGGCGCATGCCGTGCGTGACGGCGCCGCCTTTGCCGCGGTTTTCCTCCAGCGAGACCATGCGGATGGACCCCGGGGGGATTTTCACACCACTTTCGGACCGATGCGTCCAGGGACCGGAGTCGCGGCGCGGGTGCGGGTGGAGGATGTGTTTGCGTGCAAAAGTTTGCGCGGTCAGGAGGGTGTCGTCTGTGGAGCCGTCGTCGACGAGCACGATTTCCCAGCCTCGTAGGGGTTCATCTCTCCTCGACTGCGAAGCGGACGTAGTAGTAGTAGCATCGCCGTTTGCCTTCCTGCGCCGCGGACCGTTGGCGTCCTGTGTTTGTCCCTCCGACGACGACGACGTGGTGGAAGATGATGTCCCAGTTCCATACTCGGTCTCGAGAAATGTCACCGCCTCCTCCAGCATCCCCGTCAACCGGTCCTCCTCATTGAACGCCGGAATGACCAGCGTCATGAACACCTCGGCCGGCTCCATCTCGATCTCCTTCTCCAAGTCAATTTCCTTGTTCGGATCCTCTTGCCTGCGCTGGACATATTTCCGTAGCACCTCGTCGTACCAACACGGCAGCGGTTCGGGATCTGTCACGTCGCCGGTCTTGTCGACCGTTATGTATTTCTTCTCGGACGGGCGGGGTTTGCGTGGGTGGGGGACGAAGAGGGTGACGAATATCCATATCTGAATTTCCCCAGCGGTCAGTACCTAGGTCGAGTAATAACCCAGGAGCAAGAGGATCGTAAGAGGGGGAGAGGAATTGGGGGAAAGGAAATGAATGCGTACCAGCAACAAGACCGCAAACGCAGCCCAGATCAAGATGAAGGGCACCAGGCGCCATTGGAACCACTGGTCGTCTTTAAACACAGTTGTAAAGTGACCGCCCATACCAATAGGTCGATCCATGACGACGTCGGCGACTTCATGAGCCTCACCAGGAGGGTCTGGGGTAGTTGGACGACGACGAAGAAGAAGGCGGCCTTAGGGGACCTCACGGAGGGGAATTTCTAGGGAAGTGTCAAGGCCATACGTAGCGCTTCGTCGTCGTCGAGCGGAGCCTGGCGACTGTTGCATTGAGTTTCTGGAAAGACAGATGTCAACAACTTTTTTGGTGGTCGGCAAATCGGCGCAAAGACCAGGCTCCGTGGCCAGGGGGATTCCACATAAGCAAATTACGAGTAGAAACTAAATCACCTTCGAAGGAGCACACCAAAAAGAAAGTTTCCCGGCCACAATGTGAGCTTGGAGCTGGTGTCATCCGTTCTGCATTGCGGAGTCCTGAGATATCATACCTAGCTAGATAGTGTGGGATGTGAGGGCTCCAAGTTTTGGGCGTCGGCCACGCTTCGAACTTCTTCTACGCGGCCCATTTTCAGCCTCGTGTCGTAGCATAGATTAGTCTCTGTCTCGCTTCTATTGTCACCAGAAATGCTGACAAGATGTCCTTTGGTCAAACAAATGGTGCCCTTGACGGTCATGATCGTGACCTTTGTAATGCCAAAATCGCTTCCCCTGCTTATTCTTTCTCAAGAGTATCATAGCCGGTCCCATAAGGCGCATCATCGCGACGAGAAGCTTGAACTGCCCGCAACCTTTGTCCATGCACTTTCCAATTTACTTTCAATCAATTCATCCACCGGCTCAGCACCGACGTCACTCACGCCAACTCCGCCTGCTGCCCTTAACCCGCTATCGCCAGTATTTGGCCGATTCTCCTCCAGACTCTGGTCCAAGTTGCTGGCATAGATGACAGCCGCGAAAGCTTCGAGCTCCCTGACCTCGGCCTCTGCTGTAGATACATATTCGTTGGGAGGGTTGTTCCCATTCCCGATCGCATGTGCCTGGCGTGTGATGATTGCCAGAATATTGGCAAGCTTGACCCGGGGCTCCCCCGGCACGACTGTGACAGCAGAGTCGAGCTCCTGAATGCGCGGCTGCTGTGCGCTAGACATGGACGAAGACGGGGAGTGTTGCCTCGGTTGTGGATATAGTTGGGCAATAACACGAGTGTCGATTAGATGCGAAAACATGGAACCGAGAAGCAGGGTATGGATCCTCGTGAATGTTGGCGAGTCAATCAGATCGGCGGTCTCGTCGAGAAGCTGCCGCAATGGTCCTGTCGACGTATCGATATGAATGGGGTGTTCTTGATGTTCGCCCTTCTCGGGTTCCTGAGCGTCGGAGCCCGGGGAGGTTACGGGCGGAGTGATCACCCCGGACTCTATCAACACTGCTTCTTCCTCCTCTTTGGGCGGTAAGACGTAGGGTAGCCATCTGGTAGCATATCTCTCTTGCTCAGAACCGCCCTCAACGCGCTTTCGGACATCGAGGACCAAATCGCTGAGTCGAGTGGCTGTTAATCCTTCGCTCGGAGAGATGCCCCCAAATACTTCCTCAACTGCTTCCCTGACTTTTGACATAATCTGTGCATAGCCCTTGTGCAGCAAAAACCAGGAAAATGTCAAATATCTCCTGTTTGTTTCAAAGTCGTTCCCAAAGCCGGCCCCTGCGGCCCCGTCATCATGATCTTCCAACGAAATCGAGTCCGCTCTTCCGGGTGGCGGAGGCTGGGCCAACGAAATGACCGAAGATAGGTAGTTTAGTCGACCGAGGAGGTTCAACTGTATTCTCGTGAGGATTATGAGGAGAGACAGACTGTAAATCAATGTGAATGCTCTCGTGATGGAAGTCACTTTCAATTCATTCCAAAGTTGAGCCTTTGTCCGACGAGACCCGGTTGACTGACTCGCATCGCCCTGGAATTGGCTGGCGTGTATAAAGCTGCCCGTCTGAAAGCTGGACATGCTTGCCGTATCGCCCTCATACATGCTCGAGGCTTCGGATTTCCCTTCTCCTGAGGCACGTGCCAATCTCTCGGCCTTCTTCTGTTGCAGCTCATGAGTCAGTTGTTCGACAGGGAGGTCTTCCAGGATGTTCTCGGTCAGGGTGGGTAGTAAGGCGAGGACTGTAATTGTACAGTCTGTTTGATTTTGTTCGAATCGGCGCCGAATGCTGGGTCAGACACAGTCAGTCTATATTCGGTGAACGAAGGCGTGATTCTCTTACTTCTCCTTTGCAATCTTGTCCATCTGCATGCGCTCTCGCGCTTCATTGATCTTTCCGAAGACATACTGGGCGGCCAGATACGTCGCGCCAACAACGCCAGCGCCGATGGCTATCCCAGTGCGATGCCGCTTCAGCCAGCGGCGTGTGGCTGATATCATTTTGACCAATGTGAGGGATTCTGTGCACCTTATCTCAGGTACAAGTTGTCCGCTGAATAGGACATGATCGCGAAGAGCGCAGAGAGAGAGAGATGGAGGGCTCTGAATGAGCGTCCCGAGCAAGGGCAGGATAGCCAAGGGAGCAGGCAGATTCACGTCGCAGCTCTATTGACTCAATTGATCACATATGTCGAAATGGGTCGGATGAAGATTGTGGCGGTGCCTCGGCTGAAGGCTCGAAAAGTAGCACCAGTCATCCCCAGTACCCGAGCAGGAGCATGGGCTTTTTGGTCGGGGATGGATTTGGGGAGAGTGGACAAACGGCTGGGCTGGGCGTAGATACTAGAGGCTGGGTGTAAAGGCCAACCCATGAGCAGCCCGTGAGCCAATAATGAGCAGATGACCCGGGTTGTCAGCAAGGCTCTTCTTACTGGCACAACTACGTAATAATGAGTGCTTTCTTGGTTGTTCCAAGGGCCCTTTTAACCGGCTGAATAGCGCCTGGCGAAGAACCTCTCCTAGCCGAGAATGACCATTCCTGCCCGCTGGACCCCACCATGGAAGGAACAGTTCAAAGAGTCTTCATGCACCTCATCGTGGCTTTCTTCAGAGTCATACCGCAGCGACCAGTCCGCCGATGCTGAATGCACGCTTGTTGCAGCCTGTGAACGACCATGTCTTGAACAACAGCTCTGTCCCAGGCGCCACTTAGCTGGCTGCCACCTCCTTTGCTCTCTCCTACTCGTATTCCGCTGAGCGTACCACCACTCTACCAGAAAAACCCCACCATTTGGCAGTCGAAATCGATTCCAGTACACTTGCGCACGAAGATTGCTGCTTGCGATCATGGACCAGGGCCATCGCGAATACATCCTTGAGGTATTCGCAGACCAAACATTTGTAAGGGACATAGTTAAAGGTACGGTGTCGTCTGGCCCCAAACCTGCGAGTCAGGAGGAACCCTTCTGCTCTACTTTCTTACAAGAGACTGGAATCACTCACAATTACGTTCTTGATAACAGGAGTCCTACACACGATATTCTTTCACCGTTACTTCCCACCCATTCGACCCTCTCTCTACACCCCGAATGCCTCCTCTCTCTCCCATACTCACACCTCGCACTCAACGCAGTCTCTTCCCGTCACACTCCCTTCAATTCTCGAGCCGCCCGAAATCTCAACGGCAATCGACTCTCACGCAGACTTGCTCATCTCTCAGTTGACACCGCAATTCTCAGCGACAAGCCCATCAGCAGCCGCAGGTGGTTCTCGCGGCGAGATCGTAGTGCGATTTTACGATCGCAAACGGAGGAAAACAGGAATCACGACGGGCTGGTTGGGCCGGTTAGGAGGCGGAGGACAAACAGAGGAGGAAGTATGTTGGGAGGAGTGGTGTGTACAGGTCATTGTCGCAAGACCTAGAAGTGAAGCGGGTAAGACTATCCTTCTCGTTCTCTCATGTGCCGTGCGACAGCTTTTCGTGTTACTAACCTATCGATTTCTCTGGCAGACCGCATCAAAGTCCGCCGTGCTATGGAATCTTCCTTACAGAAGACGGCGATGAAGATCGTCGCAATAGTGAACAGAGACAAGGATCACATTCCTCCCATTACCACGAGTGATCAGAACCCATTTCCGTACAGGATATTTGTCAATCCCAAGCAACAGGAAAGTGTGGAGAGGGGGTTTGTGGGAGGATGGAGTTAAGGCTAGGGAGGTGCAGAGCACATCGGCAAGACAAATGCATTCTCCTTAGAGATACAAATTATAGAGCAAAGAAAAGTCGCTGGTTTTTTTTTTGGAGTATTTCATTGGCTCGAACCTCAATTGACACCTTCCTACCTGTGATCAACAACTTGCCTCAACTGATCCCTTGAGAGCCATTGCCACCACCAAGACATAAGTCAACAGGTCTATCGAGAAAGTTCATAATGATATGATTTAGCTTTCGTGAGCAACTTGTAGGTCATCGCGCTGCAACTTCCACACAGCATTGTTTCCCGTGAATCCACCTCCCACCGGATCTCGTTCTGGAATGTGTTCCAATCGTTGTCATAATGCCAAAAACCTTGCCGTATTGTGCTCGAGCCGCATCAAACGGCAGCGATCGCTCTTAATTCTCGCACGAAGTTACGGTGAGATTCCTTGAGACGTTTACTGGCTTTTGAAAGCAGCGTCGGCCTTGCCTCGGACATCGGCAGAGGTGGAGGCAGATGGTTGTTGGAAGAAACGAGAGAAAATCGGCTGGAGGAAAGAGTGGAAGACGATCTGGGCCCCGTTGGTCATTGGAAGGGCCATCCACAAGATCAGGATGAATTTGAAGACGTAGTAGAAGGCTGTTGATCACAGATGGTTAGTACTGACCTGTGCGAGGGGCTAGCCTGCGCATGGACTTACGGAACCAGTAGACGGCATTGACCATGCTCTCAAGAACAGTAAGGAAGGCGTACACAACCCAGTACTAGAATAATGGTCAGTATGGCTGGAATCGGAAAATGTCGGAAGAGACACATACCGTCAACCACTGCGTATCGTCAACTTTACTGCTACTGAACAGAGCTTCGAGAGAGTAGTATCCCGGGATGATGAAGCCGGCGAAGTTGACGAGGAACTCGCCTCCAATGTTGAAGAAGACGAGGAAGAAGTAGAGGCCGATCAAGCCGAGGAAAGCGTAGACCTTGGGAACATTGGTCTGTTTCTCAAAGTTGTTGAGCATAGGATACTTGGAGAGCTGCAGGCACCATCAATTAGCTCACTCACGTTTGTCGACATTGCGAGATGAGACGACGACGATGCCCTCATAAGAGAGCGAGAAGATGGGTGATGTCAAATGGTAGGAAACGGTGGGAGTTGGCAGCCTGGAATTGACATGTGCCCTCACATACTTCCTTATCGATCTGCGAGATCTGATGCTGCGCTTTGTCCTGGAACGACATTTTGACAATGATAAGTTGGTATCTCTACGGGGAATGTAGATTGATGCGGATGGATTTGTGGAATGAAGAGTGGAAATGAGTCTGAATTGCTGGTAATATCTCAGTGCAAACGAAATGTGCGAGTGGGAAGAGAGGTGCAGTAGTGGGAGAGATGATGTGGTTTAAACCCCCTGGTGGTGCTGGTGGCCCAGGGGGCAGGAGGTGACGTTGGTCCGTTTGGTGAATGCATGACCTACAGTACAAACCCAGGCGACAGGTAGCAGCAGGTGGGCAGGCAGCTGCTTGGTGGGAGCTGGCGGCAGCTGGCAGCAGCTGGCAGGCTGGTGGGCGTCTCAGTCCAGGTGCTAGTCAGCTAAGTGCAGCTGGCCACTTGGGTGCCACTCGCGGTGATGACAGCGGCGCTCACTGCCACAAAGTCCCGCCTGACTCTGGCACCTGCACCTCGTCACTCACCTGCTCCAAGTAAATCCTAGGAGGCGAGGGAGGTACTCGGTACTAGTATTACCACCGCTGCACTGCTGCCAGACTGAGAGGCACCCAGAGCCAGAGGCCAAATCCTGGTGGTTGACGTAATAATACTAGGTTCGCATGGTGTGCATCCACAGGCGGCGCAAATAAATTCCGCCATGAACCAATGAGGAGATGATGCTGTCTGACGGATAGATACAACCAAGTTTTGCAGTATCCTGTGGCTGTCAGACCGGAGCCCAATGTTTGGCTTGGCAAACTGTTTCTCTGGCAACAACCTTTGTCGAACTCGAATCGGGCTGTTACTCTCAACACAAACCAGCGACATGGACTAACAGCCACCGCGCTTGAAGTGATCCATCGCAGTCAAGCTCGTCGATTGCATACGTGACATCTTCACCAGCACCTGGAGATTCACTATCTTTTCTCGCGATCGCTCAACAAGCGAGATACACGTCCGCGCACTTCCGCAACAGATCTGATCCACGAAAACATCAGCGCTCAAATGCCATGTTGTGATCGGCCAAATTACCAGCGAGCTGCCTTCCCACCATATCTATAGCGAGCAACAAAACATCCTCTTCCCCGTGACAGAGTTTGGGCCCTGAATATGTATGATCAGTTGTTTGTTTTTGTCGTGACGTCGAGCTAATCCGCCACAGTTCGGAATGGCGCAGTCGCCGACCCTCCCCATGGAGGAAACTCCAGACCAGCAAGATCCTACACATGCAAATAACGCAAGTAATAGAGAGAGACAACGGCCAAAATCCAGAGGCTCGACAACTAGCCTACAGTCCATCGGCGTGGGTAGCGCCTTCCAACCACCTGCGCATACACACCACCCACAACAACAACAACAACAACCACCACCACCAGACGAGCCGAACATGCCTTTAGACCAAAACACCTTCTTCATGCAACATGGCACTCACCCCGCTGCTGGCATGTATGGTCCTAACCCTGAAGATATGCTCATGCATTACCAACACAATATGCCACCGCATCTTCATCAACAACCGATAGACCCCAACACAGGAATGCCGCAACATGAGATGCGTCCCATGTCACAACATGCATTCCAGGAGATGCAGCACTACCCTATGCAGTATCCTCACGGCTTGCCGCCATATGCTGTCGCTCCTCAACATTTGCATCATATGCGGCATCATTCTGAACAGTTCGAAGGCTCACCTGCGCCGGAAGATTCAAACAACGAGAATGGCGGGGCCAAGAGAAGAAAGGGTACGGCTTCCAGCGTGGCTAACGACCAAGAGCTGCGGCGACTACTAGCACAGTACCAGGGCAAAAGTCTCAAGGAAGTTGCCGTGGAGGTTCAAAAGAATGAAGGTGCTGGGGGCAAATCTGAAAAAGCAAAACAAGTGTTTGCTATGCTTTGGTAAGTTCTCCTTTGAGGGAGCCTGCGGCCCTGGCTTATATTTGTAGGCTCCAAGAAAACTGTCAACGTTCTTCAAACTCCGTGCGTCGCGACCGCGTATTTACGAGATACACGGAGCGCTGTGGTAATGAGCGAGTTCCGACACTGAACCCAGCGTCGTTCGGGAAACTAGTCCGCATCATCTTTCCCAATGTCCAGACCAGAAGATTAGGAGTTCGAGGCGAATCGAAATATCACTACGTGGATCTATCGCTAATCATGGATGATGATGATCGACAATATGCTCTTGTACCTGAACGGCCTGGAACATCAAGCGGCAACCAGCATGAAAGACACGGATCAGTCCAGGAGGCAAACAAAATATTCAAGGCCAACGTGACTCCTCCTATCGATCGTCCTATGTCACGAGCAACCATGGAGACAGCCGACTTCCCTGCCCCGAGTGCTGCGTTCTTGTCCAAGGAAGCTGACGTCGCTGAGGATGAGACGCCAGTGTCTGTAGAGTCTCAGGCTGAGCGGCTGGATTGCAAGTATATCAACACGCCAACCATCCGCTTCCCCGTCAAGTCCATGCCTACGAATGTCGTCGTTGCGCTTCCTTCAATTCGTCAACATCTCCCAGCTAGCATGGCGACTTACCTGGGTATGCCAACACTCAATTCACTTTCTCAGCCGTCTACTTCGTCCCAAGATACACCTATTGACTTTCCCGATATCCATCCTTACCTCGAGGGAGAGAATTATGACGCGTCGATCGCCAAGGCCTTGTTCCATCTCTACCGTTCATACTGCATCGATGTCATTGATGCCTTTCGCAAATGCAAGGAGAAGCCGTTCTTCAACCACCACTCTGCTTTCAATGGGAAGATGACTGTTCCGGTCTCCAAGTTGTTTTCGATGCCCTGCTTGGCTCCATGGATCCAGGAGTGCGATATGCGCATGTATAAGCAGATTGTCCGATTCATTGCTCCTTTAGCAATACAGAATGTGCCCGAGGTTGTTTGGAATGTGTTCGACCGCATCGGATCGCGCCTGGTTAGCCACCTCATCTCGGCATTTGAAGAAAAATGCCCTGTTCACGTTATTGTCGCGAAGATCGTTCCTGCAGCCAGGTTTGTGCACGTGCTGAAGAAGCTCAAGGGCGCCAACGCGGCTACGTTACAACTGAGTCGAATGCTTGAAGACCCCCAACAGAGAACTCAGATGTGGCTTGATCTGATGTCCATTGTTGATCCCGATCGTCTACTAGAGGATAGCATGCCCCCACCCGAAAGTCTCGAGAAGATGCTGGGCATGTTGAAGCACGACATGAGGCCTCTTATTAATCCCATCGATGACGCATTGGTCCACGCAGCGGAAGAAGACCCAGCTAGCGCATATGCAACTTTTATTAACGACAGTGCCGACCCTTGCGACGGCATCCTGCTCCCAGAGTCCAGCGACGCACCTACTTCTTTGCTCGAGCGGTGGATCAGTTGGCTGGAGCGATTGCCCCAACTTTTCGACGGCCACCACCCTCAATGCATGATCAACTGGCACACAAGGCTGTGGAGGAGTGTCATGATGCAAATGGGACAAGGTGGTGCTCACAGCTATCAATCATGGTGGTTCGTGGAGTCGTTCACCACGCAAATGCTCGACTGGATGACGCAGATGGAAGGATTGCTCATGGACTCGCAGAGTCAGAAGCTTGCAGACGAGAGAGAGCGGGAGAAGCGTGAGGAGGCTCAAACTCAACCGGGCGTACCTCTCCATGGCACGAAGAGAAAGAGGGCGGTCCAGGATGTTGACGCAAACGGCGATGCTCCAGCTGGACCCGATTCACGCAAGTCAGTAAAACTGGAAATGGCTCCGGGCCGTTCACCTACCCTTCCAGTGGCCAGCGTCGAGCAGCAAGCGGGTCAGGAGATTGATGACGACGAAACCGACGCGGAGCTTGATGAACTACGACGCGGTGGCCCTTTAGACCTGCCTAGTTTTCATACCGGCCTCAGCAGTCCAGTCAAGCACCGCGCCCCTGGCAATCATGACGACAGTGGGATTGACCTTGGGCTCGATGTCGACATCGAAGCAGAGAAAGAGGCCAGAAAGTTCAACAAGAGAGACTGGCTTCTCAGCAGCGATCCGGCCGACCCAGCCATGGGTCTGGTCGTATTGGCCTAATGAGAGATCGACATAATTATGCTCAGCGACCAGACGCTGTTGACCCTTAATCACATGTACTGGAGGAATGTGGGACGGGGATATAATCCGACGATTTTGAACGAGCTGCACGACGGGATGACAGGGACGGTTTTAAGGAAACGGTCCATGGGTATTTCTAGTGGCGGCACGGAGTGTGGTTTTCAGGGTACATTTCTTCGCGGCAGGAGGTCCCAGTCCGAAGCACCTGTTGGTGACCAAAACATGGTTGATATGATGGAGGAGTGTTTCCTTTTGCACCTTTGATACCCGGAATCTGCGAACGGGTTGGCTGTATCTTCTTGGGCCAACGGCTTGGTGGCAGGTTTACGTTTCAGTGTGTTGAATCTTGGGAAACGGTTTTGCATGGGTGTCCAAATCCTTTGTTTCTTATAGCAACTTCTTGGAGAGCGCAAGTCCTTGTTGTCGTTGATGAGGTTTTAGTCTCGTTAAATGAAGAAGAATAGAATCATTGTAAAAGGGATGAGCTGGGAAAAGGGGGCAAGTCGTCGTGTTAGGTGTGTACCAAGCGAATCAAGTAAAGCGGCCGCCAATGTTGCGTAACTTCACATTTATCATCTCACCAACACTTACCAGCGGCATCACCAGAGCTGTGCATTTGCGCGTGGTTCCGTTTTCTCTGAGCTGAAGGGTATCTCTCTCTCTCTCTCTCTCTCTCTCTCAAAAACCAGGACCCTGGCTGGCGGTAATAGCCATGACCAAACGAGCAAGACCGCCCAACAATAATGTCAAGACGGAGACCACGACGCATTCTCCCAAACCAACAGTGCCTCCTCCATCACAGACGGACAACCGACCCAAATCCTTCGTCTCGATATTGACTGACGCAAAAGTGCGAAGGGCTCTACAGCTTGTCCTGCTTGCGGCCGTCTCTGCGCCCATCTCCCAATTAAACCTATCGCCTGTGTATGGAGATATACCAGCAGCTCTGTACCATCAATATGGCCTCGCTGCCTCCTTCATGCTCGCATTTGCCCTTCGGGGCTACCTCCCCGTCTGGGTATCACGAGCCATCACCCCTTTCTGCTTCTGGATCCCTAGCATCCAATTCTTTCTCTTCCGATCCAGTTCGACTCTCGGTAACCCACTGGGTCCTCTGGTCACGGAGCTCCTGACTTGCTATCCTCTTGTGCTGTTGTCCACCTACTTTGCGATTCAATACTTCGACGAGACCTTCAGCTCTAGCCACTCGGATTCCTCGTTAGGAGAGGCTGCGCCATCAATGGGGTTGTTCATGCTCTTTTCCGTCCTCCATCGAGCTTGTAGGGGCGTTGTCTCGTCACTTCTCGGGCACGGCTTCCTCACTTCACGCATTGGAATGCAGCTGGTAGTTGCTTCGCTATATGGGATGGTTCTACAGAACAGCATCTTGTGGCCCTCACTTCCAGCAGTCGCTTTTACTATGGTGGCAAATCCCCACTGCACACTTTCACGAACTACAGAGGTGCTCAACAACACCTTGGCTCTGTACAACTATACTTTACTGGAACGAAAAGAGTCGATTACAGGCTACATCTCGGTGTTGGAAGACAACCAGCGAGGTTTTCGCGTGATGAGGTGCGACCATAGTCTTCTAGGCGGAGAGTGGAAGATGCCCCCCCCCAAAAGAGTCCAGAGGAAGGTTGCGGAACCGATCTATTCCATCTTTGTGATGCTTGAAGCAGTACGTCTTGTTGAGGGCGCCTCTCCTAGCCCATATAAGACTGCCTTGAACATCGGGCTAGGAATCGGAACTGCGCCATCTGCCCTGATCCACCATGGAGTGAACACAACGGTCATGGAACTTGATCCGGTCGTTCATGAATTCGCGATCAAGTACTTCAACTTTCCCCATAACCATAGCTATTATATTGGTGACGCCATCCACGCGGTCACCACTGCGAACTCGACCGAGGCAGACTCTTACGACTACATTATCCACGACGTCTTCACTGGGGGAGCAGAGCCAGTGGAGCTCTTTACCATGGAATTCCTCTGGGGGCTGCATATGCTTTTGAAACCAGATGGAGTAATAGCCATCAACTACGCAGGGGATCTCGCCATGCCTGCATCCTCTCTTATTTATAGGACGATTATATCAGTATACCCTTCCTGCCGTGTTTTCCGAGAAGACGAAGCACCCACGCCTGGAACCAAACCAGCCGATTTCACCAACATGGTATTCTTCTGCAGGAAAAGGAAAGGAGCGATTACATTTCGAAGACCTGTTGCAGAAGATTTTCTGGGAAGTGGTGCTCGGCAAGAGTTTTTGATACCAAAGCATGAAATCGACCCGAGTGAGTTTGATACTGAAGGCGCCGTTCTCAGAAGCGGACAGACGAAAGAACTCGAGAAATGGCAGGCACAAAGCGCGTTGGGCCACTGGACGGTCATGAGGACAGTGCTGCCAGACGTCATCTGGGAGAATTGGTAATGCGTGCCAGGGCAAGACTCTGCGAACTTATTGTGCACCAGCGAACGATCGATCATGTCAAGCCAAGTTCGACGGCGTCAGTCGCGGCTTAGGCGCAGAGATGTGATGAAGGATATATTAGGTATGGCCGGAGGCATGGTCCAACCACTTCTGACAACTCGGCCAGTACTCAGGTTGTCAATGGTTATGTAGAGGAGCAGGCCATTTCTGCGCCACGCGCTGATAGTTTGGAGCATTCCGCAGGATCATCCCCTCATTGAGCTGTCCAATCTCGCGGCGAAAGATATCCTGCCAGGGCGTCTGAGACTCTGGGATCGGATATCCCCCCTTCGCCTCCAGGTCCTGCCGTCGCTTCTTCAGCTCATCGTCAGAGATCAAGATCTCGACACGTCGCTTATTCAAGTCGACCCTCAAGACATCTCCATCCTTAAGCAGTGCCAGGTTACCACCTGCGGCGGCTTCAGGGCTGGCATTCAGAATGGACGGCGAACCCGACGTGCCCGACTGCCTTCCATCTCCAATGCACGGCAAAGAGGTGACGCCTTGTTTCAAGACGTGGCCTGGAGCATGCATGTTGACTACTTCCGCCGCACCAGCTGAGATAGAAATTAGCACCTTTACTCGAGACAGACCCGAAGCCAAAGTCTCTGTCTTGCGCACGGTCCACGAAGGGGGAAATGGCCTAGGCATTGATTTGATTTCTTCGGAGTGAGGGACAAGGAGTACTTACGATATCCAAGAGGGCCAGCGCCACGCATCACCAAAATCGTCCTCTTATCGACTGGGGTCTTAGGATCATCGATGCGGCTGATGAAATCCTCTCGCCCATCAAACACCACAGCCTTACATTCGAATGCATTGGGGTCCTTGGAATCTTCCAAGAACTCCCGCCGGAAATCGTCGGAAATCACGGAGGTCTTCATGATGGCGGAATCAAAGAGATTACCTGTCATGTGGAGGAAGCCTGCTCGCTGTTTCAGCGGCTCACCGTAGGGCTTGATGGTCCGTCTGTCCCAAGAATGCCTGCCGTCCACATTCTCCTTTACGGTCTTGCCATTGCAGCTGAGCGCTTTTGGCTGGAGTTTACCTTGATCCAGAAGTTCGGCCATGACTGCTTGCAGTCCGCCGGCTTTGTAATACTCCTCGCACAACATCTCGCCGGCCGGTTGCACGTTCACCAGCAAAGGGATGTCAAGCCCAATCCTATCCCAGTCATTCAAATCCAGGGGGACACCAATATGCTTGGCCACAGCATTCAGGTGGATGGGGGCATTGGTGCTGCCTCCGATGGCGCTGTTCACGACAATAGCATTTTCAAAGGCTTCCCTCGTCATGATATCGCTTGGCTTGCGATCGGCGTGCACCATCTCCACAATCTGCTTACCAGTCCTGTACGCGCATTGAGCACGCTCACGATACGGGGCTGGAATCGCCGAAGAGCCTGGTAGAGCCATACCAAGTGCTTCGGCCAGAGCATTCATGGTTGATGCCGTGCCCATGGTGTTACAATGACCTGCTGAGGGCGTCCCAGCTGCGATCATCTCCACCATCATATCATCGTCAATCTTCCCCGCAGCATGCAAATCCCTAGCTTTCCATAAAATCGTCCCCGAGCCAATTCTGTCCTGCGAGCCGTGGAGGCGCCCGTTCAGCATGGGACCGACATTGAGACAAATGGCCGGAATGTTGACAGTAGCGGCGGCCATGAGCATTGCCGGGGTCGTCTTGTCACAGCCAGTCAAAAGCACCACTCCGTCCAACGGATATGCATGCAAGATCTCGACAAGCCCCAGATACAGCAGGTTCCGATCCAGAGTCGCTGTGGGCCGTCTCGCCGACTCCTGGATCGGATGCGTGGGGAATTCGAAAGCGATGCCACCAGCGGAGCGAATGCCTTCCCGCACCCGTTTAGACAATTCGAGATGGTGTCGGTTACAGGGGGCGAGGTCACTCCCAGATTGAGCTATGCCGATGATGGGTTTGCCGGTGTTGAGTTCCGATGTCGTCAGGCCATAGTTGAGGTACCGGTCTGTGTACAGAGCCATCATCTCCGGGTTTTCGGGAGAGTTGAACCAGTTTTCAGACCGCAGCTTCCGGGATTTGGAGCCGTTGGTTGTTGTGCTGCTTCCAGCCTTGGACAGCTTCAGTTCGAGTTCCTGGGTCCTTTTGCGCAGGCTTTCGAGTTCGACTTTGTAGTCTTCCATGTCTGGCACCGGGCCGCCATCGTGACGATGTCCGTCACACGACCCGCAAGACTGCTGCTGCTCCTCCTCCTTTGGGCAACTCATGTTTGTAAAAGGTCTCTTGCTTGGGATGAATCCTCGATTTGGTCAATCTTTGTCCTATCCTCCCGTGGGCGATATCTTCCCTTGAATTGCTCCGAAAGCGGGCGGCTTCCGTCTCTACTCCAAAGACTTAAAACACACTCTTGCCCTCCCCTCTGACTGAGTGGAATAGGTTAGTCCGGGGGTTCTTATAGTATGTTATCACATATGATATATGCGACACACATATATATATATAATATCCCCGAACAATCGTCGCCTACTAAGTACGACTTTTTCGCTGACCCATCTCTCGCCGCTTTGCTGTCCGGCTAGCGACTATTTAGTCGACTCGGTCTCTCGCCCGCTCGCTTCTACTCTCTTCCCCTCATTCGCGCTCCCCTCCACTCCCTTCTGCTCTCTTATGGCTCTGGCCCGCTCCTGCGGTGTTCTCTCGCCTACTAGGGAGGCTCCTCAGTAGGTAAGGGGTGGATCTTACCTAAGTTATGCGCTTCTGTAGGTAGTAGTCTCACCACCACCTCTCCTCACCTCACAAACTAAAACTTTTGGAAATTGCTATATTGATAACATCTCAGATGACAGAAAGCAGGCATCATACCTAGGTAATAAGCGGCAAAAAAAAGAGGAACATGCCTCGGACGAGAATCGAACTCGTGACCTTCGGATGGCTCCCCGTGTGTTTGCACAGGATCATAAATCATTTATGAGACCGACGTCATAACCGACTTTCGGAAAGTTAGCTTGAATCAAAGACCGTATAGACAGAAAATTCATACCTAGACCACCAAGGCATTTAATTGGATTTTGGACAAATTTTGGCCATGAAAACTATTATGTGAATCAGTTTCTGGGCTGTGAGAGCGGAGTTTTCCGTACGTGTTTAGTGCCGGGGGGGAGGGGAGCAGCGTGGCCCGAAAAGTGCCTCACGGTGCTCGGCAACAATGACCGAGAGTGGGCCCGGGACTTGGGAACCTGCATAGACTTGGGCAAAAAACATTCACGGCGGCGTGCCTCAGGGCTTGCCAAGCCGAGCTCAGGATTGCACAGCTCACGGCTCAGCATGGCTTGGGTCACGACACGGGCTCGACGGGTCAAATAGCGAGATGCTCAGGTTTAGAAGCGGAAATGGACTTTAGAGAGATTAAGATTCGCCGCTGAGCCATCGTGGTATAGGGCTCATGATCGAAGAAGCCCCCTGAGCCCGAACTGGCTTCTGAGAACAGGCACTAGAGAAGCTCCTGACTGCTCGTCCAGTGCTCGGGCGCGCTCCTCTCGTACTCTACTACTGTAGCTCCCGCGACGCTCCCATGCTTGGCCGAGCATCCGTCACACGGTGCCCGAGTAAAGCGGCCTCGCTCCCTTTCCTGAATGGAAAATGGCAAGGGACAGAGCACAGTTTGGGGATGATATAATGTATATACCTAGGTATATATATCAACTCGCAAAGAGGGGGATCGAGAAGAGCGAGTAGACGATATCAAAGATGACAAAGTCAAGGGGAGAAGGATCGATCAATGATCAACACCTGACAACGGGCGTGGTCGGTCACCAGCGCCGACTTGAGCGAAAGGAGTATATCTTTTTCGAAGCACGGAATTGCGTATTTGATGCCGAATCCTTTCAGCCCCCTTCCCATCTCCTCGTCCTCCATTCTTTCTTGCCGTCCAATCCTATCCCTTTCATCGGCAAACGGTCGGTTATCGAGAAGCGTCCTGGCACCGGTAGGAAGGCTAGGCAGTCAGTCGCGTAAGGGGGGCCGGCCCAAAGACCCAGCCCGAAAAGCCGCGCCAATGCCCACAACGCAATATTGCAAAATGAGGGGGTGGGAAATAACAATAACAGTGGAAAAACCGTCCTGAATAGGTGGATGGGCGGGTGGAGCTGGGCTCGAGGGCGGGCGGCCTTTTCGCCGAAGCGTTTCCTAATGCTTGGATCTTTCTCCAAGAGGAGAGGGAACTTGAGGTGCTAATTGTAGGTGAGGTGAGGTAAGGCTTCTCCAAGGAAAAAAAAACGAGGCCCCAGGTTATGGATTGATATACCCGTTAAGGGGAAAGAAAAGAAACCAGCACATTTAGGATAACTGGATATTCAGTCCCAAAGGACTCTGACTGTATAATAATAGCATACATTTCAGAAACTAGACAGACAATCGTTCAAACAACTAAAGCAATAAGGGGTGACCCGAAAACTGAACACATTAGTAGTGTTGTATATCTCAACAAAGAAGCAACTTTTCCGTCCGACTCCGCCGTCAAAATAAAGGAGAAATTCATGTCTTTCGTAGACACAAGATCTTGGAATCCTTCTCTTGCCCTTGACCAGAATATCCTGTGAACGCACAACGCCTCAAAACATCACGACGAATGGAAAGGGGTATCATCATCTTCTTCTCCTTCTTGTTCCTCTTCCCCTATCTCTTCTTCTTCAAAATAAGGTTGTTGTACAAAACCCATCGGACTGCCCATGATATGCTGATCCCCTTGGTCGAAATCGCTGTCGGTCTCATCAACCCAATCTTCGCGTCCGTCTGAAGACTCCAGATAAACAAGGTCCGCCCAAACTCGCCAATGCACCGTTGCAATATGTGCCACTCTTCTTGCAATATCGTCAGTCTCGGGGAGGGAGCGCCATTGTTGCCTCGAGGCTCGAACTTGTTGCCACTGCTTCTGCGCTTGCGAGATGGCCAATATGGTCATGTTCTGAAATTTGTTCATTTGATCGTTTGTCGCCCCTTCGAGCACACGTAGGATTGTGCTTGCATGATGTTGGTTTTGATGTTCTCCCTCAAACTGTGCAATCAATCTTGCAGTCGTCTTGATGACTATGGAGTCGGGTATGAGAAACGTGGAACCCGGCCAGATGAGGAACGCAGCACGTGTCAGCTCAAGAGCCACTGCGCCGGCATGTCGCAACCAGATTTCTTCCATGGGAGTTCCGTCAAGGTCGCCATCGGTGAGATCCATGATTCTGTTCCGTAGGAGCGTGTGCATCTCCGATACGCGGGTCTGCAAGACACCTTGCCAGGACGAGTCTGGATCTTGACCTAGCAGTTCACGGAGCAGCTGATCAAAGACTGATAGACATATGTCGAGATGGATCATGTCTTGAAAGTCCATCCGGATTTCCTTCAGGCGCTTGTGATCGTATGCAAGGGTTGCTGGAACCTCCAGATCGTGGCAGCGGCAGAGTTCAAGCAACCCATGCACCAGCGCAGCGGTCGGAGGTATTCTTGTGCTTTTGCTATCAAGTTGACATTGTCGGTGTTTTTCAAGAGCATCACAGTACCATGCTCGTGACTCTTCGCTCTTGAGTTCCCCGTCTCTGATACGCGACCTGAAATAATCTTGCTGAAAAGTGACGGTATCATCGATCAAGAGGTAACGAAAGCTTCGGATCTGATGATTAGCGACGTCGAGCTTCATTGCCTCCAGAAACTGAAACAGCTTTTCAATGCCGATGACAAGAGCGTGTAAGTCCCCAGTCTCTGCACCCTTTCCTATTTGTTCAGCCATCTCATGTGCATAGACATCTCTCATCGGCGCGCAGTGACTCGTGAGGAGCCCATCAAGCCATCGAGCCAAGCGCACAATGTCTAAGAGCCCATGGGACACCTCTTGCAGGAGCAGAGGCACGTCAAGATACTGACTGATCTGATACTGGTCCCTGTCCGGGATCAGAATGATGAGCAACTCTTTCAACTTCCGGAACAAGACAGGCAACCTTCGCTTGAATAATACTGGCTTAGCAGAGCGCAAAGAGCGCTTCCTATCACACTCGGAACACGAGCCCAGCGGCTCATGTTGGTAGACTATCTTCAATTCAGTCTCCAGACTATTCCAGTATCTTCTCGCCTGCTTCTTCTTTAGCTCCCCCTTCTCCCCAGAAATGGGGGTGAAGTGGAGATCATGATCGAAATTGATATCGATGCGGAGGTTGATATTCGACTGTATGTAAACCAGCTCGAGCTCTTCTAATGTTTCCTTGGTCACTGGCGGGTGAGGAATGGCACCCACAAGTGCGTCAACTTCGTCTTCGCTTATGCAAGGAGGAATGACAATCGAGTCTTCAGGGTCATGGTCTCCGAGGCACCAATGTTCGCAGGTTGAGGATGGCAGCTCTCCGCAAGGTAAAGGGTCGGCCTCTTGAGGAGCCTCCTTCCGAGTCTCTGCGGGCTCGTCCAAGGCTGCGTCTGCAGAGCGAGGTTCGTCATGACGTTCTTCGGCTTTGATGTCCCATTTGGGCGAACTGCATTCGGCACGCCCAGGCATCTTGGGTTCGGCGGTGGAGGATGTGGACGATAGCGAAGACGGAGCGGTCACGTCGTCTTTAGTGGCTGCAGCTCGATATTTCTGGATGTTTCGGACCTGTTCTGAGGCACCCCTAGCATCTTGTTTGTCTCCGGCCATCTTGTTACCGTCGCCGTCTTCTTCGCATTCCCCTAGATCCTTCTTCATGCGAAGCTCGTGCCCCGGAGTCTCGACTCTTCATTGCCATTGGCGCATGGTTTCGACAAGTTTGATTGTGCAAGCCGGAGTTTGGCAAGGGCGGGCAACGCTCGAGTGACTGGAAAGGGGCGGGAGATCTGATGGAGTGGGACAGAGCCCAGGAATGTTGGATCTCGCGCCTCACAATGCGAGTGTGGGAAACGGCGTCTCAGTATGACAATGCGCGGGTAGGCGAATAGTGTTGGGAGGGTTGGGGTGGCAGGCGTGGGTGTGCCAGCAAATGGACAAATCCCTTGCCTTGCTTTTTGAGGAACGTGGGAGGAATCACGGATGGGCATCCGCTGGCTGCACTATTAGAGAGAAATAGAACAAAAAAAAGGTGTGGGAGGTGGATGAATGGTAGTAGTAAGCGTGGGAGTCTGGGAGAGCGTCCAGGAAGGCGTTTGCTGCGGTCCTTTTCCTTCTCCTTCTCTTGTCTCTTGCGCTCTCCCGCCCAGCCTTCTCAGCCACCAACAAAGCAGGGTTTCTTTACAAAGCAAAGCAACCAACACCTGAACACCGGAATGCCTTGGTCGTGTGATTGAGACGGCGGGAGAGTTGGCACTAGGTAAGCCTCATGTTTGTTTCGGGGAGAAAGTGTTGGGTCTTGACTGGAGTCAGATCTAGGAATTTTCGGATACCTATTCCCCTGAAGCTCCGGGACTGCGATGGGTTCGAGGACGGCCTTGCCTCATCAAGCTGAGTGTCTTGTGCCGGAAATTACGAACATTGCGCCAGGGGTGTGCCATTGTCCGCTCGCGGCCTATTCCCATTGGAACTGCAAATTGGTCGTTGACCGACGCAAAGAGACTCCGGAGGATGTGAGGCGCCGGGCTACAGAAAATAACACATCCATTTGGCATTGAAAGAACAGAAGACGCAGCCTTGAGCTCGATAAAGTGGGACCTTCATCGTCTCCATCATGCGGTCCCTCATGCGGCCCCAAAGTTTGCTCTCACAATTGGTGCGTTTTGTGCTTTGGTGCTTCGGGCAGCGGACCTTAATGAGAGCCAGCGTGGTGCAGCTTGCCAATGAGCAGCCTTACGAGTCTCTTCCTTGCTCCGCATCTGTCCTTCAAGCCTCAAGCAATGGCGCTGGTGGCGCCGCTGTCGAAGATCAGGCTCGCTACCTACCGCCATACGCCGACTCGCTTCGTGAGCCTCTCCATTCCTCAGTAAATCGTTCCCTGAAATGGCTATATAACTGGTACCCGACCTCCCCTTTTTAAAGAATGAGGCGAGCTCAACTAACCTGTCATCCATCTACACAGTAAGGATCTTCCCTCTCAGTCCGCCCATCACCTTTGCCATGGCCCATCAGGATATCGACCTTGTCGTGGAGAATAATGCTACCCTGAAAGCGTGGGCCAGAACCAGGTTCAAGATAACTGCACAACGTCCAATGCATACAGCCTGTTTTCAGGTGGCACTGGGTCCAACAGCCTCCCGAATTTCAATCTGAACACAAATGCCCAAGATGATCGCTGTATCCGAGACGGGTCGTGCAACTGCACAGCACGGCCCTCCACATGTCACAGTGCAAAAATATCCATCCTGATGCCTCTAAGGGGTCTGCCGATGCGGGCCCGCTCTGTGAAGGGGTGTCGTCGATTGAGCAACACCAACTCGACTTGCCATAAACAACGGAACATGGCAAAAAAAACAGCTAACCAGTTCTCAAGACTCGTGGAAAAACAAATTCCCAATGCAGCCGCGGAAGAGCAGAGTAACATCCTACGCATTGCTTTTGGCGGTGGTGTTTCTTGCGTGGATTATTGGGGGAAAAAAGGGAATTTGTTACTCATTCGCTGCTAGTGCGAAGCTGTGTGTGTTGGCTCGTCTCTCGTCACCCCCATACGAGCGACAAGACTGTTCTACTCTGTTGTCTGATGAAACCTTCGCCGTCGCCAAGCACGATAGGGTCGCAGCATCGTACTTTTACCCCCGAGGTCCTTGGGTGGCGACATTGTCAGTGTTGGTGCCCAACCAGCCAAGGCTAACAGCCTCACTATGGCAGTGGTTCGATAGACCCGGCTAAGACAGCGGTAACCATCTCCTTACAAGACACGGGCACAGCAAGACTAACGGCTCTTTGGCAACTCCGCAGTGATATTGGATATCGCATGGCGCCACGAGTGCGTGCTTTTTAGCAACACCCGGGTCTATCCGACCAAAACGTAACACTTTCATGATTGTCTGGTCTGTAAACCGGGCTACTCATCCTGAATTTTGACCACAACTTTACGCGACCCTCCGGCTCCGGAGCGCTGGTGCTCGTATGCCTTGATAGCAGCCTCGAACCCAGTGCCGATGACTTCATATTCGGCCGGGGCCAGCTTACCAGCCGCAATCAATGCCGTGATGACGGGAATGTATGCCTCAATCTTCTCGTTCAACGCTGCCGCTTCGGGTCGACCAATGCCACCAAGTTTGACGCCATAGGTTTTTGCTCCCTCAAAATCCCCAATTCCGCTCCAATCATTTGTGGTCGCAAAGAGCCTCCTGTCGCTCTTGGACGCCTTGAACAATTCTTTGGCTGTGATTGGGTTTTCTGCCGCAACAGCATCAAAGATTCGAGAAATCTCGCCCGAGGTTATATCCACAACCTCCTTGACCTGTTCCTCAATGGGCTTCTTGTAGTCGAATGTCACAGCGCCCATGCCCTTCACCTCAGCTGCCGACTTGGTCGAGCAAGAAGCAGCGACTTTGTAACCACTTGCCTTGGCCAGCTGGATCGCACACTTGCCAACACTGCTGGCGCCTCCCAAGATGATGATCCATTCGTCCCGAGGTCCAGGAAGGTTCTTCGGGTCAGGGAGAGGGACATCGAGACCGTCGAACAATGCCAAACAAGCTGTTTCACTTCCCACTCCCAACGTAACAGCCTCGAGCAGGGAGATGTTCTTTGGCTTGGGTATGGTGACAGATGCGTCCATCAAGAAGTACTCTTGACCAGCAGCATATCCCGGGACCCCAAGTCTGGTGCACCCGAAAACATGATCCCCTGCTTTGAATCCATACTTGGATGCTGCCTCACTCCCTGCCTCGAGCACAATTCCGGCCGCGTCGACGCCGAGCACAAGAGGCCAGCCGACCACGAGGAGACCATAACCGGCCATGAAGCTGTCACTATAGCCAACTGGTCAGCCGATTATCAAAACGGTGTGAATTATGGCCACCTACACAGGGTTTATGGCCACCCAGATGGACTTCACAAGCAGTTGATCTGGACCTGGAGACGGCTTCTGAAGGTCTTCGACAATCTTGGGCTCAGCGCCGACTTTTGCAAAGATTACTCCCTTCATGGTTGACAAGTAGGTAACCTAATGGTAATGTTAGATAAAGAGAGTGCAAGTTCGGTGATCAAGGCTACTTCGAAGGAACAATGACATCAATTTGCAGCTCAAAGGCTTACCTTTATAGACCTTCACACACAGAATGCTGGATGGGCAAGTTGGTTGTATTTTCAGCAGGCAGGAATGAGCGTACGTGGATCCCCGTTCACTCTAGAAAAGAGCAGAGAAGAGGTGTGTTTGCTCAAAGCAGTTCGATATGAGACGATGTGTGGTGGACTGGTATCGCCGCCATTTGGTCGGAGGTCGGGCTCGATCCTCTGATACGTCGGGTACAGCACCATCTTGCAGAAAGCGCTTTCTGGATTTGGCTATCTATGAATGACTTAAGCAGCATACACGGCCCATGGCATGAGGGGAACTCAGGAAGGTTGGGAAACTTCGTATTCTGTGAATACGAAGGTCAAAGAGGGGTAGTGCCAAAGTTTCCTCCTTGGCTCTTGAGCAGGAACAGTCAGCATTTTGGAAGCTTGTATTTGTCTACCAACTCGGTGCTTTGGGAGAATGGCATTTGGCTCGTCAATGGCTATATTCTTCGCGTTTGCTCTGCTCTCGAATACCAGGCTGACAGAAGGGCTTGTATACAAGCTGAATTAGGAAGGATAGGATGTGGCCGAGCCGTAGGAACGGACAGCAGTGAAGTTGCAGTAAAAGACTGAGTCTTTCCGATGCCTCTCTTTACTGCGTATATTTCACGATTGGCAGTAATAGTCGGTACCTAGGTATATATCGAGTATATTGTAGTTGAGAGAGGTTGAGCGGCGACGAGGTCACCAGTTCGTGCTAAAGGCGGCAAGGGGTGATTCCCCAAGTCGGCACTCCCTCACAAGCTCCGCCGAAGCTCGTTCCTCAACATTTCGCCCTTTCTCCAATCTGTCAGTTAGGCCTTGAACCATTACTCCTTCGAACGCTGCCTCGCGTTCCTCGGTGGAAACTTCACTTAGCCAACTTTGAAACTCATCACTGTCCCTGGGGTTCACTTGAAGAAAGACACAATACACCCCTCGCTATGGCTGGCCGACAGTCAGTCCGGCTCCTGGCCCGCCAGGTCTCCTCGTCCCAATGCTCCTCCTTCTCACACGCTCAACACCGCGCTCGGAGAGCGTTTTCCTCCACCCCCTCCTGCCTCGCAGCCCATAACTTCACGATGCCCGCCATGTCGCCGACAATGACCGAAGGCAACATCTCAAGTTGGAAAGTCAAAGAGGGCGACTCCTTCGCCGCAGGGGACATCCTCCTGGAAATCGAGACTGACAAGGCTTCAATGGACGTGGAAGCTCAGGACGACGGTGTCATGGCCAAGATCTTTCAAGGAGACGGCTCCAAGTCAGTCAAAGTTGGCACGAGGATAGCTGTCCTTGGTGATCCCGGGGATGACATCTCGAGTCTGGAGATCCCGCCGGACGACTCGAAGCCCGCGCAGTCGGAGGCAGATAATGTAAAGGGCGGAGAAGATTCGAAGTACGAAACATCCGGAGTTGAAAAGGAGATACCGGGCACGCCGCAAAACCAGAGACCGGCGAAGGACAAGCCGAAAACGAGTCCAGTTGGGCCAGGCCAGAATCCCATATACCCACTCTATCCTTCGGTGATAGCCCTCATCCACGAGAACCACATCTCTGATGACGACGTTGCCAAAATCCCAGCCACCGGGCCGAATGGAAGACTGCTGAAAGGGGACGTCCTCGCATATTTGGGAGCAATTGATTCCGATTACTCGGCCAAACAATCCAAGCGCATCGAACATATGGCGCATCTCGACCTCAGCAACATCAAGATCCTAGCCACCACCCCTCAGACGGCCGTAAAGCCTACCGGAGCTGCCGCAGCAGTACCTGAAGAGATCATCCCACAAATCACCAGCGTCAGCATTACCATCTCCCTTGCCGAAGTGCTCAAGGTGCAAAAACGCATAAAAGACACGTTGGGCGTGACTGTGCCTCTGTCAACTTTCCTCGCCCGTGCCGTCGACCTCGCCAATGATGATCTGCCTCAACCCAAGAATGCGAAGCCATCGGCAGATGACCTCTTCAACGCCGTCCTCGGACTGGACGCAATACCCACAACGTCGAGAGGAGCATATCTCCCACAGATCGATGCATTTCCCATTATTCCGCCCTCTAAACCCCAGTCCACGTCATTCTCACGCTCACCTCGCGTCTCCCCCTCCACGGCAAAGAAGATTGATATCATCGACATCCTGTCCGGCAAAGTCACCCCCAAAAGAGCGGCCCCCTTTTCTACATCTTCGGCGCCGATACCAGGCCGAACCCTAAGCACGGCAGAGGGCGCGTTGAATGTGTTCAGTCTGACAGTCCCCGTGGGCGAAGAGAAGAGGGCACGCACGTTCCTGGAGAGGGTCAAGACCGTGCTGCAAGTCGAGCCAGGGAAGTTGATCCTGTAGATCGCTGACATACCTTATCTGATGAAGGTCTAGGCAAGGGCTTCTATCAAGATGAGACAATGTTATTGTAGTTTCATATTGGCCCCACCCTTTGTTTTTTGGAAGATAGTGTGTTGTGGGTGTGGCTTCCTTTTTTCTGCAGTGTAGCCATAGCGCTCGGAAACCGATAGAAAAGCGACACGAGCAAGCGGATGGGCAGGGGGAATACAGGAGTCCCGGGACCCAACTGTGCCCTTTGGGGGGAGGAAAGGAGAAAAAGAAAAGCCTTCGATGCCTTTCCCACCAGGACCCAAATATTATAATACTGATTTACCAGGCGGCTGTCTCTGCTTTTCGAGTCCTTGGTGACGGCTACTGACTGCAGAGGGCCCGGAAGGCATTGGATTCATTATTCTAAAGAGATGCTCCGATAAAGCTGGCTCCATCTACTCAACTTAGTTTTTGATTTCTCAGCTCGATCTTTGCTATCTGGCAGTGACCTCCTTACAAAAATGGTCGCGCTTTTGTGCCTCGATCCTGGAGGACCTCCTGAGGAATATGACTCTCGACAGTGGAAGACGCTTGCTTTCCCAACCATATGATATCGCTTGACCTATGATCCGGAGCAACCATGAGCGCCGCGCTTGCAAAAAAATCAAAGCAATACCAACTCGCTCAAGCTGGTTCGTGAAGCCAACGCAGGCCTCATCATCCGCAGCAAGATCTCCATCATAGAGCCTTCCACCCTCAGATCGTGGTAAACTCTCATAATACTCCAGCTCGGGCAAGATCTGTCGCTTGCTGGCCCTGGTCCTGATTCTGACATGGCCGTCATGCTCGCTCATAAGAAACAATATAATCATCAGCGCCTCCCCGTCCCTCCATGGAAATTAGCTCGAGGGTTCAATGGCATAAAGCTGTCTGCTGTACAGCGTTTGTGTCAAGACTTCGTAAAAGATTCGAGTCGTCCCAAGTCGACTTCGTCAAGAGGTTCATCTCAATGTGAAAAGGTGTCGGTTCGTGTGACGAATGTCCGGCATAGAAGTCATAACGTCAGACAATGGACACGACCTCGTTGCAACGACTTGGATGAGTGGTTGATTCAGCGAATCGCGCCCCAGTCGCCCAATCGTCCAGCAATGTCGTCGCTATTTCTCCCTTCGTTCCCCTTCTTGCCAAACACTCTCCAGAACCGAAGCGTCTCGTCTCCCGCCCCAGTCACCACGGTTGTCCCGTCTGGACTCGTGCTCAAGTAAAGGACTCGGAAGGTATGTCCAGTCAGACTGACAACCTGCTCCATCTTGGGATACTTCCACACCACGATCTGATTCTGGCTGTAGCCATGGGTACTGACAATTTCGTCACTGTTCTTGCTCCAGGCTAGATTGCACACTTGACTTCCTGTGTCAACCTCCTTGATCAGAGACCCATTTGTCGTGTTCCAAAATTTGATCGAGCGATCTGCTGTTCCGCCACCCGAAGCCAGTAGATGGTGTTGATGGGGGCTCCAAGCAATTGCCTTGACCGCTGCGACATGATTCGAGAATCGATACAAGGGTGTCGTGGAGAGTTTATCCCAAACGCACAACTTGTTGTCGTTGCCGCCTGAAGCGAGCTGGCCGTCTTCGGTGTTCCATCGTAGTCCACAGACTTCTTGCTTATGACCTGCCAACCTCAACAGATACTGGTCTGGGCTGCGAACATCGCGATGATATATCAGTCGGTCCCTGGAGCCAGAGGTCAAGATGTGGTCATTCCATGCTAGCGCTCCAACTCGCGCCGAGTGACCAGTCATCGTCCGTAGTCTTCTTGACTTCTCAGCATCGTAGATCTGGACAAATCCCTTGTGTGTTCCGATTGCCAGATGTGACCCTCGCTGGATCCACGCCACAGATGTCACCAAATCATTGTCAGGCAACTTGCATAACTGTGTGACTTTGCCAGTGGCACTGTTCCACATGTAGACACATGATCCGAGCCCGACACCAAGTATGTTCGCCGCTCCCCAGTCCACTAGGTTGAGGTAAAAGTCATCCGCTAACTCAGGAGCGTCCAGCACTTTGTAAGGGACTTTGGCAATTGGTCGAGGCTGTTTCCGCGGTGTTTGCAATATGGATTGTGATGAGTAGTTGATGGGTGATATCGAGTACAAATCCGATCTCGCATTCAGATTTATGATTCCAAGATGTTTTCCGGTTCGAGACGAGGGAGTGGGATGGCCTGAACCGATCACTTTCTGTGGGGATTTGTAGGAGAACATATTCTTGTGAGGGGTTGTAGGGGTGATGGAGGCCGGAGGCATGGCTGATATCGATGGTTGACCTGGAGGGGTTTGTCGTCGGCCAAACAATTCATCTGGAGACAGTGATCTGTAATCTTGCGGGACTGAATCACCCATCAACTCGTTGCGCAGGACTTTGGAGTATGTTCTGTTTGCTTCTTCCGTCCGCTGAAAGTGTAGTTCGCCATGAGGGGTCTTCTTCTTCGATCTTGAAGGCGTCGCTGGGGAGGCATCATCATGCAACAAGCTGTAGCTCGCTTGCAGGTCCTGTCCGTCTCGGTTCGGTATGAATCTAAGGACACAATCAGTTCTACTGGGGCAAGCGACAGAGTCTCTGGACGACTCACCTATCTCCATAAATCCGCTGTCTCTTACGACTAGGACTGCGGCCTGGAGTCCTGTCCCGTGGCCTTCCAGCATTCTCGATTTCTCTTAACCTCCGATTCAGAGCTTCGGCTTCCATGGCCTCGGTGGCTCGTTGGATGGCGGACATGCCTGCCTCGTTTTGTCCAATGCGGTTGGAAGATATTGTCGGCGGAGTCCTGGACCCAGAAGGGGTTGGTAATGTTGGAGTGATTGGACGATCAGATGTATCAACCACAAGGGGAGCTGTTGAATCGTTCGACATGGTGAGTGTTGTGAGTAGGCAGTGGGGAGGAGCGACCTGTGTCGTGTTGTTATTATCGAAGTGTTATTGCCGCGAGTCACCAAGGTGACGGGCATGTGAAGTGAAGTAGAGCAGTAGACAACGGATCTCAAAGAAGATGCCAACGTCGGTGGTGAAGGTGTTGATGGCCTCCGCAACCGCGACCCGTTACTGTTTTGTCGCCCTGAGCCAATTGTCTATCCGAGCAGATCGCAAAAGAGGGGACTCGTGGTCTAGCTAAATAGCAAGCATCGCGAAGTAGATCTAAGGCAGCGTCCTGCAGATGGTGAATGTCGTAGATGGCAATGTGTCGTAACTGAGGTAGGGGATTGTGGTGATGTTCGGATGCGCAGTCTGTGAATGTTCTTTGACCATGAGGATGAATGCGGCCATCCAGGGAATCAGGGACAAGCACTGGCCAGTCGCAGCTTCCGCCGCTTCTGGAGCCTGCCAAGCGGCGCCCCCCAAGCGCGTTACCCAGATCGGGCTTTTACTGGGCGCTGGGTCAGCTAATGGGGGCGCTCCTAGGTACCTAGGTAGGTCGGTACGAGTATTCGGTTCTCCGTTAGGTATGGTGCTAGGGGTGCTTTCGCAACGGACCACCCCGGTCTGCCCATTGGAAAAGGCCTAGGTTCACAGACTGAGAGTACGAGGCATCGAATACATCATGCATTCGTATAGACCCAGCTGTGGTAGACGAACGGAGCCCAACAGATCACTATTCTACAAGCAAGTATTCATGTACAATAGGCACAGTTCTATAGGTCCCCTTTACCCACTGAGACTAAGCATTGTCAAGAGCGAGTCAACCTCTGTTTTACTGAGACTAGCTCCCTGGAGGACATTCATAACAAAAACACTTAACGCGGTCACAACGGTGACCTCTGGTGACCTCTGGTGACCTTGCACGCTGTCAACAATCGCGTCTCTTTGTGTTTGGGCGGCAAGGGCAGCGCTGTCACTATTGTTGTTATTGCCATTGTATCATGGTCTCAGAGTTTCCCCTTCGGATCTTCCCCTTGTGATCACCCTCTGTTTGAGAATCCCTTGCGGGCACGAGATTGATTCGACCAGAGCCGTGTTTCAGGTGGATATGAAAACCCCCCTAACCGGGACCTGGCTCAGTTCGGTGCGATTGGCATCTGCAAGGCTCGCAGGTTATCAACCCACCAGTGAAACCGGGAGCTTGGATCACCCAAGCCTCACACTTGCGCCGTAAACGCCCTTCCCCAGAATCACGAATCACGGAAGTTAGAGAAGAACCTCATATCAGTCAGCATCTGGGCTTGTTTCGTATGCTCCAACGGGTGATCCTTCAAAAGGGCCCATCAACCGCTAGATTCTATTCAAACATGGCTGGTGTTAATGTCAAATCCGCAGCCACCGATTTCCTCGACTTTGTCAATGCATCTCCCACGCCCTTCCATGCTGTCAAGTCAATCAAAGAACGATTGACCTCCGTGGGATTCAAGCAGATCAAGGTCAGTGGACTCCAGCCACTCTCTCCTCCGCCCTTCTCACTCATGTCAACAGGAGAAAGATTCTTGGTCCTCGATATGCCTGCCTGGTGGTAAATACTTCCTCACCCGAAATGGATCGACCATTGTCGCATTCGCAATCGGCAAGAAGTGGAAGCCTGGAAATCCCATTTCAATGGTCGGTGCCCATACCGATTCACCATGTCTGCGCATCAAGCCCGTAAGCAAGAAACAAGGCGACGGATTCCTCCAAGTTGGCGTCGAAACGTACGGCGGCGGCCTGTGGCATACTTGGTTCGATCGCGATTTGGGCGTCGCAGGAAGAGTAATGGTCAGAGGGACTGACGGCAACGTCGTTCAAAAACTGGTTCACATCAAGAAGCCCATCCTCCGCATCCCCACACTTGCTGTCCATCTCGATCGACAGGAGACGTTCTCCTTCAATAAAGAAACCCAGCTATTTCCTATTGCTGGTCTGGTTGCTGCGGAGCTCAAACGCCAGGATGAGAAGAAGGGCAAAAGTGACGCGGAAGAGGAGGAGCAGGACAAGCCGTTTACTCCTTTGAAAGCCATGACAACCAGACATCACCCTCACGTCGTTGAATTGATTGCTGCAGATGCTGGGGTCTCGGCTGAGGAAATTATCGATTTTGAGATTGTGCTTTATGACACGCAAAAAGCATGCCTGGGTGGCCTCTCGGACGAGTTCATCTTTTCCGCTAGGCTGGATAACCTGAATCAAACTTATTGTGCGACTATGGGCTTGATCAATTCGCTAGGTTCTAAATCTGCGCTCGATGACGAGTCATCTATACGTCTCATTGCCTGTTTCGACCATGAGGAGATCGGCAGTATGACTGCCCAGGGAGCATTTTCCATGATGCTGCCAGCCATCATCCGCCGTCTCTCTGTTCTGCCGTCCTCGTCATTCGTGGGAGATGATTCAGAAGAGTCTTATGACCATGCGAGCGATCCAGAGCTGTCGACTGCCTACGAGCAAACTCTATCGAGCTCGTTCCTGCTCTCAGCAGACATGGCTCACTCTGTCAATCCTAATTACGGAGGCAAATATGAATCCGACCATCGACCGGAGATGAATCAAGGCCCTGTGATCAAGATCAATGCCAATGCAAGATATGCCACCAACTCACCCGGTATAGTACTACTACAGGAGGTTGCGCGAAAAGCAGCCAAAGTCATCGACAGTGATTCAGAGGGCGTGCCGCTTCAGCTGTTTGTCGTCCGAAATGACTCCAGCTGTGGAAGCACCATTGGCCCGATGCTGTCTGCTCATCTTGGTGCTCGCACGCTTGATCTGGGGAATCCGCAGCTTTCGATGCACAGCTGCCGCGAAACTGGAGGTGCAGATGATGTCCATCATGCTATCAGACTGTTCAGCAGCTTTTTCCAGCATTACTCTGCTTTGGAGAAGACGATCCTGGTCGACTGAAGTCCATTGATTGGCAAGGCAAGGATTGGTGCAGAACGAATAGTCAGCGGCGTGACTGGTCAGCAACTGTGCCAAAGAGAGTAGGACGCCACTAATCGCCGACGCGTATGCTGTGAGAACTTGAGGTGTGACAAGCCACTGGATATCCCTATCCAAGAGAGACCATGAAAATCCTTTAGGCAAAAGGAAGAGGCTGTGAGGATGCGGGGTTACGGCATCCATCTCCAAGCCAGATATTTTCTCAATGATCTATATTCTGTAGACGGCCTTCGTTGCCCACCACCACTGCGATCAAGTTCGGTACTCCACCCTTGCCCAACAGAGTTCTTGCTCGCTCTCTTCCTGCGACCACCGCTGGCGCAGATATGACCACGCCTGAATTCATCGCAGGCAACAAGGATGCAATCCGTCAATTCATAGACAAGTTCGATGTCCGTGCCCGTTCTTCGTCCGCGAACGTCGCTTGAGCCGTGTGCCTGAATTTCCATGTTAACGCGAACTTGTCCGGTCTAGGTCTTCCTCATCGACTGCGATGGCGTCCTCTGGTCCGGAGACCACTTATTCCCCGGCGCGGTGGACAGCCTGGAGCTGCTGCGCAAGAAGGGCAAGCAGGTGGTTTTCGTGACCAACAACTCGACCAAGTCCAGGCAAGACTACCAGAAAAAGCTTGAGGGCATGGGCATACCTGCGAGTGCCGAGGAGGTGTTTGGTTCGTCGTACTCGGCCGCGATCTACATCTCACGGATACTGTCTCAATCGCATCCACAGCTGAAGGAAAAGAAGAAGGTCTTCGTGGTGGGCGAGGCTGGCATTGAGACCGAACTCGCGTCCGAGGGCATACCGTATTTGGGCGGGACGGACCCGGCGTACAGACGAGATGTGACGCCCGAGGACTACAAGCTCATGGCCGCAGGTGACCCTAAGGCAATAGATCCGGAGGTGGGCGTGGTACTCATGGGCTTGGACTTCCACTTCAACTACCTCAAGATGTGCTATGCTTATCAATACATCAGGCGGGGCGCCGTCTTTCTGGCCACAAACATGGACTCGACTCTGCCTTCTGCAGGCTCGTTCTTCCCCGGCGCCGGGTCCATCTCTGCACCCCTGATCAAGATGCTTGGAGGTAAAGAGCCCATGGCGTTTGGCAAGCCGAACCAAGCCATGATGGACGCCATTGAGGGTAAGTTCAAGTTCGATCGGAGCAAGGTCTGCATGGTGGGGGATCGCGCCGACACGGACATCAGGTTCGGGATCGAGGGCAATCTGGGAGGTACGTTGGGTGTCTTGACGGGTGTCTCGACGGAGAAGGATTTCCTGGAGGGAGACACCCGACCAGCATATTATGTGAATGCCTTGAGCGATCTTTTGGAGGGTGCGTGATTGCTTTTCCACGATTTGGGCTTGAGAAGAAAGCGTCACAATGCTTGCCTGGACTGCAATTTTCAGCAGGAAGAGAGCAATAGATGTCTACGGGAATAGTACATGGACTTCAGAGCGATAGACTAGATCTTGCAACGCACACGGTCTGCATCTCCCAATTGCACCAGTGTGTTCCGAATCCAGTTTCAAAGCTCACAGTAGAGTCTTGACACTCTGGTCAGCTGTTTTCCATCTGTGTTGGTCGCTTCGGCAGCTTCTTCAGTGAAATTGCTCGCTCTGCCGACCCAAGAGCCGACGTCTTTATTGCCAAAGTACGCATACCTCTCGATCCAGTCGCACGCTTCCAACCAAGACACAGCCTCTCTGATGAAAGTCTCGACCTCCTCCACGCTTGCCTCTCCATTGCCCATCTTGGAGCAGGCAAATTCGTTCACCCACAATGGCAGAGCGTACGTGGCGTGCATATCCTCCAGGAAGCGCCTCATGTCCGCGAAATGCGGGCCGTACCAATGCACCACCAAAAAGTCGATCTCATGACTCCCGTTGGGGAAACTGGAGAGAAACGAGTTCAACCATGGCTTGCTCCGCGACACGTCGCTGCTCATGCCGGGACTGCCCAGGCGGAGGTTGAATTTCCTCTTCACGGGCAGGACTACGTCCGTCCAGAGCTTGGCCGCCTCGTGCGCGGGGAGATTCGCCTGGTCTGGGATCTCCGGCTCGTTGAACCCCAGCAACGCCGACGTCTTGATCCCGCGGTTCTGGATGATGTCGGTCAAGAACGGGTCGAGTTGGTCTCGCGCGTTGGCTGCGGTGCGGACGCAGGGGATCCATTCCACCTCGGGCGGCACCGAGTCTGGGATCCAGCATTCCCAATTGAAGATCCACGAGATCTTGCCCGACCGGGCGTGCGGTTGGTAGAGGGCGAAGTGCGTGCTGGGTTGGTCCCAGGGCCATCCCAGGCCTCGCTTGCCGCTGCGTGAATTGGGCTTGGAGGGCGCAAGGTTCGACGAGAGCGACTTGGGCTTGGGTGGAGGAGGCGGAGGTCTAGCTTTCTGCATTCTGTTTGTAGAATTTATTGCTCTGATCTTGCTATCTGGAAGATACGAACCGCGACGGGTAAGTCTATGTAGGTCACTCGGTTCATGGTCAGGAACACTGGTTGGTGAGAGGGGCTAAGCGATTTCACACAGCCTCGTCATCATTTTGACTCACCATCATGAGCATAAAGGGCGATAGAAAACAGCTCGTCCGCCCAACATCCAACAGAAGATCTCCTGGTGGATGCAAAACCGAGGAACTTGGGGGAGAATATATACTCTCCCTACTATGATCTTATGCAAGTATGGCGGAGAAGGAGAAGGAGACCGACATCCGGCTACTGGCGACGGATCTCGGTATCAGACGACATTTGGCACGACGACGTCAATTGCTACCTGTCTGTCCATCTTGTTTGAACCTTTCGTTTTGCAACGGCTTCCGTGACCCCAACTACATCCGTCGATTGATCCTGTCGATTACCCTCTATATCAGAATCCTTGTTACGAGTATATGACACTAGAGTTTCGCTGTCGTCCAAGGCACTTTGCCCAAACATCTCTGCCGAGCCAGATGCCTGGATATATCTATACAATTGCACCAACAACCTCCCAGGAACAGCTGAATCAATGAGCCAGGTTCTTCTTGCATGGATGGCTATAAGGCACGGTAGGTAATGGTCGAGCAGTGATAATATCGGGTCATAATATCTACACCAACGGCTTCTTGCCCCCAAGTCACATAGCAGAATTCTGCCAGTACCAACCGCCCACACACAAACACAATCTGAAAAGATGAAATACAAATCCTTGCTCCCTGTGAGTGCGAAAAGGCAGGGAGCTAACAATGCGAATCCGCAATTTTGAACCCATGGCTTCTTTCCCTTCCTTTCCATCCCATCCTCCAGCAAGCGGACAAAAGTGCAAAAAACTCAGACTTGTGAGAAAACCCCGCGAGGGAATTTTTTTGTTTCTCTTCCCATTCGGTTGGCTTGAAGCGATGATGCGATTACTCCTGCTTATAGCCGTGTGACAGAGCTCCTACGCAAATATCCAATTCACTATGATCCTGCACGCGATCGCAGACTATGAATTAGGGAGATAACCACTGGAAGACAGTGGTAGAGCTCCTACACAGCCAATGCTCCGGCTCAGTCACTACTAACCTTGGACTTTGCGAATTAGGGAGATGAGCAAGACTTGTGGAGAACTGCAAACACCATTTTTCGCCGGTCGAATGTTGAGAGATATTCGGAGTTTCATATCTTTATGCAGTGATTTCATTTTTCCTGGGAGAGGAGGTTGATAGGTAGGCAGTAGGTGATGTATGACTTGGCGGGTGAGGGTGAGGTTTTGGGGGGACGACGAGGCTGAACTACCATCACGAGGCTTCTTGCGACACAGATCAGTCGTCTACATTGGCTTCAGGAAGCAGCTGACCCAGAAAGCGCCTTCTACGCGAGCTGACACTCTCTCCTCCTCTTCTGGGGCTGTTCTGCACGATATCCTTGACGATCCACAAAGCCACAAAACCTGGTGAAGGGCAATCAGTGACCATTGAATGTACCCAAATCATACTCGAATTCAGTCAACGCCCAACGCTTTCCCTGTTGACCAAGCGATGTTTCGTTTGATCGAGGCAGAAAACGACCATCCTCTACATCCTTCACTGGCCGTCGTTTAGCATGCCTGTTCTGCATGACTATATGAGACCAACAGCAGCTTGACAGCTCATCGTCACCCTGGGGGCGGTCGGTTTGTCCACGCATGGCGAATCTAGTGACCAGGCACGAGGTATATATGTCGAGACCAAACAGGTGTTGTTTACGATTGTATAGCTATTTTCGATGGGTTCCATCAGAACTCAATTCCTCGATCCGCTGAAGCTGCTGATTTTGCAAAAATGAAAGCCCATCAGCCTTGGTTTCCACGCGATGACAGTACTGATTATGCCTCCCTACGCCATGGTGATGCACAATCCGACAAGAGTGCTTGCTCAACAGGACCACTGCCAACACTCAGTCAACCACGCCAAACACATTTGAGAAAGCTACCGGTCTTCGGCTGTTTCTCTGGACCTGCGGAAAGCCCTGACGGTTCTGGGAATGGTTTCGGAAAAGAGGAGGATGCGTCCAGGACATTATCCTCCTCGCCAGCGTCGAGTATTCCTGATATTGTCGCGTCAGAGCGCAAGCCAGGAGAGAATTCTTGCTCCTCGCTCACACAATCTGAACATGCTCTGGCTGTTTCTGGGCACGGGCCACCACCACCACCACCAACAGCAAACTCTGCCGCATCTGCGTGGACGGACGAGCAGTCTGTCAAGACTATTGCAGTGGACAAGATCCGACGAGGGGAGCGCCTTGACGAGGGCCTTGAGAATATTGCTGCTGGATTGCCCGCAGAATCTGTTGCTGCTGCGTCTGCGTGCAGCCTGATCCAGACGTTTCCGTCGACCGAGCATCTGGAACGCCGAGTCTTTGTTCCATCGGCTCGACAGCCAGGTCCTCACGAACCTGTGGTTCGACCACAAAGAACCTACACATCCCCCGACCAAATCATCGGTCCCGGAGCGGCGCCGCAAACTGTGATTCCTCTAAATACGGACCAGAGCTCCTTTCCATCGCCTCGCCAGGTCGTGCTGTCTCCACCATGGGAGTCCTCGTCTCCAGGACCCGCTGTCGCAGGTCCTCGTAGGTCCGCCTCCTGCCAGAGTATACGAAGTCGTCGCCGTGGCCCTAGATCGATACGATCATGCAGTCCGACATTGCAGTCAAGAATACCCTTGGTTTATTCGATTGACTCCGACCACGCTCGCAACGATTGTCAAGTTACAACAACACCACGAACGGAATCCATTCTATCTACTATTACGACCACCGACAATAACAACAAGTCCACCGCTTCCAAGATGTCGAGCTACACCATGACCTACTCCCCAACCTTCCCCCACCGCCGCCTCATCCTGTCGCCGAAGATGACGGTGCCCGCCTCGACGCCACCACCACCGCCGGCGCAAGACATTCACATGACACACTCTCGCAGTTTGATGGAAGAGGCAGACTTCAACATTGATGACATCCTGTCGGCGCTCCTCATCCCCATCCGAGAAGAGGAACCTACTCCGCCGCCATCAGCATTGTATAGTAGTGACGGCCGAAGCTCCAGCATGGACATCTCCAACACCAGCAACGAGGACAGCGACGACGACGACGACGAAGAAGAAGAAGAAGAAGAAGAAGGAGAAGAGAAAGAAAAAGAATGCGGTGTCCGGGTCCACAACGACCCATTCATTTCCATCATCTACCCAGGCCGGGGCGAAGTTCCGGAGCGCCTCCGGGAGCCCAAGAACAAGCTGCTCGCCGCGCTAGTGGAGGAGAGCCATCCGTGCGACGACGAGGACGACGCCGGGGCCGAGGCCAAGGACGCCGAAGAACAAGACTTCGCCGACACCGACTTCGTCACGGTGGCCCGGGCCGACCACCACAGCTACGTGCAAATGGCGTCGCTGTGCCGGGCACACCGCGCCTCCATGCCCTGCGAAAAGGGGAAATCCGAGCGCGAGATCGACCACCAGGGCCCGCTGCGCCAACGACGGGTGACTCACCAGTGGCAAACTGACAACAACCTTGGGAGCCACTGGGTCGACGTCGCGGCCGAGGGACTGTCGGCCGGCAGAGCCAACAAGTTTGGCGCCGTCGGGCAGCAGGTGACCAGTGGCGCGGTGCCTCCCCCGGTCCCCGTCATCCGGGACGACGAGAAAGCCGTCTGGACGCCCAGGGGGTGGAAGGTCGTGCCGCGCGTTGGGCCCGGGAGCCTCGTGCACCAGCTGCCCAAGCCGTGGACGACAGAGAAGCAGTTCGGCTTTTAGAATGGGGTTGGGTCAGGGGGATTTTTCCCGGGTTTGGAAGGGGAAGGCAGAGCAGGGCATGGAAAGGGGAGGGGAGGGTAAAAAGGGAGGGGGCGCCTTGAGCACCTGGAGGCCGACACGTCCAATCTAAGGTGCAGAAGAGTCGAAGGTGGAACAGCTCAGTTCTGAATGTGGGTATATCTGAACCCCGAAAAGCACCGGGTCTGGGGTAGTGAAAGCATTTCATCAAGCAGAACACAAGGGTATCAGCTACCTACAAAGGGTAGAATTAGGTCAAGCAAGCAAGACAATTCCACCAGCCAACTCCAGACAGTCCCGTCGTCAAACACCATTTGATCTGCTTCGCCGTGTCGAAAACGCAATCTCCTCGTGTCTGTCCCTCATTCCCCTTGCTATCGGTACCGCAGGTCATGTGTTGTCGACGCACACGAGCATTCCAACATACCCTCGACCGACTAGTCCAATTGCAGAATTCTTTCGTGCACAGACTCTTCAATCTGCCACTTGCTGGCATTCAATCTCTTGTGTTGAATCTTAGCTCGCATCTTACGACCTCGACCCTCTCCCTCTCTTTCTTTCGCTCCCCACGCGACTCACATTGTTGCCCCCGAAAGCGGCGCTTGCACATTCTTCCTATCCAAAATGTTGCCGTTCGCCTCGTTCAGAATCTCTGCGCCTGTGGCCCTTGCATTCGCATCCAGATTTGGACTGGCGTCTGCATGTCCGTTCTGTTGCGGCTGCCCTGTCTCATCCAGCAACGGGATTTTATCAATGGATTGCCTTTTGTCATGTTTTTTGCTCGAAGCGTCCTTTGTCGTGCTCAAGTTGACATCCGAGTCCACGGGTCCGTTCGGCGGACTAAACATGGCTCCTGGGGAGTTCTGCCATTTAGCCACGTCGCGCTTCATTTGCTCCAGCTCTTTCTGAAATCGCTTGCCAAAGATGTCCATGTAGTAATTCGCACCGTTCCACACGGACCAGCTGAAAACGAACAACAAAAACAATGCGCTAGGCCATCGATACCAGAACCATATCGGACACGGTATTATCGTGAGACAGGCATACAAGTACTGAATCACCATAAAAGCCGGTTCTTGTAGGGGGACTGGTAGCGAGTTGACAAACTTCCCAATCCACGTCTTCGCGTAGGAACGACGTAGCCACGTGAATGATGTAGGTCTCCCAGCTGCAATTTTCTCGGCGCGCCGGACCGAGATGAAGAAGTGGTAGGACAACTGCCAGATCGCGTAGGGAATGGTAGCCCACAGAAGCATGGCGGCTAGTTCGTAGTGCCCCGGCGATCCCTTTTCGCTGTACTTGATGGTGTGCACGGCTGGGAATCGTTTGCGCAAGTACTCATCTGGAGTGAGGTGAACGATGCAGTGTAATGCCACCGGAGGCATGACGTGTATAAAAAGGCTGGTGACTTTGTCCAAGGAGTGGAATACTAGTGAGTTTCTCCACATGACAATGGCGACGGCGTTGTTGCCGTAGGCAAGACAGTAGGCGCTGATCAAGAGACGCTTTGAGCGGGGGAATGCCCAGATCGAGCAAAGGAGCAGAAAGTTGACAAAATAACACAGGTCGGCGAGGAAGTAGTGGTAACCCTTGCGGTGGTAGGTGTAGGCTCGAATTGGCATGAAATAGATGAGTTGTATGGTATACCACCAGTAGAAATATTGGGGGAAAGCCCCTATCAGGTAGCCACTGACGAAGACGTTGAGGACGGCGGAGATGAAGGAGACTTTTTCGCGGATCGATATTGTAACGGTTTCGTTCCATCTCCTGTTTAGATCATCCACCGATTTCTTCATGCGGGATCGGTATTTGGCCAACTGTTCGTCGGCTGAGGGAACGCGTTTGCGCCATTCGGCCATGGCGCGATCTTTCGCATTGTTGCCCGAACTCCTTATCTTCTCCTGCTGACGCGCCAGCTTCTCTTTCTGAGCCTGTAAGGTCGCCTGCCATTTTTCGAGCTTGGCTGGTAAGGCGAGATTGTCGAAGATGTCAAAGAAGGTGAGCTTGTCAAGGGGCACCTCCCAATCTTCCTGTAAAGATTGGCTGCCAATGTAGGAAGGATTTCTGGAGAGGAGGTATGGACTTCCAGGACTGGAGGATTGGTAGCCCGATTGATAGCCGGGTGTCAAAGCACCCGTCAAAGAGGGCGTGAAATCGGAACCAGCACTACCGGCGATATCGTGGGTAGTCATGTCATCCAGGGCGGTCTCGGTTTTGGAGTGAGGGATGGGTATAGGTTCTGACATGGTTGAAACATACAGCTAGAGGAGGCACATTGGAAAAGTGAAGGGGCGCGATAGGAAGAGGCGGCGAGGATATAGGAGCGAGAGGAGGGGGGAGGACGGCGAGGACGGGTTTGTGGGAGAAAGTTGATATGCAGGGCGGAATGCTTGGATCGGAGACCCTGGGATGATGTGATGCATGCGCTGGGGTACGATTCTCCAGATATTGTAGAAGAGTGGCTGAGCGGCAAACGACAAAGAACACGCAGGCAAGAAATGGCGAGAATACCACGCAGTCTATGCTGAGAGGAGCGGCACGTGCCAGATGACCAGCAACATCGGAGGCTCGAGGGTCATGAGGGTCATACTGCCAAATGTGCACATGAGTCTTGTGAGAAAATGGTGTTGATGCCTTTACCAAAAGGTGTTGAGAGCGAAAGGCTGAGGAGCGTGCGAATTTCGCGCACCATGAGTGGCAGAATCTCAGGGTCGCCGACTCGCCCGCCATAGGCACGTCAATTCCAGACTGACCGCTCGCACCTCATAGGCAGTGTCAGGCACCCACTGTGGCACACCAGCGCCCCCAGCACCCGCAGGCTCCCTTGATGCTTCCCAATGTTTAGCGGTACTACGGGCCCCCAAGGGCCAAGGCACCCACCTACGAGGTAATTAACTAAGCTTAAACAGCCCCGTTTGTACCGCAGTTCAGGGTCTGGCCGACCTAGGGAGCCTAATCTGTTTTGAGCATAGCGGGCGATTAGTCTTCAAACGCGCATTGCTCTGCCTCGCGTCGCTGTCCCCATCGCCTGCGCCCTTACAGCGACTGGTTCTATCAAGCACGAGTATCTCAATCGCGTTCTCGATCCATCCAATGTCGATACACACAGAGAGCGCGCACACACCCAACAACCCAATACAGCACAGCCGCTTGATCTTGATCGCGTGTCCCAACCTCACTGTCCCCTCATCCTTGCCCGTCCTCGGCCTTACCTGGATCCTCTGATTCTCCATGTCTGCGCTTTGATCCTTTCAGATTCGACTCACCTCGCGTGCAACCCCACCTTTTCCTCCCACTGCCACGCCCAAGATGGGAAAACTCAGCAGGCTCGAACTTTACAACTTCAAGTCCTACAAGGATCATCATACCCTCCTCTTTGGCGATGCCTACTTTACGTCCATCATCGGTCCCAATGGCTCCGGCAAATCAAATGCCATGGATGCCATCTCCTTCGTCCTCGGAATCAAGTCGTCCCATCTTCGATCTACCCACTTGCGAGAACTGGTCTACCGCGGTCGCGTCCTGCGAAAGTCGGTTGCGAATGGCGAACCTGAGGCAAATGGAGTGAATGGTCATGAGGGAGAACAGGGGTCACAAGTAAATGGTACACAAGAACGCAATGACCCCAAGTCCGCCTGGGTCATGGCTGTTTACGAAGATGACGCTGGTATTGAACAGAAATACAAGCGCACAATCACCAACCAGGGTGTCTCAGAGTATCGCATCAACGAGCGCATTGTCACGGCGCAACAATACAACGATTCGCTGGAAGACGAGAACATCCTCATCAAGGCGCGCAATTTCCTAGTCTTTCAGGGCGACATCGAAGCTATTGCCACACAGAAACCTCAAGATCTGACGCGCTTGATAGAACAAGTGTCGGGCAGCATCGAGTATAAAGCTGCTTACGACCAATTCAAGACAGAGCTAGATCAGGCCGCGGAGCAACAGGCCTTCCAACTCAATCGACGTCGAGGCATCAACGCAGAGATCCGTCAATACCAGGAGCAAAAACGGGAAGCGGACCACTTTCAGAAGAAAGCCGCAGAGCGGGATGAGGCCATTGTGACTCATGTTTTGTGGAAGCTGTATCACCTCCAACGCCAGATCGAGGAGTCCAGCGCCGAGATCCAGAAACACCAAGAGGAACTCAAAGAATTCCGTCGCGGCGTAGAGAAACATGAAAAAAGCCTTGATCTTGCAAAGAGGGACCATGCCCAAGCGTCACGAGGCGTTGGTAAGATAGAAAAGCTGATCAAGAGTAAAGAAAAGGAGATCGAGGACAAAACTTCGTCCCTCGTCCCAATTGATGAACAAATCTCTGTCTCCAACCAGCAGCTCACCAAATACGCCAATAGAGCGAACACCATCATTAAGGAGCGCAACACGCAGGCTGCGGCAGTGGCGCAACTCGAAAAAGACCTGAACATTGTCGACAAGGCACAGGCTCAATGGCAGAAAGAGTGGGAGCAGAATGCCACTCGATTAGGCGGTCAGTTGAGTGAGGCTGATCTACAGGAGTACACTCGACTTCGCGAAGAACTCAACAAGCGTGCATCTGCCGACCTAAGTCGCATCGAGAGGCTCAAGAATGACCGAGCTCCAATTGAAGCCACCTACAGCAATCTGAGAAACAGTGTCCAAAGTACAGAATTCAAATTGACCTCCCTCGAGAATGAATCTGGCGCGCTCAGCCAACGCCGAGACGCAGTCAAGGAAGCAGTGCAACAAGCACAGACGGAGATCGATGCTAAAAAGAAAGAACTTCACGCTGCCTCGTCTAAGCGACTACAGGCAGCTCGGACTCGAACTGAGCTCGATGAGAAACTCGCTGAAGTGGCTCGAAAACTTCTGGAAGCTGATGATGGACGACGGACGAGTGAGAAGGAAGTGAAAATGCGGGAGACCATCTCTATGCTCAAGCGCACTTACCCCGGCGTCAAGGGCCGTGTTCATGAGCTGTGCAAGCCCAAGCAGAAGAAGTATGCAGAAGCTGTTAGTACAGTGCTAGGCCGCCACTTCGACGCCGTTGTTGTCGACACCGAAGCCACGGCCAAGCAATGCATCGAATATCTGCGAGATCATCGCTCAGGCCAAGCAACCTTCATTCCACTGGACACAATTCAGGTCAAAGCACTTAACTCGAATTTGAAAGGCATGCACAAGGGCATGCTTCCGGCCATTGAGACTGTGGATTATGACCAGTCGGTTGCGCGGGCAATCTCATATGCCTGTGGCAATTCAATTGTGTGTGATAATCTCAACATAGCAAAAGACCTTTGTTACAACCGCCACGTCGATGCAAAGGCTGTCACGTTGGATGGCAGTGTCATCCACAAGGGCGGGTTAATGACTGGCGGTCGTGGCAAAGACCAACCTTCGCGTCGATGGGACGAAGGTGAAGTTGACAGGCTCAACAAGCTCAAAGACAAGTTGATGGAGGAATTCGCTGCTCTGCCACAAGAAAGCTCTCGCCGAGCAGAGGAACAATCTCTTCAAAATGAGCTGAGTGGTCTTGAAAGCAGAATACGATATGCTAAAGAAGAACTCGAAGCTCTCAACAAGAACCTCAAGAGCAAGACGCGCGAAGTCGATCACATCAAGCGGCAGTTGGCAGAGGAACGTGCGAAGCTGCGACAGGAACAGACCAAGCTGGAGAAGATTGATGAAGACATTTCAGACTACCAAGAATCCGTGAGCAATGTGGAGAACGAAATTTTCGCAGATTTCTGCCAAAAGCACGGTTTCGGCGACATTCGAGACTATGAAGCCCAACAAGGATCACTCCAGCAAGAAGCTGCTCAGAAGAAGCTCGAATTTGTCACGCAGAAGGCCAGGATTGAAGGTCAACTCAACTTTGAAAGAACTCGGCTTCAGCAAACAGATGACCGTCTCCTGGCTCTTCGAGACAAGGAGCAACGCGATAAAGAGACAATTGACGATCTGAATGAACAGCGACAAGGCATTCAGGACGACCTCGATACACTGAAGAATGAGCTGGACGAGCTTCATGCTCAACTGGACGAGCAGAAGGAGCTCCTAGACGCGGCAGCCGAAAAACTGGCCAAGCAGAAGGCGGAGTTTCAGAAGCGCGCCAAAGAGATGGAGAGCACCTTTCGAGCAATCAATGCTCTTGAGGGAGAAATGCAACGCCGCTCTTCGGCGAGGTACAGCCTTCTTCGCCGCTGCAAGATTGAAAGTATCGCTATTCCGCTGACTGAACAATCTGCGAGCCTGGACAGCGTGCCCATCAACGACCTGCCGCTTGAAGATGCCGAAGCGATGGAGGCTGACGGAGAGGAGCCAACCGCTTCAGCTCTCAAGACTTTGACCGTCAACGACTACGGTGTTGAGCCCGATTTCGACGCACTAGATGACGAACTCAAGGAAGAAAACAGCGAAGCCATGGAGTCCAAATTACAAGAAGATATAGCCAAACTGAACGCTGCGCTAGAAAAGATGCAGCCCAACGCGCACGCCGCACAACGTCTTGCCGCCGTAGAGGCTCGTGCGCACGACACGGAGCAGGACTATGAAGACTCGCGCGCGAAATACCGTGACCTCAAAGCGAAGTTCGAGGATGCAATGGAAAAGCGCAATGAACTTTTCAACAAGGCCTTTAGCCACATCTCGGAACAAATCGAGCCCATTTATTCCAACCTGACCAAATCGGAGGAATTCCCGGCCGGAGGACGCGCCTACCTCACAGCAGATGAGGAAGAGCCGTACCTAGCCGGTGTGAATTACCACACCATGCCACCTACGAAGCGCTTTCGGGATATGGAGCATTTGTCAGGAGGAGAGAAGACAATGGCAGCTTTGGCGCTGCTCTTTGCGATCCATAGCTTTCAACCAAGTCCTTTCTTCGTCCTGGATGAGGTGGATGCGGCGTTGGATAATGCTAACGTGGGCAAGTTGGTGAATTACGTGAAGAATCATGCGGTGAGCATTCTCTTCTTCTTGATGTCGGCCAGAGGATGCGGCATATCTGGCCAAGTGATATATGATGTGGCGCTAACGATATCTTGTGACTTTATAGGGACCTGGAATGCAGTTCATCGTGATCAGTCTAAAGACCGGCTTCTTTCAGGGCAGCGAGGCTCTGGTGGGGATATATAGGGACCAAGGAGCGAACAGTTCCAAAGTCCTGACGCTGGATGTAAGTCGCTCCTCTCCCCCCTTTCTGGTATGTCCGGAGGTGCTAACACGAACATCAGCTGAGGAAATACGCCTGATTCTTCAAGATATCGGAACGCCTTCTTTGTGGGGACCATACAGGCAAGGTTTGGACATTGAGCTCCTTACAATGTCTTACGGCCTATTATGTTACAGTCAATGGGGGAAAAGCTGCGGTACAACACGGAAAGGGATGTACACTAGGAGGTGTTTTTATATCCGGGAAGGCAGACCCATTTGCACCATGGCCAGCTTCACGACGACGAATGCCTACGAGTCCAACGTACAGGATGCTGCTACGACACAAGTTCCTGGATCTCTTTCTGTGTGCTCAAGGAAGTTCACGCGCGGTAGTAATCCAAGCTATGGACTCACCTGCATACCCACCTACCTGTCGATGTGCAATGGATTTGATGGCGATGGACTGGGTTACGGATATTTGCTGTGGCCAAGGCAGATGACCATGTGCCCTGTACATGTCCGAATCGTTGCCCGACACCTGACCTCTATTCTATTGCTGCATTGATCAAACAGAGTTGGAAAGTCGCTTGATGGGTTGCATCCCCAGTACCTATGTAGATGCTCTGCAATATATACACAGCGTCGCACAAATGGACAGACAACTCCATAGAAAAAGTTCAAGATGTGTGGGGATTGGAATTGGAATTGTTGATCAACTCTATGGAATTCGTTCACAAAAAAGCCTTTCTTTCTTCTCTGTCCCATCCCCGTCCCATTGGGGGGGAGCCACATGGAATCAAAAGTTCATCGTGGTTCCTCCCAGGCCTTCATAGTCCCTGGTTTCAGGGCCGCGCTGCTGGGAGCACGTTCAAACTGCTGAGCTGAGTCTATAGCAAAATTATAATTCCGTTGCGCCGTCTCGAAATATATCTCTGCGCTTGAAACCATTTGAGTGACCGGAGACGGCAGAGAAATCCTTCTCTTAGGGAGAGGCGCAGTTCAGTTCTTCTTGTCGTTGGGCGCCTTTTGGATCTCTTCCTGCTTCCCCTGCTCCGCGACGTCCTCCTCGGCCTCTTTGGCCTCGTCTTTCGCATCGGCCTTCTTCGCCTCCTGTTTAGCATCAGTTGGCTTGGCCTTGGGCTTCTCATCAATGTCTTTGTCATCCTTCACGGTCGAGCTCGCACTCTTCTTCTCACCCTTGGTCTCTGACGTCTGCTTACTTGATTCGGCCTGCTCGTTCTCTTCTTCAATCAGTTCCTGCTGCTCTTTGAGCACCTCCAGGCGTTGTTTATTTGTAGCCGCTCCCTCTGCATTGTGAACCTCAAGTTCGATTTCGTGGAATAGTTCCTCCGGAATGGAACTAAGCACAGCTTGCAGTGCGTCAATTTGCGAGTCGATCTCACTGTCTTTACCAGATGTGTACATGTACGCATTGCTGAGAACCAGAAGTGTTGATGGAATGTTATATTTGAGGCGGAGGTCGAGCCACATTTGCAGATCCTCCCTCAACTTGCCGGGCGACATACCATGGGTTCGAAGACCACGGGAGGCGCATGCCATTTGTAGTTCAGGCACACTGAGGGAGTCGACTCCTTCAAAGGAGATAGCTTTGTCGTCGCGTTTGATCTGACGCATACGGTGGCGGATTTGATACCGTAGCATGGCGTCAGTTCCAAAGGTATTGAGGTTCATGTACTTGCACATGCCCACGAGTTGTGGTCTGGATAAATTGTCCAATGTCAAATCGTCCTTGAAAATCTTGCAAACTTTGATCACATCCTCCCTAGAAGGAGATTCACCCGTGGCGCGGACTTTGCGGAAGAACTCGGTAAACTCTTCTTTCTTTGCATTGACAGCGGAAACGGGGAGGCCAGTTTCCCGCAGCGTGTTGCGTAGGAAAGCAGAGACTTGTTTGCGCGTTTCCCTGAGATGGGCAGCTTTGGCTTCTCGGCTCTTTTGACCTTCGTATGTCGAGGGAAGCAGATTCGGGAACAATTTCAGCGCAACCGGGAGCAGCAATTCTGCGAAGGGGACGATGACGAAAACGGAGAAGGGTACTAGCCGGCCGAGATCCTGGACTGTCCGTTGCAACTGATCGATCGTCAACACTTCTGCACATACACAGACCGATCAAATAATGCTTACCTGTCTATTCTCTCGACGGCTGAGTTCGTAGCCAGCGGCCATTTTTAATGCAAGCTTTGAGGAGATTTTGACCTCCGCGGCGAGCAATTTCGTTCCGTCCCAATAATGCTGGAGTTCCTTCTTGATCTTTTGGCCAATGGTGAGTTTCTTGGATTCCTCCTTCTTGGCCGCCAGTTCCGTTGCGTGCTCTTTCTCGGCCTGAGCAGAGGCGGCCTTTTCGGTAGCCAGCTCGCTGAGACTGGCATTTTCCAGAGCCTGAGTCTTGGCAGTCGCAGTAGCCTTTGTTTTGGGGACATGGAGTTGTTCATCGGACTTCTTCAGCTCTGCAATCGTAGGGGTTGGCGATGCTTCTGATGACTTCTTGGCCTCATCCTTTGACAATGGTTTCTTAGCCTCATCAATGTTGAAGCCCGGAGGAGGGCCACCGTCAGGACCATGCGGAGTTGTCTCTGTAGCATAATTCCTTTGCGGCAAAGCAATAGCCAATGCCGAGAGCTTAGGGGGGAGGTCCCTGGCGAACCTGGATCGAGAGGAGTAGACGCTCAAGAGCGTGGAGTGGGAGGCACGAGGGTATGCTGTTCACAAGTCAGCGGCATCCACTTTCAGAGTCGACGAGTACACTGACATTGTAACAGGAGTCTCCTGGCTGCGGCATTGCTGCTGATTAGTCTAGGACCGGAACTCATGATGAACGATGTGAGAGGCGAATGGGAACGAAGGGAAGGAAATAGGTTCGAAAGTAGAATGATCGAAGAGGCGTCAAGCCGGTCCGGGAATGAATGAAGAAAATCCGAATTGGTTACTTGGTCAAATGATAAAAATGAAGATGTCGGTGGTGTTGAAGTATGAAATGTGAAATGTAGTGAGAGGGATCAGGGAGCATGAGGGATGCGTTCAGGTCCCGGGTCCAGAGTTCCAGAACTCAAACCCAGATCGCTAAGCGGCCCAAAAGGGGAAAGCCGTCGAGGCCGGGCCGGGATGTGCACTACGCAGCGAGGCAGCAGCCGCCCTATCGGAGTTACCAACAAAAGGGCCCGGCATTAAGGACAATCACGTGATACAACGGAGTAAATGGACAGACCGAGAGAGGTGGCAAGGTGGTTATTGGCAATAGCGATATTGTGCTTTTATGCTACAGATTGACTTGATGGCGGGTTAAAAATGACCAGTCACTGGGGATGAGAACCCGGACTTCAATGATCTGCGTGTGACACAGGCGACACCAAGATAAGCAGGGGAGGTTGGTCTCTTTACCAGCCATCTCAAGTCAGAGCTCTCCGGCTTTGCTGCTGAACAATAGTAGGTATCGCATTGGGCTGGTTTCCAACAAGAGCTCAGGCTTTGCCGTCGTGGAAAGTCTCGACTTGCGAATCACCTAGTTGAACGAACCGAATAGAGGTCGATCCTTCAAAGCTTAATCGGAGTTACCGTCGCCATGTCTATCCACATTTTGCTTACCAGGTGAGTCTCTCATCACCTCGTCGTCTGAAGCATCACGCCTCCGACGTTTCACCTCGGGCGAAGATCCGTCAGACGAAGTATTGCGACGTCTGCGTGCGGCGGGATCATATCTCTGTAGCGACAGTCTTCGCTTATGGTGCGGGCGCCGACTTCTGCTTCGACTCCGGCTGCCTCTTCGTCGGGAATTATATTCGTCGGGGCTGCGACTCAAACGACGGACATCGCGTGCATTGCGACCCCTGAGAATATCAGCGCGCCTGTTGTTTCGATTGTCATCAGAGGAGTTGTATGAGGGAGATCGTCTATGACGTCTGTCACTCTTTCTGGGATCCCTCCGTCTGTCCCGTGATCTTGACCTTGATCGGGATGATGAATATGAGCGATCTCGGCGGTATCGTCGCCGCTTGGGGCTCGGGCTTCGACTTGGACTTGAGGCTGTCCGGCTTCGTTGCCGTCGTCTTCTAGGCGACCGTGAGCGTGACACATCAGAACGTGTTGGAGATCGGGTGCGTCTATCACCGGGTGATTCGGAACTTGTTCTTCTTAGCCTGCCTGCTCCCCTCCGCGCAGGTGACTTGGATCGACTCTTGCTTCTTGAATCCCGTGCTGTTCTGGGTGCCGGTGATGGGCTCCGTGAATATGGCGCTGTCTTCGACCTGGATCTGGATCTCGATGTGGATCTGGATTTTGACGCGGATCGGCCAGCACGACGCGAACGCGGCGACGAAGGCGAGCGAGACGGTGGAGACGAGGGAGACCTGGTCAACGAACGTCCTCGGCCAGTGTCCCGACCACCTCTGCCTCGGTTCCCGGGAACATAGGTGTCAGTCCCACGACGGGGTGGAGGGCCTCTATACGGAGACCTTCTGCGACGTGGAGGAGACCTCGAGTATCTCGGAGGTCGCGTGTCATATCCTCGTCCGCCACGACCGCCACCGCGGCGACCACGGCCACGCTCGGCCCGCTCGCGCTGTCGAATGGAATCGATATCCCGCTCCTGAGCTTGTTCCTGGTCTCTTTTGTTTTTAGCCTCCAAAGCGGCTTTCTCGGCGTCGATCTGGCCCCATTAGCGAAGTTCAATATAATGGTGTGATCGTTGTACCTTTTCTTGTATCAGTTCCAACTTCTTGGCTTCGAGTAATTCCTTCGGAACACCCTGCGGATTTGACTGCGCACTCAGGCACAAGTTCCACAATTCCTTGCAGAATTTGGGGGTATCCTTGTCAAGAAATCCGGTGAGCGAGATTTGGAGCGCTTTGATGTCAGGCTGAGGCTATTAGTCCAGCACGGGGGAGAATTGAGAGAGGTCGACGTACGAAACGCGAACCCTCGAGCAAGTTGAAGCAAAGCTCGATAACCACGTCATCCTCGGAGCCAAGTATTTCGGAGATCTTGCCTGCAATCCATCTGTAACATTGAATCAGAAATCGTTGACCCCAAGAAGGGACAGGCGGGTGATTTCGACGCATAACTCACTTTTTCATGACCTCGATGTTGACCTTCTTCATGTCAACCTTCTGGTTGAATTCGGGGGGAAACTTGGTCTGCCGAAGCAGTTTCTGGTCAACTGCTGTGGCCATGATGTCGCCAAAATGCGTCCACAGGGCCCAGGTTCAGGCACACGAGCGCAGTCACAAAGACTGGAGAATTGGAGACGCCAACCTGGAAAAGTCGACCAAGTGCCTTAGGGAAGGTTAAGCGACCCCGCCTGGCACCGGCAGAGCCTCACGCTTCAGCCTCGTCGTATTCCGTATCTTACAAGCATAACGGATGTTTTTTGGTTATATCGGGGTGACTGCTGTGATAGACGATTGCGGGTGTAGTCGCTAGGACTGAGGTAGGGCACCAGATGGTGCGCTCTTTCCCTTTCTCTTTCTGCTGTTGCGCAGGAGCGTCCTTGGCTTCTTACGCCTTAGATTCAGGCACCTGCATCTTTGGCATTTGCTTGACCATGTTCTCTCTTCCGAGTCCTGTGTCCTTTACCACTACTTACTTACACGCACCTATGGCTTTGCTTCCACATTCATTATTCAATATGAGTAATGAGCACACATTGTTCGTGTGGTCCCTCGAATAGACGTTATTCTCCTCACTCCATCGGCTTGGGCTGGCCTTGGCCTAAGCATCCTGCCTGCGACCACGCACCCAACTCTCCCGTCCTGGCCCATCTCCCTGATGAAACACTCCTTCAATATCTGCAAAGAGAACAAGAACTGGCATGGATTAGTCCCGCGGATTAGAGGGCATCGCTCATGTCTGACAGGCTTAGGACCCGCAAGTGTCGACTACAGAATCTCGGCACAACACCCTTCACAAAGCCCCAGAGCGTCGAATCGGCTCAGCTACGCTGCCCATCTCGAATTGGACGCCTTCTCTTGCGCTGAAAAAGCAGTCTGTCGAAGCACTCATCGGGCATTTCGAGACTGTTCGTATCTCCAGTTCTATAACCATCACTTACTGACAAGACCAGAAAGATCAACTCAGCCGAGCACCCGTGGCTGCATCTGAACACGCCCTTACAACTTCAAGCCCCTCGCCATTCCTGCGTGAGCGGTATCAGACCGCGCTCAAATCATCAAAGCAAGCTTCTCCTGGGTACCGTCCTGACAAAGCCGTCCGTCGACGAGGGCTCCGAGAAGAAGAAATCCACTTCATCGAACAAGCGCTCAGAAGAAGGCTCTCGGATAGCTCACTAGATCCAACCGACCCTCAGATATCACCCGCTTGCTGTCCAGCTCCAGGCCAGCCAAGGATCAAAGTAAAGGCGTCCAACCATTCCATATCGATCATCATCCCAGAAGGCATCAAGCTTCCCGTTGTTGCCACCATCGAATCTGCAGGTTCGTTTGAACTTGAGACACAGATGGCGACTTCAAACGTCAAAGAAGCAAGCGAGTCAAGCAGTACTGTCGGCGGTGATGCAAGTAGAGGAGGAATGAGCCGTCGCCGGAACACGTTGTCTGAACAGACAATTACTGGTGGAACCCGAGCCAGTGAGAATCAGGAGATAATAGCAAGCTTGGGTCTGCCCTTTCTCGCAAGAGTCAGCAAAGGCCGTTTGACCGTTTCTGAGGCGTCAATCTCTCCGCCCCTCAGCGCCGAAATATCAGCTCAAGGACAAGTCTTTATTCCCCCTCATGGACGTTCTCCCGAAGACGTTTCTGACCCACCTCATGGACGTTCTCTCGAAGACGTTTCTGACCCACCTCATAACAACTCCGAAGATGCAGTAGTAGAGGCAAGAGGTGCTCCTGAGGATCCTGGGCTGCTCAAAGAGCCTCGAGAAGGATCGGGCTCTCAAGCCGAAACTGAGCCAACCTTCAAATCTCCCGATTCTGCAGATACCGCTTCTCCCGAGACTGACAGAGAATCTAAAGCTGATGCAGCAAACTCGAGCCCTGCAAAACCGGCTTCAACCTCCTTGGCCACATCAGAGAACGCGCTCGCTCTTGTTGCGGAGGCTTCCTCGAAAGTCGAGGACATCGAGCCTGTCTCTATCCCAGTAATTCGAATACACAGACCCAGCGGCACAGTCATGCCTGCTTCGCTAGGAGCAGCTGATTTGAACGGTGCCAATGTGCCGCCCACACCTGTACAGACAGCAACGGAGCAGAGTTCGACCACTACACCTCTCAATGCTATGTCCGACCATATTACGGTTGTCCCGGTGCCTACCACTCTTCCCGTGGGTCCCACATCAGTCACGAAAATGGTACCTATTGATGCAGTGGCTTCAGCCATCCCACTCCCTGGGTCTAGCTCGCCAGCGGCGGGCAAGATCTGCAAAAGAAAGAGGTTCATCCGGAAAACCCGTCGAGTGCTTGTCAGAAAGCATCTTCTCGTTGTCATTCTAGGCCGGGACTTGGCCAACGATGTCCACCCGCAGCTCAACGCGGCCGGGGAAAAGTCGCCTGGCGGTAATCTCCATTTAGATGTGACGAATGGCAAGCCTCGCGGCTATCGGAGAAAGAAGGAGTACAAAAAAGGTGTCCGACAAAGACGTCTTGATCAGAAGATCACAAGCGCCAGAATGCATGCGGAGGCGGAGGATACCCAGAGGTGTCCGTCGTGTCGAGGCCTGAGAAGGACCCATTATTTACGAAAGTATCATCGTTTGCAGCTCCGGCGGGACAGGCCTACCATGAGGGTATTCGAGAGACATGCAACTAGCAGAGCTCAAGTCGCGGCATTCAAGTGTCAATGCAAAAGACGGTCACTTGGGCTTGGAGGGAAAAAGGAGGCGACAGACTCTGCTGTACCGGCAGCTCCTGGTGCCAATGAACCTGGTTTGCCTGGAATAGGAGATACATTGCGCTGAAGCACGATGGGACAGATGGCAATATCATTATCGTGTTTTGAACGAGGCGAGAGAACCGTAGGCTTTTATTGTATACCGTTTCCTTTACCTGCTCATCATTATACCGTGTAACATTGATTCTGCTGATATTTACGAGCTATCGAGACTGTCTATCTGATCGGGACAAGGCAGCTAAAACCTGGTCGACATCCTTGCCCGCCTGGACAAGCTCTGCGTCAGGCCCTGTCTCCATGTAGTTCAACTTGACGTCGTAGTGAAGTGAGACCAATTCGTTTGCACGTTGAAGGTCATGATCGTTTTGATATTCTGGTGGTGGAGGCTGCATTGAATGCCCGTTGGTCCCGTCAGATTTGGCTGGCGGCTGAAGTGTCACATCGCCTGTCGTGATGACAGATGGCTTCACAAGGGCGATGGCAGCTTCGTGGGACTGCCAGACGCAAGTCAGTCCAACTTCTCGGATCTCCGGCATAGAGATGGGAGAACCATCAAAATAGAAGGGTGCAGCCCTTTCACCGAGTTTCACGTACACAAACGCTGAGGGACTTGAGATCCGATAGGAATGCTGCGACTTGCATTGTTTTTCTCTATGCGGCGGCGCGATGATCCCTGCGTGGCGGATCAAACATACGGGCTTTGGGTGATCTGTGGCCACAGCGAAGCAGCGGGCCAAAACAGTTTGGGCGTCGGTGAGGGTCTGCAAAATGCAAGGGTCAAATCTACCGACAGGCTGAGCACATAATGTGATCTGGGATGGATGGAATGTTGTGTGAGTTGGAAGTGAAAGTAGTTGTCACTGACTGCGAAATCCATTTTATGGTCTGGCTGCGGAGATTTCTTCCACATCTCCCAAATCTCCAAGGATCACCACAGTCACCACAGTCACCCTGTCCATCCCCATACAATCAGTCCATTTCAGTGTGTCGTCGTTCACTTGACGAGTCTGGCAGCACTTTGGCGGCGAGGCACTTCCTCCACTTGAAGTCGCCATAAGTTACTGTACATTAGCAGCCAGATCTCGGATCCATCGCCCTTACATACCAGCTCCTCACAACCACCATGCCAAAGGACTTCCGACAGCCTCCTCCCTTATCCCTGACTGCTCCTACAACCTGCCTACTCCAAGAGCCACGATCGTGTCCCACGGTTCTTGCAACATGCTGGCGGAGACACAGAAGATGTCCACGCCCCTTCTGCTCTTCTTGTCCTCCCGACTACGTCTGTACAATTGAAAGTGGACTGAGAGACACTCAATGTACAACCAGCAGCGATGGACGCCCTCAGCCTTGCTGTGACCTCTCTCGACGCGAAAGTTGGGGCGATCCGCCAATGGCGTCTACTTAGCCTTCCATGTACGTTGAGTCTCGGCCGCTGACGGCCTTGGTTCTTGCTTGCAAAGTCCCATGTACCTCGTACATTGAGAAGCTTCACCCATTCGTCAATGCAAGCTTGCTGGTAATCGACACCAACAGAGTATCAGATCATCAGTCCATCGTTGGAGCCGGTACTGTTTTAGAAAAATTTCTGGGCTTTCAACCAATTTCTTCAGCTTGTACATCCATCAAATTGGTTGCATCTCGAGCTCGGAACCGAACGGTCCCGACGTGCCCTGCCGCATCATCGTGCGGATTCTTTCCAGCAGCATTCACTACCTAGACTCGCTGCAAGGCTTTCCACTCGGAGGCACATACCTTTATTTTGTCCATCCTAGTTGCCATGTCGGCTCCGGCCGGGGGCTCGAGGAAGGGCCGCTCCCCCTCGACCTTCCAGCATCAAGCGGGATGGTCAGCTCTCCAGTACCATGCGCCAAATTAGCAAGCGCCAACACCAACGTCGTAACTGCAACGCCGCTTTGGTGGTGGTTCTGAATCATCAGGCGCCCCAACCTCTTATTGAGAAAGAAGACCCTGATCGGGAAGCGGCCGACTGTACCGATGACTACGGTGTCCGGCGAGGTGAAAATTCAGACCCATCATGACCATTACGAGGTGTGGTCTGAGCGAGATCATGTGGGAAGTTGCAAACGTTTTTCTACGAAACCCTGCATCAAGCCATCGTTACTCCGGGTTGTTGCCTCGTCCGATCTCCTGTAGCAACACGCAGTGTGCGTATTACGTACAGAATAGCAACAATCAGGCATCCTATATCGCCAGAAGCACCACGCCTCTTCCGGAATCAGGGGTCTTCGTCTTCGAGTACTGCACCGAGCAAGGCCGCAACTTTTTTTCCTGACCTGTGTATGGAATAGATGGTTTAATAAACATCTGTCGAGCCGATGCAAGTGTCGGTCCGCACTGAATGTAGGAGGCCTTGTCTGGGGTCTTCTTAGGCATTGAAAGATTCGTGTTGCGCAAGGAAGGCTTATTGACTGACCATCGACCCCTCCGGGGAAAAAATCCCTCGCTGAGGCCGCACACAATGAACGAGGTCCAGGTATCCACTCGACTAGCATGCATCTCTTGCATCGTTTTTCGTTGCCATGGACGTTCATGCAGTGCGTGTGCACACATCACCCGCGGAGATTCAGCAGTTCCTTCTCTGGAGCCAAGTCAACGTCAGGAGTTCACACTTGGCAGCCACTGGAAAGAGATGTCCGTCGGGATGGTGGCTCGACTTGGAAAAGAGTGTCCTTGCGTGTAGAAGAAGACTTTATGACGTCCTGTGTGGTAGGTCGCATACTAGCGGGGACCGTTCGCAAAAACGAAAGTAATTGAAACTCATCTGTCTTGGGAGATCAACTCAGCTAAGCCAGCGCGGAAAGATTGACATTTGCCTGGGACTCGGTCGCAGACACGTCAGCAACCGACACAAAGACTGCAGGTCGCATTTTCCATATCAAAAATGCAATGATACGCCCACATCTCGCTTCACATTTCTCCAAGGTAACGGTGGGCGGCATCGATGACCCAAGGTGAGGCAATTTGATGAAGTCGTCCGCTCCGTGGCATGCTTCCGAAAAGTGTCCTCGCTTCAGAATCTGACGGTGGACAAGACTAGACCATGCACTGGAAGTGGAGTTGTATGGATGTGTAGGGAGCCCTACCAGGCTACCACAACCGGTAGTCCACACTCTCTTCTGTGTGGCATTCAGACAAGCAAGTGTTGATGTTGATACCCTTTCACTTCGTTGTGCAAAGGGGGTTATGCCTGACAGATGACATCCAGATGCGCATAACTTTTGTCCAAGATCAATCCGCGGAGACCGGACAGAATGATGGCTGGCCTGACAAAGTGAATTTGCAATCACAGTTGCAGATCCGATACTGCAAGCGGCCATTAATAATAATAGCACTCGCCGTCGAGTCGAGTGAGTCCGAGGTATGGGTTCGGTCTCCAGACTCGGCACCAAGAAGCAGGGTCGCATTCTGCCTTCCGACTTCGCCCCAGGCACAGTGTCTGTTTCACCGTTGCGAGGATCCTGTAGGAGCCAGGGCAGAGACTTTTCTTTTATTGACGCGCATGGAGATACTTGTGGGCCAGCGCCAAGCTGCCCATACGAGGCCTTTTCAGCAAGGCTGGCAATTTCCTTTTGTGGGAAATGGCAATTTCTCTGTGTGATGCCGTGGATCAGTATTCATTGACTGGGTGGGTTACTGTTTTGGTTTTGGCCCGTCCATAGCGTGCCCACGGTTTGATTGTGCTCACCGGTGGTGCGACGACAAGAGTCCATCCAGCATGAGGAGACCTACCGAATTTGCTCCAGCTCCACCGGTTGGTCTGCAGTGATACCTCGTCAAGGCATGGGCGACCTTCAGCGAGGGCGAGAAAGGCAGGAGGAGGAGTTGGCTCTGTACAGAGGATTCCTTCCATATCGCCGCGGCGCCCCATAGGGCGATCCGGTGCGCGTGGGCCCATCCGAGCTTGATCCGGCGCATGAACACAATCCTTTTTCGGCCATGGATGACCAGACAGTCGGAGACTCAAGCGGCCAAGCCCTGAGCATTCGGCGTGTGAAAAATACTAGTTCCAGCAGGAGTGTCCGCAGGGAGCACGGCGCTTGAATGAAATGTCCGCTGCAGGGAGGATGCTCCTCAGCAGGTGGGTAAGAGTCTCTACGAAGCTGTCTTGGTCTCTGGGGCGAAAGACGAAAAGACACCATGGACAGGGACAGGCTCCATGCAATCAATCGCCCGGACCACGGACCACGGACCACGGACGCAGACGAGATGAGGTATTCACACCGAAACAACATTGCAAGATGCGCCGTTACGCCGTCTATTGCTATCGACTGTCGCAAAATGACCCCTATACGGGAGTAATGATTGTTTCTTGGTACATGACAGGATCAGGCCCTCATTTTCACCGGCATACGAGGTTCCAGGTAAATACAACCCATGGTCACACAAGTCATTTCAACCCTTTTCCCTGGGGGACCCCCCTTTTTCCCACCCTCCTCTCGGAGCCTTGTCATTGTCGGCCTTCCGCGAAAAAGTCAAACAACTACTAGGAACCTAGGTAATTCTTACTGCGTAACGGCCAACAAAAAGTCGACGTATTATATGACTAAGCCCCGCCGGCGCCTTCTTCTTTTTGACAATACAGAAACAAGAAGTACGAGGTAACTACCTAGGTATGTTTGTTTTTGCGCATTTCCTGGGATGGGGGACGAGCCTTAACGCACGTAATATGTGAACTTGGGGACTTACTACCCTTTCTGTCTCTTGCAGCGGGTGTCTCAAGTGTCTCAGTGTCACGGTATCATTACCTTTGCCATTGCCTTTGCCATCCGTCGCCGCCATCAGGGCCATCAGGGCCTCCCCTGCCATACCTGCCTACCTAGATACCTACCTAGGTAGATATGTAAGGTAAGGTAACGTAAGGCAATAAGTAACTAATTAGGTGCCCCCAAACCCTCCCAAAAAAGTGCTGCAAAAAACCAACAAATAATTAAACAACATAAATCCAAAAACCCTCCCCCCGAGGTCATCATGATTTCTCGTACTCGGGACTCTGGGGGTGGTATTATAGCTAGGTAGCTAGGTAAGTGAGCAAAAAGGTTTTCCTTTTCCCTTCCTTCTCTGTTCGTCGCCACTTGCAAATTTGTTCGAAAGTACAGAATACCCTACCTAAGGTAAGGGACCTAGGGAGGCTCAGGGCTCAGGGCTCAGGGCTCTGCATCGGGATTTGTACGGGGATTCTTGCCGGCCCCCCTGGCAATGCAACTGCCTACAACTCCCCACGATTTATAACCACGTCCGTGCGCCTTGCCGTGTATGTAATAACTTAGTAGTAGTAGTAGTGACAGGAGTAGGAGTAGGAGTAGGAGGAGGAATACATAGCTCTAAACTCCGCTCTCTCCTTCCCCTTTGCGAGGCGCCGGTGCCCTTATTGCCTGTTTCGTATAGAAAACAGAGCTCGTGATCAAGAATAATCATTTGCCCCTCGCCGCCTATACATAATATCCATGGGAGTCACTACGAGGTACTGCCTACCTAGGCAGGACCGCTTTACTCTATCCCCCCTTTTGGCTACACACACACAACCCCAAGCAGATATACCCCGTATTCCGTATCAACTCCGTATATCACCGACCTATGTGCGTTCGCCCACCGAAAACACGAGCTCCCCCGATCTCACG